TGCCAGCGAGGAATGGCTGATGATGGACGACTGTGTGGAGGCTGGCCCCAGAGGTGCATCCTGCTGTACACCCTGGGCCCCTGCAGCCTTCGCTTTCCGAGTGTTAAGCGCCGCCTGCTTGCGACGGTCTGTGTAGTAGGCCTGCACAGCACGGTGCATGACAAACATATCATCAGGGGGCAGGGTTTAATGTGCAAAGGAACCACTCTATTCAACAAACTACCTATCTGGCGGCATTGGATCACAGGTACGGTTCCAAAGGGATGCAAGCATGGTCCCGCCGACGTTTACAGGTGGCCGATATTCGACACCCCGCTGTTACCTAAAGATTAGGTACGGTTCCGGTTACACGTGATAGAGGAGCAGTAATCGGTACGGTCGAGGTGGTCCTTGTTAATGGCTGGTTCAGGAAAAGAACATTCACGTTTGTTGCAAAAGGAATTTTTATATGCAGTTAATTTACATTTAACAGATAACAAATACATATGCAAGTAATAGCTCTGCCTAGTTTGCATCCCTTGCTTGTTACACATACGCTGACACACGGGCAATCTAGGGGACATCGGCCCCCTGAAGCCGCTTCACGGTGGGAGCTCCGCCCCCAAAATATTATTCAGAAAGCGCTATGAGCATGCAAATTTGGCTGTACATACGGGTTGGTGATTTGATCCGGGGCCCCAACGTCCACATGAACCTTCGGAATAAAATATCCAGGCCTCAGAGTAATGGCCGCTTCCCTTTTGCACTTTTGTTAAACGTTGGATTAGGTATATGAACAAAAAGGACATTTCTCAGTTTCCCATGGGTACGGTGACACTTCAGCATCTCAAACAGAATTGCGAAATTTCAAAAATGACTAGTAACGACGGAAGCCGTGAACAAAAATACAGGAAAGCGTACATGCAGCTGTGGTGCAGAATACAGTATAAATGATCATTGCGGTCACATTGTGCTTAGGGCCCTACCTATGACGTAAACGTCGCATGACTCATGAGTTCGCAATGACAAAATCCTGGCATTTTATCCGTATAACATTTTGGGACCGAGGGCGCGTGACACAAAGAAAAGTCGTTTCGTTTACCAATGTGAACACCGTGGCGAAATGACTTTATTATTTCTTAGAATTGCAGTTAATTGTACTTCATATCACTTTCCACCTCTCTCCAATTGTAATATCCGCCTTAAGCAAACGAACCCCTATTAGGTGTTTGTAGTTATTGGGCTCAAAAAATGTCAAATGTAAACAGGAGGGTGTAAAAAATAGTTGAAGACCTCATGCGTGCCACATTTCTTGACGGACCCCCAGGGGACCCCCCCCACCCCCCACCACCCCAAACTACTGTACGGCAAGGGCTTTTCGTGTACGAAACTACATTTTTGCGACATTTAAGCGTTGATAAGCCCATTGATCTTTCTGGCGCTCCGAGATGTTGAAGGTGGTGGTCAAAGGTAGCATCATCTTGCAGCCGGGTACCGGACAACGCCAAAGTCCCGGCGATGTGTTTGATGGCTTTACTTTAAGGCTTCACTTGCTATTGCAAGTTTCTTAACGCCGCATTAGTTGGTGGCCGAGCAGCCCGTCTGGCAGTGCTAATGAAAAGAGCCATTGGCTTTCAGGGCACGGCGCTGGGGCCTTGCCTGGCTGAAACAAATTCAGGACTGCTATGCTAATAGTTAATGCCACTTATTCGGTGCTTCTGGGGCCTAGGGCTGCTACATAGTTCGGTCAACCATGAGCATTGCGATGGCGACGAAGCTTTTTGTGTCCCTTTGGAGCTTAAACTGATGCTAAACAGTAGGGATTGGTAATAATCGATAGTTTCTTTCCGTGTTAAACAAAAAAGTTGGCAAATTTTCTCACAGGGCCCAGACCCCCCCCTTTGGGGACCCCCCCCCCCGGGAGCCCCTTTCGGGCCCAGAAAAACGTTCAGGGGGCAGATTTCGATGAGTTCTATCACCCCCGGGGTGTCTCGGGCCCGGGAGGGGCATGAGGTACAGAACTATACTTCCGCACCCGTCCTGATGTAAAAGGTAGGAATGCAACTGGAACTGGCAGGAACATTATCAATTGTTTTAATTATTACCTTCGAACTGTAGCTTAAATTAGGCTTTGTTAAATAATTGCTTCAGCCAACCCTATCCATATTCGATGGATTTGGCCACTCAACATGCCTCATGTGCTGGCCACTCACCTGCATGCTACGCGCGTACGTGCTGATGCTGGTGGCTCCTTCCCCCGCACATCCCTGAGCCTGGCTGCCGCTGCCAGTGTTTCCCGAGGTAGACTGCCCCACGTGCCCTTGCGGCTCTTCTTCTTGCTTCCGTAGCTCCTTGGCAGCAGCTCTTATAGATGCTGCCAGCATGTCCTTCAGCATCAGGCGGTTGGCCTGATGAAGCGGCAATGTGAGAGAAGCAGCAGCGCACTAGCATCACAAAATACAAGGCCGACGCTGGGGTGACTACTATGTACGGCAAAGCTGTTAGTGAACCGCATGCAGTGACGCATGCCGAGAGCAGTATTTGGGGCAGGATTGATAACATGAGGATAGCCAGCAACAGCACGCACCTCCCGCGCATCACAGTTGCCAGGCCCATGTTGTGAGGAAATGAAATTGCTCCCTGGCTTGCTGTAAGAGTTTGTTCCATTAGCGCCCGAGGTTTTCGTTGTCGCAACTGTACTGCTGTCGTGGCTTGAATTGTTGGCATCGTTGCAAGCCTGCACATTCCCCTTGACGCCCGCATCTGCAGCTGCCAACTGTGTCAAGTCGCTTGACAGGCTTTTACCGGGCCATTTAGCCTCTGTTTCTTTGCTCTTGTCCTTGCCGGCCACTGCTATAACAACAGCAGCTGCACTGGCATCCTTGTCAGCGGCCGCGTACCGGCGCCGCCTAACTGCCATTTTGACAAGCAGCAGGGCCAGCAACAGCAGCAGCAGGAGCCCGAAGAAGGCGGACAGGGAGCTTGCCACAGGCACCACATAGGCAGGGCGGCCGGCGGAGGAGGGAGCAGGAGGGGCGGTGCTAGCTGCTGCTGAAGGAGGCAGCAGCCCGGGCTGAGCCGGCATTGTGTCGGTTGATAGCATAAGCGGTGCCGGGCGGGTCACGAGCGGTGGCGGGCGTTCAACGTTTGCGGGAGTGGCGGGCGGGCTGGGAGGTGGTGGAAGGAAGGTGCTGATTGTGTTGTTGATGTCCATTTCTGCAATGAAGTATGACAGATAGAGCAGCACGGAACAGGTCAAAGGGCCGCACGCACTTATGTGCATTGAACTGACAGCGCACTTCATCCATGGTGCACAATTTGTACGGTGAAAGTGCGAGTCCAGTGGAATGGGAACACTGATGCAAGTGGCTTCGCGTCACGAATGAGGAGCGCAGGTCACGGGCTCTACTGAAGTGCATATTTCCATATATAAAAGCTTGTTATGGACCTGCATTACAGCTACGCGCTTTGCATGGGGGACGAAATGGGTACACAGGGCAGGAATGAACACAGAATGTTGTGTATAGGTGACATGGTCGGTGGATATGCTTGCCCTTGTGAAGTGTATAGTAGGGAACCTAGGCGCTAGTGGGTAAGCGTCACGAGCAATTGTACCTGCAAGCTCTTGATACGGCAAGGTAAAGGACGGGTAGGAGAGCAGGCTTGCGTTCCTGGGGGCATCCGGTGGCATCTTGTACGTCACCGTCACGTTGGTTCCCACCCAGCCGTAGTGCTGTGCAGCCGCCAGGACCAGCACCCCGGCATTGTAGTCATAGGACAGCGCCTGCCAGGGAGGCAAGGTGGAAGAAAGGCTACACAAGATGACGCGGAGCCAGGACCTGACGTCTTCAACATGGTGTCCGTAGCTGGCAGAAGTCGTAAGCATCCAGAATTAATCCCCGAAATGGTGCAACACGCTGCTGGCTGGAACGGCGGCCTGCCCACCCACCTGGGATGCCGCAGCATAGGCTACCAACGCCGTCAGTGGATCGTCCGAGCCGGGTTGTAGAGGTGGTGGTGAGGGTGGTAGCGATGGTAAGGGGGGCGGACGGGGAGGTCGTGGATGGGGAGGACGTGGGGGCGGAGACGGTGGCTTAGGGGGTGACGGCGAAGGAGGCCGGGGTGGTGACGGTGGCGACGGAGGTCGCGGCGGTGGTAACGATGGTGGAGGCGGCGGTGGTGGTGGCGGTGGGGGTGGTGGCGGTGGCGACGGTTTTGGTGGTAGTGGTTTAGGTGAAGGCGGCAAGAGCGGGGGTGATGGTGGCAGGGGTGTCGGTGGTGGCATTGAAGGAAGCGACGGGGGCGGTTGACTTGGCTGTGCTGGTGGTCTGTCAGCACTCGCCACCACAGGCGGTTGAGGCGCTGTAGGCGCCAGTGGTTGTTCGTAGGGTGAAGGTGGTGGCTGGCTGGGTGGCGACAGAGGTGGAGACGGGGGTCGGGGTGGCTGCAGTGCCGGATAGTACCAGCGAAGTATGCCACCTGTGCATTGGTGTGGAGAATAAGGCGTCGGTAAGACAGTTCGCTGTTAATGGGGCACAGGTCAGGCAGCAGGCATGAAGCAGCACCTAGCGACAGTGTGATGACCTGACATCGTCATTGCAGCGGGTGAGGGCGCATGCCGTGTGCAAAGAGAGTACCATGTGCCTGCCTGCCTGTGCACCAGGAGGCAAGCTCAATATAGGATTAAACTGAAAAGCTAACAACAAGCTGCGACACAGATAAGCACAGGGAAGACAGGGAAGTGCAGGGTCAGGGATACGGGGTACGCGGTCGTGGATACGCAGTGGATACGAACAACCAGGTGGCAGGGATGGGAACAGTCCGTCGTAAGAGGGCTAGCATGCCCAAGACTCACCTCCTCCTCCTCCCAAGATCCCCTTCAGTTTACGTGACACGCCCTGAGGAGATTCGGCGCCCAATGTCTCAGCCCCATCGCTCTTCCCAGCTGTGGCCGCCCTCCAATACGTTGGCTGCGGTGCATCCTGCTCCTCCTGCGCCCTGCGCGAGCGAGCCTGCCCGGCTGCAGCATCCACTTGTTGCAGCAGCACGGCAGCAGCTAGCGCACGCCACTCGGGCTCTGAAACCACGAGAGTGACATTCTCGAGGACTAGCCGTGGCACTTGTGAGTCCGTCGTCTCGCCAGTCTTGCTGAAGAACCAGAGCGGGAGCGAGCTGTTGGCCCAAGCCGCGTCCGGGCCCCTCAGCTGGGGCGGCTCTGCTCGCATGCCATGGCCGCTGATGTAGTCGTCGTCCCCAGCACTGGCGTCCAGAGGGTACATGCCGCCGGGCGCTAGGTTGTACAACACCAGGTTTCGGAGTGTGACGGGACGTTGAAGGTTTACACGGCCGATGGCTCCCTGTCAACCGGGTGTGATTGTGAGGTAGGCATTAGGTTGCGGCTGCATACATGCGACCCGTGGCTACCCTTTTGCAGGCGCGCATGGTACTGCCCCTCCCTCACCTGCAGGTTCACAAAGGTGCGGCCGCCTCCCAGCTGCTGCGGGTAGCCGCCCACAACGCACTCGCTAGCAGGGGCCAGCGGACCACCACTAGAGATGCGGATCGAGCTGGCAGCCTCTTCAGCGCCAGATAGCACCGCGGGGACGCTCTGGTCGTTGCGTCTGTGGGCCGATACACAGGCAACGGTGATATTTGTTGGCCGCAGTTTTGTGCGCGGGTCAAGCAACTGGCCGTTGGTGCCCAAGCAGGCCCGAGCCTCCTAAAGGCCTGTCGGCATGCGAACAGGTTTCTACCGTATTCAACATTTCCAACGCGGTGGGAGGTCGGCCCAGAAGGCCAGCCCAGAAATACCGCCATTCTGCATCTCACGTACCCTGTAACAACCGTGACGGGGGTCTTGCCCGGCAGTGGCCCACAAGTTGAGTCGAGGTTGGACAGGGCGCACTGAAAGCTGGGAGCCAAGGCAAGTCCCAACGGACCCTGCAACCAGGTAACCCGGAATGTAATGAAGAGAAGGCGCTGACAGTGTCACAAGGATCTGCAAGTCATCAAAGACGGTCAGTGGAACACGGCATGGAGCAAGTGCTCGACAGAGCTTGCTAGGCAAGCTTGCTTGCGCGGCTCGGCTTGCAAGGGCTGCCGCTGTATCCTGCCAGGCACTCACCCACTGCGCTGCCGTCTCAGCATCCCCATGCAGCAGCTCCGGGGCCCACAGCAGAGACTGCGGCAGCAGTGGCTTGGCGCCTGGTTGTGCCGCGTAGTGGCTGGCGGACAGCAGCGTGCAGTTGAGCAGGGAAACCTGTGGGCGTAAGGTGTGGCAATCGTGATTGGGTGTCAGAAAGGCATATACAACGAGAGCAGCTTGTTACCTTTTTTGAACAAGAGCAGAGAAAGAAGGAAATCACGGAGCTAAACGACGAGAGCTTGCCGTGAATCCCAGATAGATGTCCTTCAGTAGCGCGGCTAGCTTTCAAGGGTTCACACCTACGGAAACATTCCATGTCAGCGCATGTGCGTGCGCCTTACCCATGCTTTAACCTGACCGCATCATAACAGGGCACTCATCATGCACGTGTAACTCATCCTCGGCATACCGGTACTTGCAGTCGGAGAATCCGGAAAGGTGGCGACAACGCCCAGCATTCCTCACCTGCGTCCCCATCCGCAGCTGGTTGACCAGCAGCTGCCCCTCAAGCGCATTGTTGGAGGGTTGCTGCGGTGAGGGTGTTAGGAAGTACATGGATGAGGAGGGGAGCCCAAGGGTAGGCAGCACATCCGTGCTGGCAAGGAAGGCAGCATGGCTTTGCGAGCCAGTTGGCGCTCATCAGATGCTCGCAGGCTGGACACACTGGGTAACAAGGGGTAAAGGCCAGCGGCGCTGCCGTACCACATTTATTGCGGTCTAATGGAGTCCTTACGGGTTGGTCCTCCAGTGCAATCCTCGCTTCCTAATGAACACACCCCACCCTAGCCCATGTCAGCCCCCGCCCACAATCAGACCTGGACATCAAAGACGGTGAAAACCGATGTCAGTTGCACCCTTGCAGGGGAAGTCCCATTGGTCCGGGACAACCGCTCCAAAAAGGCAACCTCTTGGTCCGGTACGACAATTGTACTGCGCTTGAGGATGAGCTGGGGTGACGATGTATCGACAGTCATCCTGTGGGGACCAGTACAGCAACATCCCTTTTGCCTTTTCAAGCACATATGCTCTCACATGCCATGTGAGGGCTACACAGGAGCATTTATGTATCAAGCCCCTTGCCAATCACCACATGGTGAGGTTGTTAAACAGCCGCCAAACAGCATTTCCATAACCAGTGCGTATGTATCTGGACTCTTTCCAGCTAGGACTTATGAACAACATCCAACTCGTACAAGCTCAACATTGCCGCCCAACACTGGCTCACCTGTCAGTTGCAAAGCTCTGCAGGCTTATGGCTAGAAGGCTGCTGGTGTTGCTAGGCGCTGTTGAGAGAGGCAAGTTGACAAGCGTTAACTCGTGCAGCTGTGCGGCTTGCAGGATTGCTCCATATATAAGCTGGTTGCTGCTGGCTTTGTACCATGCACGCTCCACCCCTGCCAGGTTGATTGTGGTGGTCCTCACAGGATTCCCCAGCAGCACCACCAGGATAAACGCTGGCAACGCTACCTGTGTCAGAAGCAAGGGAGGCATTAGTCTGTCTCGGCTGACGGCATGGCCCTCCAATATCCATAGTCTGTTCAGAAACTGGCCGCGAGTAGGAACACCGCAGTGTGTTAGGCAAACTGGCCGTGTATGTTGTAACACCAGAACAACATGAACCCGTCCCAAACGCCAACTAACTCTCATGACTCCCTCAACAACTCCCTCACCGTCTGCCAGCTCCCATCTCCAGGCAGCTCCACATCCGTCGCCACAGACAGGAACAGGGTGCCAGAAGTCATCTTGCCGATCATTGATGCCAGACTTGATTGGCCCAGCTGCCAGATGCTGGCCACCGGAGCTGCTCCAACACGAGGTCTTGGCGGCCCGTACCCTGGACAGGTTATTGTTACACCAGACCACTGCACCTCACCGCCTGTGTATGCATCATAGCCGTAATCACTGACATGGGGTGATACCACCCGAGCTTGTGTGGTGAGGGACTCTATCTGAATGACACCGTTGCGGACGGTTACGGTTGTGGTGTAGGGCCATAGAGTAGCCGCCTTGCTCCACTCAGTCAGGTAGGTGTCCAGATAAGTATCGGATAAGAGCAGTGTCACATTTTGGAGGGTTAGAGTGGCTCCCTCCAGGACTTCTATTAGGTATGCGGGTGACAGTGACGAAAAGGCCATATGCGTGTGCGGCCCCAGAGGCGTCTCCACTTCACTTGCGCCTATCCCCAGGGATGAGATGGTCAGGTGTTGTCCTACACAGCAAGGCAAGCAAACCAGGTAAAGCAAGGGCTGTTACACTCTGAAGAACCCTTGAGGGAATTTCTCTGACCAAAAAGGTATGACTGAGGAGGAGAGATCGGAGTGTGTAAACTCCAGCAGAATCTTCCCGGGCCAGCGCAACATGGGGCATCGATTGGACACCCCCCACAGGCAGGTGTATTAAACAGACTGGCCGCGAGTAGGGACCACCGGTACTGGGTGTATGTGCGCACCCTCACGCACCTGGTCCCACCCTCATTGCAGGGATCCCATGCAGGGAAGCATAACGATATGAACTGAAGTCCAGCACTGTGTATGGAGCTTCAGCAGGCGGAAAGGGTGCATCTGGGCTGGGCGCTGGTAGAGGCGGCTGGGGCGGAGCTAGCGGTGGTGTTGGAGGAAGGGGTGGGCTTGGCGGGCTTGGTGGCTTTGGAGGACGGGGAGGGGTTGGTGGGTTGTAACGGACCATTGATGGCGGCTTGGAAGTCATCTGGCTCTCTGGCATGGTGCTTCCCCTGCCCTCCAGGACAACCGTTGGTGAGGGGAGTTCCACCGTCATGGGATCTGCACCCTGCTGCTGCAGGTATATGACACCCTGTGGAAGGATGTCCTGCCCTGCCAGCAGCTGTTCCAGCGTGACACCGCCATCCGTGGGAATGACGAGGCTCTCTGCTAGTGATGCCAGTGCCAGCACAGCTACCAGCAAGAGCAAAGTGCCTGACATATAGAGGTTTGCGTAAACGGCAGTAAGTTGGTACAAGAATAGCGACCATTTCGCCAGCCAATATATCTACCCCAACGACAGCATTGGAATGCTGCATCTAAAAACGCGACGAACTCGGCATATACAAGGTGCAAACTCAAAGCTTAACTGCCCCCCACACCATTGACGCCTTACTTCTTGGTGAATCTGCGTTTGGGAGCGACGGCTGATGTCCATTGGCATGAGGCAGCTTCATTTTTGGTCCGTGTAACTTGCTATAGTTGGCAAAATCACCGCTATACTCTAACACACGGCCGGTGTTCACGAGCGACGCCTGCCATACTTGACGTGGATGTTGGACGTTCTTCGAAGACTGCAACTAAGAGTTTGTGTGGAGAGCATGTAGCAGACAGTGGCTACACTTTAAATGTCCTTTCAGTAATGGATATACATTCGTCACTCCAATCGTAGAAGGAGTTTTGCATTGTTCATTGTATTATCAACGTGCAAAGCGCGCATGGTCTACTGTAAAGTTAGTAGTTCGCATGTATGAATACTCCGTGGATGAGAGCCGCTTTTCTGTAGAATGCGAAAGTTACAAGGGAGACCGGAGCTCCTGAAAGCCTGTAGAATGCGAAAGTTACAAGGGGGACCGGAGCTCCTGTAGAATGCGAAAGTTACAAGGGGGACCGGAGCTCCTGTAGGGTCTTAGTAACCTGTACAGCCTGTACGGGCTTTTTAACAAATGCAGCAAAACGTACATGCATCTTCAGATAGTGGTCCAGGCTGCCGGCATGTATCCTGAATATTGGAAGCCACGGTGGGGCACCAAATTGAATAGTACAAAGACAAGATATGGGATAGTGGTGTCTCACGGGATGCTGATATGATGTCTGTCATGGGCATGGAGGATCAGGCATTGCGTGCTGGCGTAATCACTAGCAAGCGAAGTCGTAGGATTGCGCAGACAGGGATTATCATCTGAGTAGCGTGCTGTTTCTGTCTCTAAAGTTTTACTTTTCTTCTTTTGATTGTTCTTGTGTTTTTGTGCTCGCGATCATGAGCCTTCTGGCTCGGACGGATCTTACGAGCTCGGTACGAAGCTTGTAACACATACATACATACAGTACAAACACACGGCCCGCCAGGGTGGGCGGTTGAGCAGATTGAGGCCGGGAGGGGCAAACGCCTCAACAGGATTGATCTACACAAGGGCAGATAACCAGGCAATGCGCCCAGGGCCGGAAAGAGACCATGCCGCCAAACACTGTACGACACAAACCCGGCACATGTAATAAGTGCTTAAAATTTACGTGCTTTTGCTCGTATCTCATCGTATCGCATCGCTAAGATGCTCTTGTGTTTATTCTTTTGTGCATGATGGCCAAAGGAACCTCCGCCCTTTCCCCGTGTTTAGGTATCAGGGCCATACAATGCATCTCTTCTGTGCCAATGCCAGCGCAAACGAGCACCACCCCTGCCTCGCACTTGCACCACTCCTGCCTGCTGTCACAAGACACATACAATTGTTACGGTCGCTCATTCATACCTGCCGGACAAGCCTATCTAGACACCACACGATACCTAGGTAACTATCCGGTGGCTACCAGCTCCCTGCCCCCAGCCCCCTGCCCCACCCTGCACGGAGTCGTGCTGCGTGGCAGCCGCGTCATCATGCCCAAGCCTCCCCACAGTACCCCACAAGTTCACGCCATGTCGTAACTTCCCTTGCGCGCTTGAGAATTTGCACCCACGGATTTCTCCATCCTGAAGTGACACCCCGGCACTGCTCCTGAAACTCCTGCTACGCGGACTTCGCCGCACCTGGCGTAACGTCATCCGGCAAGGGAACCTCTGCTGCGGCCGCCACCATGCTGGGGGAGACGACCGCGCGCGTGCCTGCGTTCACAAAAAACAGCATGTATCCCTGCTTGGCCGCGTCCTCCCGCACGCGTGAGAAGTCCACGTGGCTAACGACCGAGTCGTTGTGCTCAAACCACATCTGCAAGGCGACACACCGGCGCAGGTCGAGCACGTTGCGTTATTAGCTCATTACTTGAGGGTTTTCGCCGCCGGGCGCATCGGCCGTCAGCAGCCGCACAAAACCTCACGGGCCCGCCATCCGCACACAGGTAGCATGCCGACCCTCACGACCACAACACCCGAGACGTACCGTACCCATCTCCACAATTCATCAAACGGGTTGATGCGCCCTTGGGGCATGTCACGGTAACCAAACGCAAGCAGGCGGATCCGAAGGGTGCAAGCGGGTACCGGTATTCGCGCCACCACACACACGCACCTCCTGTTCCCGGTGGTCTCGGTCCTCCGTCACGACCAGCGCATCGGCAACGTAGTGGCCCGAGTAGGGCGTAAGGCCCTTGTGGCGGACCACACCATGCAACCGGTAGCGCGCCAACTGAGACAACGGCACGCTGGAGGTGGAGCCGCCGCCGCCGCTGAGCCGCGCCCGCTCGGAGGGAGACGCCTCGACCTGCTGTGTGACGGCGGCGCCAGAAGTGGCCGGAATCGTGGTCTTGCCAGCCTCGGCGGCCTCCTCAACGGCCCCCTCCTCGCAGTCGCTGTCAGCAATGAGCGCCACCTGCAGACGGACGCCGTGCGACGCCGCAAACATGAAAGGAGGTGAAATGAATACTGGCCGCCTAGGGAAAGCAGGGCATGCGGGAACTGTCACGGTACCAGAGCATGGTCGTAGCATGTCGGAAGCGAGGAAGAGGATGTACCCAGCTCTGTTTATTCAGCGTAGAGTAGGCCCCTTACCTTTGGCTTCGCAGCTTTGGCGTTGTCACCGTCGCTGCCGCTGCCGCCGCCAGCTGCAGCATCGGCATCCACTCCACCCGCATTGTTGGCGCCGTCATCCGACCCCACGTCCATCCACTGCTGCTCCTGTTCCTGCAAGGCGGGCAAGCCGTGGCAGGAAGAAACATAGGCCGCTTTGTCACGGGTCTTCCCTGCCTAACGATCGAGGGCTAGGTGCGGGGGCGCCGATACTACAAGAAACAAATCAACGCACGAAGGCTACACCGCAGAGACTTCTTCGCAGGCCACAATGGGATGAACGGGAAGTGGCGAAGCGTTGTGTAAACCGCCGCTGCATTACCTGCAGGCTCAGCAAGATGGCTTTGTTCAACTCCGCATCCTCATCGTCAACGCCGGCGCAGTCGCTGGTCAGGTCAATGACGCCCTTCGCGCTATCATCGCCGTCACCGTTGCCCTGCGTCACAAAGTTGAACCGAAAGTCCTCCTGACCAGCCGCACCAACCTCCGCGCTTGGGCCGGCATCTGTCTTGCGCGGTGACGCTTGCCGGCGCCGCCCAACACTACCGAGTTGGTTGCCCGCGGCACCTGAGGAAGGGCCTCCCTTGGCACCGCTGCCGTGCTCCTGGGCGCAAAGCCCTGCTACAGCAGCCAACGCGTCCATCCCTCCCGCATGCCGTGTGTCACACGCCGTCTGCTGCATGAGCGGCTCCTGGGCCTCCTGATCTGCGTCCGGCAGGCTGAGCACCTTCTGCCAGGTATCCTCAACCCCCGTCGTTGCACCACCACCGCAGCTGTTGTGTCGCGCCTTTCTCGCGGCCTCCTCCTTTGCAAAGGTCTCCATGCTTAGCCGCATCACCTCCCGCATCTCCTCCTCGTCATCAGCGGCAGCTGCCTCTCCACCCCCGGCGGCATCGTCGCCCTCGTCAGGCCCCTCGGTCCGACCATCTGCCATGGTCCCTGCATTCCTGACGCCACCCCCCGCGTACCGCTGACGGCCTGCCGTAATGGGCGACTGTGCTGTCGTACCGTCATCCTCGTCATCGCCCACGTACTGTACGACGTTGTCACCTCCGCCGTCGACACGCCGGCAATGGATTGGCGGTACGGCAGGAGACTCGGCGTAGTCTGGCACCTCCACGGCAGGGTAGGTGAGGTGCCGGCGTTTGCGGGCGATACGGCGGCGATCCATGCGACAGCGTTCCACAGTGGCACCGCCGTCGCTGGCACCGGGAGCAGTCCCAACACAGTCGCTGTCATGGTCCCCGTCATTCTCGCCGCTGCTGCCGCTCGCTCCTGACAAGGCGGCGTTCGAGCCCGGAGGCCTACGGTACGGTAGTGAGGAATGGGGACAGCAGCGACACGACGTTAGCATCCATTCGTTCAGCTACACCTGGCCTCTACTACGACTGCACTTCACAACAAGCCCATAACTCCGTTTACGCAGGAGGAGCCCTCAAGAGGAGCTAAACCTCAGGACAGCGAGCGCATTGTCCCTTTCCCGCCCTACCACAACGAAGTCTACCCGCACCAGCACCAGCACAGCTTACCTCGAATCACGGCGACGCTCCGCTTTGCTGCGCCTTCCCGCCTTCCCGCCTCCAACGCCGATGCCCCCTGGGCTCTCATCCTGCAGCTCCACCACCTGCTGCTCATCCCCGTCATCCTCCCCAGCAGTGCAGACGCTGCCATGGCCACGGTCACGGCCGGGTGGGGACTCTCGCTCAGGCTTCCATGCCGCGCAATGACGACCACCCCCGCAAACAGCCATCGCATCACCAGCGCTGTCGCTGCTGGCGGAAGCACGGTGTTTGTTGGGTGTTGCCGCGGCTGCAGCCAAGCCGACGCTCCCTCGCCCGGCAGCAGCTGTGGGCACGGAGAGGTCCAGCATGGGGGCCGCTCCGGAACCAGGCAGGCTGGAACCAGCTGCTGTTGCAGTAAGGAGGCCCTGGTCGTGCCTCTTTCCAGCGCTGCCGGTGTTGTGACCGCGGGCGTCACTGCTGGTGCCGCCAGCCCCTGCTGCTGCTGCCAAGGCTCCGTCTTCTAGACTCAGCCGCAGGGCCAACTCAAGTTGCTCCTCTTCCGTCAGGTTTTCTAGCCGCGGGGACATCTTGGCTTGCTGCGCTGTCCCAGCAGCTGTGCCTGGCACCCGCCTGCGAGCGGTGCCAACACGGGAGACAAGGGAACGTTGTCCATACGGGCACAATTAAGGAGCGCACATACCCGGGCGCCTTGGTGCACCGGTACCAGGGGCAACTCGGCTACCGTATACCGGTAGTCACCACGACGCAAAAGCGTATAAGCGAGGACAAAGGGGCGATGGCAGCATATACACCCTCTATCGTATGTGTAGGGGCACGACCTTCAAGCCCAAAGCTATTGCAAGACGCCAACCAACGCACCTGCCCCCGGATGGCCCCGGTAGGTCATCAACGCAGACACGCTTGCGTGGCCGATCCTGTTCATCGCCGCCACCGCCAACGCCGCCGCCGCCACCACAACCGCCAGCCAAGCTCTCGCCAGGCGTGCTTCTAGGGTTGCCGCCGCCTGGTCCGAAGAAGCGGCCCGTCGCGAGGGACTTTGGCCCCTTGCGGCCAGAGCATGCCATAGCTGCCGCTACAGCCTCCGCCGTATTAAGGCACGACGCACTGCAAAGAGGGCGACGGGAGATGCTACCAGGCTGCTGCTGCTGCAGCCCCGCTTCGTCATTTCCCGTCTGGTTGCTCTGACGACGACGGGACGCCGCCTGTACGACGGGAGTTGGCTGGCTGGCTTCCAGGCTGTCCTCATCGCCTGCTGGCCGCCACAGCCCATGTGGCGTACCAAGTGCCACTGCAGGCGTCGTGGTCGCCCGTGCGGGACAGCTGCGCGGCACCTTTGGCTTGTCTTGTTGCGCCCTAACGAACCCAAATAAACCCCCGTCGGCGTCGTCGGCGTCTTGTCGGCCAGCCGCTCGTTGCGCCTGCTGCTGGTCTCGTCCGCGCTGCGCTGACAGTGGTGGGGGTGCTTTGCCTCCATGCGGAGTGGGCTCGCCGTCCGCCTGGTGGCCAGTGCTCATGGCACTCGTGCCGCACTCGCTCTCATGCGGGTCACAATGACCCATGGGTCGGCCTGGCGTTAGTCCCAGTCGTGAGTGCTGCAGCTGCTGCGGACGTCCCGGCTGCTGCACGGTGCGCTCCTGCAGCGCAGACCTGTTGGGCTGGAAGGAGGGGCTGGGACAGGTGGAGGCCCCGCCGGCCGTGTCGAGAGTGGCGCCGCCGGGCGTGACTTGCGGCTTGCTGGCAGCGTCGGCGTTGGCAGTGGCGTCGACTGTTGCCGCATTGGCAGTCCCACGCGTGACTGCGGGCAGCAACGGGTAATGAGGCGTGTGGTCTTAGGAGATTGGTGTCATCACGAGTAGAGGTACATGCACACCGTAAAAGGCGTGCATCGTGTGCGTTATGCTGCTGCGACGTGCTGTGAAGGAGTCCAGGAAGCGAGTTCAAGCACCCCCCGGTCCCCGCCCGCCCAAACCCCGCTCACGAGCAGATGGTGGCAGCCCCTCCAACAGATGCACATGGGCGCGAGCTCCGGTGTCGCAGTGCCGCGACAGGTCGAGCGACGCCGACACCTCCACCGCCGTGTGAAGCTGTGCAGGAACAAGAGGTGCGCCGGACGGATGTTAGCAGGAACAGCACTTTAGCTACTGGCATAGCTACGGCAATCAAGCCCACCCCCAGAATGCGGCTTGGTCGGCTGGTCACAGGACCGAAGGACGGCAGGTAGGCAGGCAGCTGCAATGTAGAAGCGCACCTTGGCATACAGGTACGGTGCCTGGGGGCTGGCCTCACGAGAAGCGGGCGCTTTCGCAGGCTGCGGCGGTGCTGGTGTGCAGGTGCCGGGCCCGGGCCCAGCAGGGACCGGGCCCGCTTTTGGCTGGTGACGACCCGCGTCGTCACGTGTGTGAGTTCCTGGGGCACTGCCCTCGGCCGCCTGGACACACGAGGGCACGGAATCTTGGAATCGCGGAAATATGGGGCCTCGTCAAGGCAGATGGCTAGATAGCTCAACCAGCACAACAGTACTGGCACTGCTGAACTGCTAAGCTAGTGCTGAGCCCGATTCCCGTACCAAAGCCTGCAGGGTACGCGTACCTTGGCCGTCTGGGAGTCCTCTGGGTCGCTCGCCGCAAGCTCAGCCTCCGCCGCAAGTTTCGCGGCCTCGCCTTGTCTCCCTGGCAGCTCGGGGTGCGGCGGGTGAGATGCTCGCTGGGGCGGCTGGGGCGGCTGCAGCAGCGGCATGAAGCGCTTGATGTGCACCACCAGCACACGGGGCAGGCGCCACATGCGGTGCTGCACGGTGTGGGCGACCGCCGCCGCCGGCGAACAGCCGTCGCAGTTCTTGTGGATGGTCTCGTCCTGTTAGGCAACATGGAACGGGCACGAGCGACAATGACACACGTGCGTGTCTGATAAGAGATAACGTTCGTAGAACTAATTCTCTCTTACTAATTCTGCGCGCAGCTGTACCGCATGCTTCGGCACACATGTTTCCTAGTCTCCAACCTGTACACAACACCGTCAACCCACCTTAAGGTACTCAGCCACCAGATCCTGAAGAACAAAGGTTTGACAACGATTAGTGAAAATCAGGAGCCAGGTTGAACAAGAATGCAATGCGGCGAAACTACGAAGATACGGTCCATGCATGGCATCTAGACCCCTGCATGGCGTCCCTGAGGCACGCCTTGCAACGTCTTAACCAACCCAACAGGGTGTGCGTGTGGTGCATTCTAACGCCCTTAGCTGAGCATCCGCATGAGCTCCCCAGCCGCCCACCTGCAGTGTCACCGACCCAGATGCCGGCAGCTGCAGGCTGAGGCAGCTGAAGGGCTCCTTGGAGCGGCTGCAGCGGCCGCAGCCGGAGCAGGTCCACGTGTGCACCAGGCAGCCGCCCAGGTTGCGGGCAACGGGGCAGCTCGTAGAGGAGAGCCGCACGCGCTTACAGCCCGTGACAGCGGCCTGGCGGCGGAGCGGCGGTGGAGGATGGGAACGGAGTGAGTTATTTTATTGCTGCATGATGTTCACTTGCATCCCTCTGCTGCTTTAGGTGGCTCGTTGCTTAACTGCAGCTGATGCCCCCAAACCCCAACAACGACCCAGAAGGCTCGCATCACTCCACCTTACGCTCTCTCCGGAAACCCTAGCCGTCTCCATGCGGTCCCAAAACCCCCGCGCGCCCTACGTACTTACCTCAGCCCGCCCCATGCACCGCCCCTCCCTGTCTGCTCCATGCACCGCCCCCGCTCCTACCTCCGCCCCCAGCACCTCGCTCTGCAGCCCCTCCAGCAGCTCCACCAGGAACTCGTGCGCGTCCTGCTGCGCGTAGCTGCGCCACCGCCTGCCGCGGCGACCCATGGCAGCCCGCAGCGCAGCGGGCTCCACTGCCGGCTTGCGGCTGTCGAAAGAGAGGCGCCTGTGGCAGGATGACGGCGGACAGAAGAGGGAGGGGGCAAAGTAACAGGGGCACAGTAGCTGCCAGTAGCTTGGCGTGTTCAAACAGGAGCTGTTCCAACAGGGAAGGGACCGAGTAGTAGCGAGTGCTGTGGCTACGAGGGCAAGCTGGCGGAAGCACGGGACGCTGCTTGCAGGCGACTTACGAGGTAGAAGCCGAGCGCAGTTTGTCGAGGGTGGCCAGCAGTGCGCTCCACACGCCAGCTGGCGGCAGGTGCTCCCGCAGGCGCTCCAGGGAGGGACGCAGCAGGTCGGACGTAAAGGAGGGCATTCTTAGCAGCACCTGAGCAGGATGAGGAGTGGGTGCAAGGTCAATGCAAGGACAACAAGAGGGTGTTGACCCAGATCAGGAAACCGTCATAACGTGCGGGCACATGCATGAGTTAGCTGATCTGGGTCATGGCGAGGACGAGGGCGAGGCTTGTTGGTGGGATGAAAGTCCCAAGCGCCGCTTCACTTGCCAGATCGCAGGCCCCGTCCATGCCCTGGTAACCATGCCACCTAAGGACCGGGCATGGAGGACCCAGTATTCCAGGGGCGCACCTGCACCACCGAGTTGAGGTAGCACGTGTTCCCAAGGTTCACCATGCCAGCTGGAGTCAGACGACTGGCGTGGATCCGCTACATTGGGGCATTTAAAGGGCAGTAGGAGTGAGGGTGGGTTCTCAAGCTTTAGCACAGCAAAACCCTGGAGTAACGAGGAATTGGACGCTTTGCTCGTTGAACATGCGCGCTGGCGCCTCACCTTATGCTGTTGGGAAAAGAGCGAATGGATCTGGGCCTGCTTCTTGACCTCGGTGCCGGACATGGGCCCTCCGGTGCGCTTGCCTACCGTCAAGCCCAAGCTCTTGCCGGTGGTTGCGGGACGCGCGCGATCCCTTTCCTCCTCCTCATCATCAACAATTAACTCGTAGGGGTCTGGGCTCCCTCCACCTGCCCATCGGGGAGCTACATGTAAGCACCATGGCCCCGCAAGGCGGCAGGGACTTGGTTTGCAGCTTCGCCTACCTTTTGCGTCCGCAGAATCCCTTCCGGACCCAGAACCGTCCCGACGCGAAGGCATGCCCTGGACCGCGGGACTTGGTGGCACGAGGGTCCCTGAAAAGGGCGGAGGATTGGCTGATGCAACTCCACGGTATGCTGGAGTGCCTGCAGCAAGTCCTGAGAAGAAGGATGAGAGGTTTCGCCTCGGGCCTGGTAAGTTGGTCATGCGAAACAGTCCCAGGACAAACCTGGAAGCCTGCCACCGCCACCCTTGTCCTTATGCGCAGCTAGCAATCGTGCGCCTTGGCCTGCAGCAACCAAACAGGCTTAATCACCTTGCTCCCATGGAAGTGTTGCAATGCCCAAGAATAATCCACAGCCAAAAGCCATGCTACGCTATTAATTTTGTATATAAGTAAGAGGAGTAAACATCGGCCGCTTCACCAGGCTGCTTGTAGGCGCTGAGGCCTTGTGCACTGACAGCCTTGAGCTGTCGTTGGGTCACGCACTTACTCCGCCCCCCATGCGCCGGGATGCGCTGCAGGTCAACCATCGTTGCCAAAAGAGCACGCTAGCAGCGATGGCGCCTCTTACAGTGCCTGCTGGCGCAACACCACGGCATGCGCTCCACCGCCTGTCCTAGTCAGTGGTGTCCGTGTTTTGCTAAATGGACCATTATGTCGATGATGTAGATTGGGACAATCTACAGAAGAATAGAACGATAGTTAAGGGACGTAGGGCACTCAAAGTTGGCCACCGTATGGATCAATTTGCGCTTGGAATTAGGGATACAGGATATTACAGGGTCATGTCTGATTGTCGAGGTTTAGCTCTAGCCCTTAAGCACGTCAGGAAGACTACAAGCATCCTTAACCGGTAGTTGCAGGGCCAACGGTGCCGTACGAGTGGATCGCACAGAGAGGCCTGACGCCAGGGCAACACCCAACATGCATCCCTTCTTGCACCATGTGCAAGCCACACACAGGATTTTGCTAAAGATGCATGCGTATCAGCCGACATAGTCCTGAGCCTGCGTGCAGCTTATGCCGCCAATCTGGGCGTGCGTGGCTGGATAACAGCAACACATATGACGACATGTGGTTTGAGAGGAGCTTATAACTTGTCCTTTTAGCACACTGCAATAAGAACGGCGTGTTTCTATGTGCCTTCCTGGCTAAGAAGATTCTGCAAGAGACAGTGATGTCAGACCCTGCACTATGGGGCGTTTTTGCCTTAATCGCAATCTCTAGAGCCGCCTGCCTTGAAGACAAAGACAAGTAGCGCTGGCCGGCCGTGGCGGCCTTGTTCAATGCATGTTACGGCTGTTTCTGTGACCCGACGGGTCTTTCAACTGCGGTACATACCCGCACAAGTGGAGCTGCACCTGCAGAGGCAACGGACCGGCTTACGATTGCAAAATTGCTGCGGCCGCCTCCACCTCCACATGCCGATGTTCCTCCGAGACATGCTGGGTCCTCCAGCCACAATCAGAAACTCCTCCCAAGTTGGGTTTCTGGAAATCCGACTTGGGTCACAAACCATAACCGTGAAGCCATGTTGAAGCGTTCACAGCGTCCCAAAACGATTGCGATACCGTATATGCACATCACGTCATCATACACATCAAGATACCCCATGCACACACCAAACAATGGCTCAGTCGCTAACTACCCTGCTCACGCCGCCCTGCTCCAAGCATTCCCTCCGCATTCCGCAATCCAGTACGCCAGCAGCAACTCTCCTGCCCCTCACACTCCCTTTCCTCCCCTCCTCCCATTTCTCCTCATTTCTCCCCTCCTCCTCATCCGCCGCCAATTCCGCCGTTGCCTCACAGCTTGGCCTTGATCGCCGCCAGGGTCGCCGCGCTGGAGGCCGTGTCCAGCCCCTCCGCCGCCACCGCCACACGCGCCGCCACCGCCGACTTGAGCAGCGCCGCGTCCTCCGCCGAGCCGCCCTCCAGGAAGGCGCCCACCAGCTGACCACCCGCGCCCAGCCACAGGCAACCAAACGTCTTGGCTGCGGTGGCGGGGTTCAGAAGGGATGGATGGGGATGGTGGCACGGTGGGAAGCGAGAACGAGGGAGGTGCATGGAAGGCATGGGGTGAGGTAAGTGCGGGGGAAGCATGGATGAGGCTGCAAAAGGAGGGAGGGCTCTACCCGGGCGGGGGGCATACCACCCAGAGCATGCCCTGGGTCAAAGCCAGGCATACCAAAACAGCATTGCAACACCGCCAATATCACTTCTTACCCCTCGTCAAAAACCCATCCACCGTATTCAGCCGCATTCCCCGTTCTCTGCCTCTCCCCGCCCGCTCACCCTCCTCGGTATCCCCAAAGTGCAGCGGGGTGGTGCTCGCGGGGGCCTCTCCGTAAAACACCCACGACAGCGAAAACACACGGCTGTAAAAGAACGGCAGGTAGTCGTACGGCGCGGGAGATAGGCCTGAGAGGATGCGAGGGTTAGGGATGGTTACTGAAGGGTTGATTGAAAGATTCGGAGAAGGCAGGTGGAAAAGGGGTTAGGGAACGGAACCAATGTGCTGGCAAACAGCTAGTGGACAATGGCAGGTAGGCAGTCTAGGCACCCTCCTCCCTTCACCCTCCTCCTCCATTCACCCTTCTCCCTTCACCCTCCTCCATTCAGCAAAAGCGTTGGCACACCGCAGCCATCAATGACACCGCACTCGCATGCCAACAAGGACCCCTGGGTCTGACAGCCACCTAGCTAGCTTGCTTGCTTCCGAGGAGAACAACACACGCGGCGGCCGTACGACAGAGGTCACCATGCGGCGGATAAGGACGGCGAGTCTGTGCACCCTGTGTTACACGAGCCCCGTTAAACGGTGACCCAGTTTGTCTCTCTTCCCCGTCCTACCCATGACTGCCTTGGCCGCCTGCGCCGCACTCAGCCTGCAAGGACACGTACCGGCAGCCGCGTTAGTCGGGAGCATGTGGCGTAAAAGCAGAGCCAAGCCATCGACTCACAGCAACCGTACAAGGCACAACGGCTTCAACCCCGCTCCATAATGGCCCATAAGGCCCCAAAGCACTATCCAGCCCAGCGGGAGCCCCCAGCCACGGCTCCAAGGCGCAGCCTGCCATCAAGCGTTTCCTTTTCGGTTTCTCTCTGTCTCCCCCACATACCGGTATGTTCTCCCCCCCCCCCCACATATCCAGCCCAACTACCGGTAACTGTCCCCAAGCGTCCCCAACTAAGGCATCCCCCATGAGGGCCACGACAGCTCAGCACATCGCAGGGAGGCTAACCCACCTGCAGTGCGTCACGTGCTCCTGGCGCACGTACGACACATCCCCGGTGGCGATGGAGGTGAGCGGGAAGGCTGCCACGTCACCAATGGCGTACACGTCGGGGACACTGCGGGGGAGGAGGGGTAAGGAGGCGGGTTGTGGTGGGTGGGACACCGCCTCAGCCTCGCAGCGAGGAAGGCGGGAGCGCGGAAATGAGCAAGACCTGCGATAAAATAACATCCCTGGAGTGCAGTGAAGTGCTAATCAAGCAGGGAAAGTGCTTGCGCCAGCGTGCCTTACCGCTCCTTTCCCACCTGCTATTTACAACTATGCGAAATAAATTTACCCGGGCCCTGTCTGACCCTGTGCGTAATATCTATCCACCCCGTCTTGACCCCACCTGGTGGCCATCTGGCCGTCAACCTTGATGCCACCCGCTGCCACCTCCAGCTGGCCTGAAGCGGAGGAAGGAGAAGGGATGCCAGAGGAGGTGAACATTACACAATGACTGGAAAGGAGAAGGGGGGTGCAGGTGTTGCTTGCTCTAGTGCTCCAGGAGGCCGCTTAACGGTCCCGTTAGGTGCGGTTACCGCACACGTCCTTTCGTTCCACTGCACACGCCCATCCATTCCATCCGCTCCCCGATAAAGCCCGGTCCCCGCAGGTGTGAGCTCCCCACCGTTGTTGCTCCCCACCGCTTCCCCGCCCCATGCAACCAATCCATGGTGGAGCCTTGGGAGCCACTTGCTCAGCTGCTAGTTGCTTCCCTCCTTGCTCCACGCACGATACCATGGACGTCGGGATTCCCCAGCTGCACCACTTCTTACTTCCTTTCCTTCCGCGCTCTTCTCTCCTTTACCGGTACCCTTGAACCCTTCACCCGCGCACGCACGAACAGACGCACACGAATCGACGCACCGGCAAAGAGCTCCACATTGGCCCGCGCGCCCACCCCCACCACCACCAGCGAGGCCTCCAGCTGCTGCGCCTCACCGCCCGCAGCAGCCACGTACTCCACCGCAGTCACCTGGGCGAGGAAAAAGACATTCCAATGTTTTTTCGATGTGGTCTGTGTGGTGTGATAGTGGTAAACAAGCTGACCCTCACCTGGGTGAGGGGGGGGGGTGCCCCACTTGCGGCAGCGCGGGGATGCTGAACAATGGCAGAGGAAGGGACCAACCAACAACCAACTAACCGTTGGACAAGGCTCCACCAAGGGTAGCAGCTGCTGCGGTACCATACCACGCATGTGCAAAAGGGTAGTGTCTCCTATCCTCCTGCTCGTATATCTCACCCTCGAAACCACATCCCACAGCCCCTCCCTGACCTCCTCCTCCTCCTCCCCAAGTCCCTCTCCCACCCCCCCGCCCGCCTCCCTACCTTGCCGTCCGCCCCCGCGAAACCGGTGACCTTGACCCCCTTGAGCACCTTGACGCCCTTGCCCTCGTACAGCCGCTCGTAGACCGCCGCCAGCTGGGGCGTGAAGAGCCGCTGCATGAGCCGCTCGTCGGGGAACACCATGGTGACGGGCAGGCCGTTGGCGGCGAGACCGGCAGCAACCTCCATGCCGATGTAACCGCCGCCCACCACAACAGCCTGTAGGAGGATACCCGTACATACGGAAGGGGTAGAAAGGGAGAAACTTACTTAAACCAAAGAAACTAGAGTCTTCCTTCTGTGACGACAGAGGTGGGAGGTGGGTGGATGAGACGGGATGAGAGATGCCAAAGAAACATGGGTGTGGCGTTAAGGTTTCAGGAAGCAGTAGCATGAACTCATGGGGTACCTATAGTGTGCGGTAACCGGGTACCCCCTGCCCCGCCCCGCCCCTAGCAGTCCAACTCCTCTAACCCGCTGCCCCCCGCCCCCGCACCTTGCCCCCCGCCTCCCCAACCCCCGCTCCCGCACCTTGCCCCCCGCCTCCTTGGTGGCTGCCATGGCCGCCACGAGCGCATCCGCATCCTTGACGTCGCGCAGGTAGTGCAGACCGCGGAGGTCGGCACCGGGGGTCTTGAACTCAGTCAGGAAGATGGGCTGGGGAGGGGTTGGGAGGGGTGGGGGAGAAATAAAAGAGAAATGTGAAGCAACGGAGGTGGCAGAGGGAAGAGATGCAGCAACCATGCGTCCAATGACGGTAGCAGCACTGGGTGACAGGGAGGTAGGGGGTGGGTAACATTGGTGGGGCTGCTGCTCGAGGTAACCCATCAAAGCACCCACCCTGCTTGGGGTACACAGCGGCAGCCCATTAAAACACCCACCCCAGGTGATATGCGACTCAACCCCATTGCCCCCGTGTATACATTAGCCCATTGCCCCTGTGGAGATGGCCTTCACTTGGCTGGGAGCACCCCGCTGTTTGCATTCCCCATCGCCATGCCCCAATTTGGGGTTTCTTTGATTTGGGTTCCCTCCTTGTCATCCAGCTTCCCTCTGTAGACCCACCCGCGCTCCCGTGGCGATGATGAGTTTGTCGTACGACACAACCTCGCCGCTCTCCAGGGTGAGCGCCTTGGTCGCCAGATCCGCCTTGGTTACCCGACTGCCCGTTAGGTAGGCGATACCTGGCAGGGGTGAGAGGGAAGGGAGGCAGGTGGCCGATGCGGGTCAGGGAAAGGGCGGGGGTGGACCTAAGATGGCAAGGAGTGCCAGGCAGTACGCCGTTTTGGATACCGTGTTGTTGAGGATGCCGTGTTGTTGAGGATACGATATGCAGGCTTGCGGCCGGGTTGGGTAAGAACTGGGAACGAACGTGAGGAGATAAGGCAGTAGTAAGACAGGCAGTTCGGACTGAGGACATGTGGCCTTACAGCAACGGAAATTGTGGGCATTGGCTTGGCAGTAAAGTTGCAGAGTCACTTGCATCGCACGCCTGCAACACACACCGACCGGTGGTCCCTTATGCCGCTTGGCACGGTAACTCACCCTTCTCGCCGTACCACTCCGGTGGCTGCCGCTCGCCCCCACCGCCCACGCACGTGTGGAAGCCCGGCAGCCGCGCCGCGCCTAAACGTAAAGGAAAGGCATGATAAAGCAGAGGTAACGGCTGCGGGACAGAGCTGAGCCATACTGCTAGAAGCACACAGGCGCTACGGAAGCTTAAAACGTCAGGATGTTCATGGGTGGAAGTGAAACGCCAATCCAGTGGCTCTTGCAACTTCATATCCCTAATTGCCTTACCGACAAGGTAACCCTTTGAAAGGGCAGGCCTTTCGTAGGCTACATAGTTCTCCTCTGTAATGATCGCGAGCTCCCCTGCCTTGAGACCATTCTCGATTAATGCACGTGCGGCATATCCAGACGCGTTGCCGCCACCGAGGATAACAATTTTATATGTAGGCATGTTGGGAGCAGGCTTGGCTTCAACCGGCGCGTTGTCCACGGTCCGGTTACGTGACCCTGGCAGGTAAATAGGATCACAGCAATGTCTTTTTATGCCTTTGTGTTGCAATAGAGTAAACGCAACACACGAGGTCGCCGGTTTTTCAGGCCTGTACGGGTTATTAGCTATACGAAGGCCGGAAGAGACCCAGGGACCATTTCCTTAGTAGTGCGCTGAGTGGGCCATACTTCCTCACCCTTAGACTCAGAGCAGCCCATTCTTTAGCCGATTTGCAAGGGAATCTATTTTCAGTCCAGAGATGGATCTGCGGTGGATGACAAAGTCATAATACTTATATTGGGTACCACTTGTCGACGCAAACCATCTGCCTTCGCAGTTTCGATACTTGTACACAAGGAGGTGGTTGGTCCAAGAAATGTGGACGGCTGCGTAAGACTGTGAGCCTGTACGACTGCATTGCACACAGCGGTTAGCGCTGCCCATACAGCCCATTCACTCAGTCTCTTGCAAAACATAACGTTTAGATGAGGGTATGAAAAGGCTGCTCATGCTTTCGCGTCGGTCTCGGCCCTTTACAAATGGGCTTGCTCGCCAACTGTCGTCGTTCTTTGCTCCTATCCATAGTAGCCCTGCTGTGGATTGATAGCAGTTCCTCTGAAAGCACACAATTTACGTTATCTCGCGCTGAGAAGCCTGTCCATGCGTACATAGCCGTCTGCGTCCTAGCCAAAAATGAACACTTATACATTAGGGAGTTTATAAGATACCACCACTGGATTGGAATAGACAAATTCTACATTTGGGATAACCAGGTAGCCGGGAAGACCGGGGCCCGGGTCAGACCCGCGGGTAGTTATATTTGGGTCGCGGGTTTCAAGCGCGAGGCAAGGAAATCAATTGTCCAAATACTTCTTATAGTTAATCATATTTATCTACGCTGCCTAGTTGCCGCTTTCCGTCTCAATTCCCCAAAACAGAGCCGCCCTCCATTGGCCGATGTCCTTCAAGACCACGTTGCCTCTAGCCTTGTGGAGCTGGTCTACTTCTCGGACTCCTGGCGCGCAGATGCGGCGCTGTTCCCCAGCATGTACAACACCTCAACTCGCACCTTCATGTCGCCACAGGCCTGGGCGTACGACAACTGCTTCCGGTGCGTGTACGACTAGGGTTCCGAGCCCCTAGCCCACCAACCACTAACAGTGTGCCGAGTGCCTGTGGAGAAGTGCGCGGTTTTCAGAGTCCCATCCATGTCGCTGGTCCAATACAGGTAGTCCTCAAGAAACGACGCGAAAATGAACTTTCCGGTGTCTGTTCCTTTTCTCTTCCAACCTCCCGCCGGGCTCAGTAATTCAGCGCGGCTCAGTTTTGTCCCCCCTTCCCTCCCTTCCGGCCGCTCCTCCTTACACATTACCAGCATGTTCGGCCACCGCCACACCTTCCTGGCTCTCCTAGACCCGGACGAGTTCCTAGTGCTCAAGCAGCCCTCGCCACCGCAACAGCAGCCCGCAGCCGCTGCCGCTCTTGCCGCAGCCGCCCCGCACCTGCCCACCTTCCTGGCGCAGTACGAACCGTACGGCGGGCTTGTCGTGCATTGGCAGTTGGTAGGGCCCTCGGGGCATGTACGGCGGCCCAACGGCAGCACGATGGAGTCGTACACGCAGTGCGTGCCGCGAGCGTCACTGCAGGTGGGGTCTGGATCTTGAGGTGTGTGTGAGGTGTAATGGGGGTGTATGGGGGTGTAGGGGTGCAGCCCGCATGGTGCAGGGGATTGTTCGAAGTTGCACCAAGGATGGTGCCGCGGCGGCTGTCCTCGCATGCCTGCCATCCCACGGCAACGAAGCCTTGCGTTGCTCATGTCTGCCCACCTTGATAATCCCAACTGCTATTGTCCAACAAGGCAGGCAGGCTGGGTTGTACAGGCATGCATGGCTGTTTGCAGCATCTGCAAGCTCCCCACACCAGCCTCCGTTCCCCGCTTCCACAACCTTTTTCTGCTTGCCCTAACCTGCTTGCGGTATCCCTTCGAACGGCTTGGGTTTTCCTTCTTGACCCACTGCCTGGCGCCCACCCCTGCTGCTTGTCTCCAGCGCTGGACGCTGTTCCGAGCCATTCCACTGGGCTTCCTGAAGAGCATCACAGCCACCAGGTGGGCAGGCGCGGGGCGGGGCAAATCGTAAACTTGCTTTCGCCTATAAAAAACACGTTATGCTTACTTTTCATTGATAAGTACAGCAGAAGTGAAGCACTAGAGCCCCAGCCCCAGTTCCTGGCACTTGCAGTGAACGCGGCAACCACGAACACTGTAGGGGAGCGCAGCTCAGGAAGGGCGGGGCGCGGGAGACTGGGAAGTGCAGGCAAGGGAACAACCTTAGGGATGCCGTACCCTGCTGCCCCCGACCCAGTCGAACGTTTCCTCTCTAACCCGCCCGCCCGCCACCCCGCCCGCCACCCTGCCAGGTGCTACCAGCAGGGCTGCAATCCGCACCTGTGCGACCTCAAGCCCGGCTGCAAGTACGTGAACGAGGCGTTCCTGGTGGGTGCGGGAAAAAGAAATTCCAATGTGTGGTATGATAGGGTGCGGGTGGGTGGGTGGGTGGGTGCGGTGGTTATCGTGCTATTGTTGGGTATTGGGTATTGGTGGGTTGGCGACTTGTGCGTGAGCTGCTGGAGGGCTGGGAGCGCTCCTGGATCTGCCACCCTTTGCTAACATATCTCGATATCTGTTGTCGACTCTGCCGGGGTGGTCGGAAGCTGTACCGGTAGTAGCGGTTGGGCGGTTGCAGGCTGCGGTTCATGGGGGGGGGGTAGGGTACCGGTAACGTGGCCGTCGGCTGCAGCAGAGTGTGCGACTCTGGATGCACGCACCGGCATTCCCGCTCCTCATCCCCTCTCCTCCGCTCTATCTCCTCTCCTCCGATCCTCATCCCCTCTCCTCCGCTCCTCATCTCCTCTCCTCCGCTCCTCATCCCCTCTCCTCCGCTCCTCATCCCCTCTCCTCCGCTCCTCATCCCCTCTCCTCCGCTCCTCATCCCCTCTCCTCCGCTCCTCATCTCCTCTCCTCCGCTCCTCATCTCCTCTCCTCCGCTCCTCATCCCCTCTCCTCCGCTCCTCATCCCCTCTCCTCCGCTCCTCATCCCCTCTCCTCCGCTCCTTGCCACCACACCCGACTAACGTTGCCACCACCTGATCTACGAATTGATGACCGTAACAGTGCTTCCCTAATAGTGAACACGGGTGATTCACTCAACCCTATTGGTCTGGTCTGAGTGTTTTGGTCTGGTTACCTCCTTTCATCCCACGGTTTCACCCCCCACCCCATCCCTCCCCACAGGAGCCCAGCGCGCCTGTCGTACGGGCGCTGCAGTGGGACCGCATCGCCGTGTTCCACTATGCCACACGCAGGTGCGGGCAGTGGGTGGGGGTGCAGTGGGCGGGGATGCAGTGGGCGGGGTGCAGTGTGTAAATTAGAAGAACACCCAATGTGTTGAATGCAGCGGGTGGGGATGTGGGATATGGGCGTGCGCGGTACTCGGTGCTGAGCGGTGTGGTGTGGGGGTTCTAGGAACAGCCCTCTGACAGCTAGAAGAGCGGATCGTCACCCATGCGTTGGTCAATACGGCAACCCAGGCAGTTAACTTTCCGAACTAGCTACCGGTGGGTGCACAGACTAACTTGTAGACTAACCTGTAGCAGCTGCACCTAGCCTTTCCGCTTGTGCCTTTCCGGTTACTTCATCTGCTTGTCACGGTTATGATTGTCAATGCAGTGCTGAGGACTACAAAGCCAAGATGGTCCGCGGGTCGGGCCACAGCCAGTTCCTGGAGGCGAACCGCGCGCTGAAGCGCACGCACCGCGGTTGGCGCTACTTCAACTTGGTCAACGACACCGCAACAGATACGTGCCTGGAGGGGAAGCAGGCCTGGGAGCGGTGTTGTGCTGGGAAAAGGGATGTAATGGAGGATGCAGCCGGTAAGGTATGAAATAGTCTACCTGGTTGCTTTGGGCAAGTGAGCGTGTTGCTCGCATAATCTTGATGGTTTCCTTAGGAGGGAGGCCTTTGCTGGGGTGTGTTTGTGTGATGGAACCCAAACTTGGAAGTCAACCGTGGCATGATGTACTTGTGGCTGCAATGGTTATGGTGCAGTAATTGTTAAGCAAGGTATTGTTTACCCTATATTAAAAATGTATGGAATGATAATGCATATGGATTTATGGAAGATATCTTCGCTGTTTAATCCAGTATGAGTGGAGTAACTGTCAGGAAGCTACCTGGGCATGCTGTCTGCAGGTTGTCACCGGTTAAATGTTGTTGTGGAGTATTATACCTCGCGCTTGCTGGCCAGGACCCTAACAACTCGGCTAACAATCCAACGGCGTCAACCTTTTGAAGGAGAGGTGTACGACAATATGCTATACACTAATGCAAGCAGTTTAGTAACCCAAACGTCGCACGGCTTTTCATAGGCGTGTGTAGTTTCAAGTTGCGACGTGCATTGACACTTTATAAGGTTGGGTCCCCAAAATACCGGCAGCCGCGGGACTACCACCAAGCACTCACACTTACCGTAAGCGAGTACTGGTTAGGTAGCCCTTCCTGAACCTCGCATTCAGAACACCCATTTTATCTGTTCGGGCTTTACCTGTGACAAGCGATCCTACATAGCCGCGAGGCGTCTTCGCATTCCTGACCGCCGCTTTAAAGGCAGGTAAATCTCTGAAATTGTAGACAGACGTCAGGGGTTTTCAAATACTGTCGCTGGCGCATGGCGCTTATTGCCCGTGCAAGCGCATTGACCCCAAGCTAGCAAGTCGTAAACTTGCTGGCCGTCGTCTACAGCTTCCTTGCGTCTCACAAGGCTATACGAGTACCACTGTATCTGCCATGTTTGTTTAGGTACATTAGCTGCTGCCAGGTACATCGGCTTCGACACCACTGCAATCCCCCGTCTTCCTTCGCAAACAATACCTTCGCTGCTCACCGCAGCCTCTCAGCAATCACCTACATGCACAACTCACGCACAGCGTCAGCTTGTCCGCCACAGGCGGAACAACACCTCACCCAAGCCATGGCACATCCTCCTCAAGCGCACGGCAGGCGGCTTTGTGGCGGTCAAATGGCCAGAAGACACACCCGTCGCTCGGCCGTCATCCTCTTCCTGCTGCTGACGCTATCGGCCAGGGCTACGCTAGGCAAAAGTAGCAGCAAGAGCAGCGGCACCTCCACGAGCAGCAGCTCCTCGAGTAGCTCTACGTCAAGCTCAAGCTCGAGCAGCAGCACCGCCAAGTCGATAAGCTACGGCAAGAGCATCGGCGTGTCAGCACGACTTAAGGTCGCCACCGCTGCCGTGCTGACGACCTTTGTTTTGTTTCACGGGAATACCTATCCAACCATGCGAATCTACTATGACGGTGAGGTTGCAGTGGTAGTTGTCGTACAACGCATTCGGTTGCCCAGATGGCTGGCCTGATCGGTCGTCTTCTGCAGTACTCGCATCCTAGATGGATGTGTTGTCCTCCCTCTCATAGGCGCATGACAGGGCTCGCATTCTTTCATACGTTACTAAGCAAACCGTGCTTTATCTCCTCCTCATCCTTGCGTCTTAAGCTCTTAACTCCTGGCTACGAAGGGGACAACTCGCATGCGCTCTTTCCGCTACCGGTATCCTCCCATGTGCCCTTCTTCATGCCCTTTTTCTCGCACCATCATGTTGCTCTTCCTCCCACAGGTTACTACGATGACTGTGCTCTTCCCAACGTCACTGCCAGTCAGTTGGGGCAGGGCGACGGCACCACGGACGCAAACTCGCTAGCGCTCGTACAGCAATGGGCCACGACAAGTGGTTTGCCGTACAGCGATGTCGTTGCTCTTAACCAAACGCTGTACAACCAAACCAACGGACTTATTATCGACTCGGCATACTGCAATTCCACAGAAACCAGCGCAGCTTCCGGGCTGCGCTTGCCGGTGGTGGGTACGTTGCTCGTGGCTGTTGCAACGGCGTTGCTGCTGGGGCTCGGCCGGCGTGGACGTAGCTGCAAATAGCGACGACGTGGCGGCTCTAGAGAGGAACGAAGATATTATTGGTTGTTCATTATCACGCACACACGTGATCCATGGTGAAGATGCATGCATTCATCACTACCTGGCGAAGCTTCCTCCTTCCTCTGTACATAATACTAGTATGCGTGATTCAAGGCTTGGTAGTTGATACCTCAGGAGCAAGCTAACGACGTGCATGGGTTGGCGAGTACTGAAATACGGTAAAGATAGTACCGGTACGTTAATTTCAACATAAATATTGCTGATTCGCTACACAGTTTACCGTACATGCTGTTGCAGTTGGCGACCGTTGATATTGCCGTTGGGTTGAGGCGTTGGACTCGGTGTTTGACTTGATTGATGACCAGCGTTAGGTTTGCTGCTTGATTAAGACACCTGACCGGCATCGCAGCAACACATGCTGCCTCCGGGTACCCTAAATGTTTCGCGGTATTGTATTCGCTTTACTTATTGAACTGTGAGTTCTGATCGACGATTGGAATCAACACGGTATTGTATGTATGGACGCGACATGCTGTCCCTAATATACTAAGCACTGTCCATTCCTATCCGCTATGTGCTGCGTTCCTTGATTATTTTCGGTCGTTAATTGTTTTGTGGCGCCCGCCGGGACATAGGGGCAAGAACTAAGGAGCTACAATGCATGACAGCTCAGCTCCGCCCCGGTGTCACTCCATGGTGTCTTCAATACGCCACATATGCTCCTCACGTCCTGTAAACCTTTGCTTCAACAGAGCCACCGTGGTCGATTGTCGTCGTCCCTAGCGGCTATCTCATCATGCTAGTTGTGCAGTACGACAGCCACGGCAGCGTCAGCTGCAGCCAGCGCCGCCGCAAGTAGCTGCAGCAAGAGCAACTTTGAAGTCGTTTAAGGATTCGGGTGCTCTAACTGGCCAGACCTCGGCGGGTAGGGGATACAGTGTCTTGCGCTACATCCCACAACCCCAGCCTGCTGGACCGGGAGTTTGACGCTGAGCGGGATTTTGGGTGGGCGTCGTCAAAGCACGGCACGGCACGGCGGTTCTTGCCTGTTGAGAACTCCCAACTGATGCGAGCCATGGCTGCCATGACGCTTAAGTTGGGTGGACTGTGACGCCCCCAGACCATCCCCACCGCAATCCGGAACCCCTTTGCCCCATCCGCCTTTCCGGGACCTTTTCCCAACTCTTGTCTCCCACTCAGCTCTTCGTACCTGACTGCGCCTCATCCCGAATGTCGGTACCGCCCCCGCCGCCCCCAGGCAGGGACTGCATGCTGCCATACTGCTGCCGCTTCGAGCCGGCCTTGCTGTGTAGCGTGCAACGCAGGGGGTCCTCCGCCCCGCCAAATTTGCCCTGGGTTGGGGCGGGTATTTGAAGATGAGCGAACCACTGGAATCTAAGCCTTCGCCCATCCTTACTTAGATAGGGGAAAGGGCCTAATGTACTTCCCCCGCCTCATTCCCTCACTGTTTTGCCCTAATTTATGGCTTCCTATGATTTTGCCTTCTTTACCCCCACTCCACAAATGCAAGAACTACCCGTACGAGATTCGGTAAATCCCCATTCGCTGCTCCACCCACCAAGCGGCCTAGATGGCTGGTGTAGCGCACCGCCTGCAAACCGGTGCGGCCACGAGACGACTGAAGGGCGTGCCATGCAGGACCGGAGGAGCGTCGTGACATATGAGTGACCCACGGGTCAGCCCTGGCCACGAGCGTCGTGGAGATCATCTTGGATGGAGCAAAGCGCAGGGCTTGGCTGAACCTGTCGGCTAGTTGCTGAAGGGTGGGGCTTGAGCACTTATAGGTAAATAATGTTGTTACAGGAAAAGGTACCGGTAGTTTAAGAAGTGAAAGGGCTTGGTTTGGCAGAGCGGACCGTAAACACGGCTTTGCCAGCAGGTTATCAGCTAACAATGATACTGGAAGCATTGGACGCCGTATACGGTTACCTCAAAAGCACAGGCAACTTTGAATTTCACTTCGGAAATGAAAAAAAGTTGATACGTCTTGGGAGGAATGGCGTGCAGTTCACATTATTACAGGGTGTTGAGACTGGATGAAATTGAGACTGCCATCAACGCCCATACAGACCCTGCTAGGTCCATATTTAATATGTGCTCTGGTTTGGCCCTATAGACGTTGCAGTTGTAATCCAGTTAGGCCGAGGTCGATGGCTGGTGGTGTGGCTACCGGTATTAGGGCAACACAGAGTCAGAGATCAGGGCCCATGCATTGTAACGCATGCTGCAATGGCTACCCGCAGATAACCTCACCCTAGATTGTGGTTTTACTTGGCACGGTTAATTATTGGATCCAATTTGCAAACACACGAACAGCACAGCAACGTGCCATAGGAGGCGGCAAACCCCGGTGTGCCGGTCTTGGCTGGGATTTGATGGAGAGAAATGGAAGGGGATCAGCTGTGGGAAACCATCATGTCAGCATGTCTGCTCACCCCGGGAGTTGGCGATAGGTAAGGGCTCCTTGGCGGCTCTCAGTGCCTCTTGGGCGCCCCTCGTCGCCGGTCAACGTACGGCACCACGGTACGGCTCGACCTCATCCGCACAAGCGCGGCGTCACAGCGCTTTGAAACATTGTATAGACTTGTTTATATATTGTGAACCTGCTGTGCAGGTAGCTGTAATCTAGGTTGACGGGCCCCTTTGCTTGCATGGCAGCAGCTTGCAACATACAGCAAATACGTTTACTTGATATATCGTACTGAAGGTAGGACTTCATCTATGACTGAAAAGACATCAGACTCCGCTCTTGAGCGGCTTAAACGCGACGCGGAGAGGGAGATGCGGCGGAATCTTGACGACGGCCGACCGTCTAAGCGGCCAAAGCACGAAGGTATTTGTAATTACGAGTGCAAAAATGGGGATATTTTTGCGGAGATGCCACAGGTCACACCCAGTCGTGTTGCATTTACCCTTATTGCAGCCTTCCTCCTCTTAGCGTGTATCAACGCGAAACCTGTGTTTTCACTCATTATGCGGCCTTTTATCGTACCGCAGATGGCAGCCCTGCTTTCATTCCGGTTGACCGCTACCATTACTCCGTGGTTGGGGAACTGGAGGCCGGCGCCAAGGGCTTCCTCATCACTTGCAACTTCCGAAAGTGAGGCTAGGGGCGCCACTTCAGGGAACCCTCGCTTCACAGTCTGAGGGGGGCGTCTACCGGTATTACCGGGTGCCGACGCCTCTTTCCAAAGACACGGAAACCCTCCCCATGCAGCTGCGTGACGCAGCCCACTGCACGCCGACGCTACCAGCTCTGGTGCTGCCTCGTCCAAGCACTGATGGTCGCCATGTGCAGTACCTCCCTCCCCCGACTCCCCTTCCGTACAGAATTGACCATGCTCCCCATGATTCCATCTTTGTCCCCATCCCGACACCTCCCCTACCCTGGCCCGGCCCCGAAGGGAGAAGAGCGCCACTCGTGAGGCGGTGCAGCTGCTGAGGCGCCACATGCCTGACCACCTCTTCCCGCAGCAGCAGCAGGAGGGGCAGCCGGAGGAGCAGGGGCAGGAGGGCACGAAGGACCAGCAGCAGGAGGGGCAGCAGCAGGAGGGGCAGGAAGGGCAGCTGCTGGGGAAGGATGTGGGGAAGCAGGAACGGCGCGGGGTATACCAACAGCGACAGCGGCAGCAGGAGGTGGCGTCGGATGATGAAGACGATGAGGAGGAGGAGGCGTGTGCTGGCGGATTGTCAGACGCAACGAACGCAGCAGGCCCGGTAACAGCAGCCGAGACCACCTCCCCATCTGCGTTTGGTCTTGCCAAGGTACGGTACGGCATTCGTCCGCATGGGGACCTCTCTGCCGTACAAGAAGACGAGCTAGCTGCCGTACATGCTGCCCTTGCATGCCCCGGGCTGAAGTCTGGCTAGCTGCCCGCCGCACGCCCCTACCTGCTTCCCGTACTTCCCATGCATCTTCCGTCCTGCGCTACTGCCCAGCCTGCATTCCCAGGCTCCTTGCTACTGGCTGGGGGATCTCCGACACCGGGAAGTGCTTAGAACCACTTGGGGTTCTCAGCTTTCTCTTCTTTGCCCGCGCCTCCCTCTCCCACCAACCTCCCCGCCTAACGCCTGCCCGTTCCCCCGCCCGCCGCCTGTCGCCGCCGTCTTCTCCTCCTCCCTTGCCCCCTCTGGAATGTCTTTGCCCCCCCACCCCAGGTGGGTTGTCGCGGAGTGGTGCTGGTCCGGCTGTCCGCCGCCGCCGCCTCCCTGGTGCAGCCTGCGCGGCTGGTGGGGCAGCTGCTGCGGGAGCGGGAGGCGGGGGAGCTGGGGCAGCCCAGGTGGGTAAAGAGGAAACAACTAACTGACTGTGTGGGGGGGGGGGGGGGCAGCCCAGGTGGGGGTGGGGATAGAAGGCGGGGGAGCTGGGGCAGCCCAGGTGGGGGGTAAAATTATAGGGAAGTGCATCAACGGAGTCCCAATCCCGAATCACCACTCATGCAGTGAGCGCATTCGGAGACACTATTCTAGAAACACGCAACTCAGAGACTTACCGATCCCTTGCTTATCAGAAACCGAGGTGACTTGAGTAAGAAGCCGCCTTGCATAGGAACACTAGTAGGGCATGTGCCGCGCCGCCGGCCACTAATCCTAAGGCAACATGGCTATTGGGCATACAAGCAGATAAGTCATCGAAATGCGTTACAGGAAACTTATCTTGAGAGAAGACCCAGGTAGGGGGTGGGTGTCGAGGAAAGGCCAAGGTGGGGGAGCCGGGGCGGCAGGGGGCAGGGGTTAAGGAGAGGTAGAAGTAACTGCTGTGCCACTGCCCGCCGCTGCTTCCCCCGCTGACACCCCTGCCACCGCCCTCTCCTCCCTCCCCCCCGCAGGCACTGCCACCGCATCATCCCGCTCGACGCCACCTGCGCCCTCACGGCGGAGGGGCTGACCCGAGCAGTGGCGACTGCGGCTGACGCCTACCGCCGCCGCCGCCAAGCCGACAGCGCCGCTATAGCCGCCGCCGCCGGCGACAGCGATAGTGCCAATGACGTCACGCCGCCATTCACTTACACCGTCGTGTATCACTCACGAGCGACAGAACCGACTGCGGCCGCGGACGGCGGCGCTGCTCCTTCCCAGGCGGCAGGCGCAGCGACGGCAGCCACAACCGGCGCAAGCAACGAGCCGGCGGCAGCAGCAGCCGCGGCTGCTGCGGCGCCAGGGTCCGTTGCGGCGGCAGCAGAGGATACCTCCGGAGGTGCGCATGCGACTGAGACGCTGTCGGATCGCGGTCGCATCATCTCGCTGGCTGCGGCGGGCATGGCTGCAGCGTTTGGCGGTCGAGCCAAGGTGCAGCTGAAGAACCCGCAGGTGCGCTCGGGTGCTGGGGCGGGTTGGACTAGGGTTGTGGTGGGTGTTTTGGCGGTTTGGGTCGTTAAAAAAGGGGCGTCCGGATTCGCAGCGAGTATTGGCTGCAAACATGGTGCACAGCGTTGGGTGTTGTGCACCCTAAGCTGCCTAAACAGCACGATTGCATGGAGATGCTGGCACGTTGGTAGCACAGCATGAGCTTATCAAGTGGTTGAGCACCCTCCCAACCACGCCATTCGCAACGCATCCCCTCTTTAACACACGAAGCCCCCATGCCCCCCCTCTCTCTCCCTCCCATCCCGCCCTGCCCCCGTGCCCCTCGCTCTCTCCCTCCACCTCTCCCCCGCCGCACAGGCTGCCTTGTTTGTCGAGGCGGTCCCCGTGGCGGGTCGCTACTTCGCCGGGGTGAGCCTGCTGGAGCAGCCGCTGTTCGTGGCCAAGGGCAAGCTACTTGTGAAGCCGCTGGTGACGGGGAAGGCGCGAGAGTGATAAGGATGGGGAGGGGAGGGGGGCGGGCAGGCGCGGGGATGGAAAAGGAAGGAGAAATGAAGGAGAGGGTGGGCGTACGGAGGAGGAGGCAGGGGGTTAGTAGGCTGGATGCAGAATGTATGCGGAGAGGTATGGGCCAGGGATTGACGGAAAAGAGGCGGTGTGGGTGCTGACTGTAGAGCCGTTGAGGAGGGGCCCCGCAGGAGGTTAACGGTGTGAGCCGGGATGTCTAGATTGGACCTGTATGCAATCAAGACTTGTTGGTTTGCCGGTGCTGCTTCCTGTGCGGACTAGCTGGCTGGGGACCGACCGGGGCGTGCGACGTCAGAAGGCTTGGGTAGTGTCTTGACGCTCACATCACCAGCTGATCCCCTCCGTTCCATGCTCCTCTCCATCGGCCACATGGTCCTTACGCCCTCAGTAATGCCAGCCTTAGTGACGCAAGCCCCAAGCGCCAGCCCCAATCGCGCGCGTGCACACCAGACTGGGAAGGAGCCGTGCGCATGCCGGTTGCAGCGTGCCGGTATCACAGGAACCCCTCTGCATCCCCTCTGCGGACAGCGCATACAGACGCCTAGCACGCACGCCAGCACCTTGACTCACACCTCACACCTCCTCCGTTCCGCCCTCCTCTGCCCCCTCCCTTCACTTCCTCACCCGCTACGGAGCTATCGGGACCGTGCCCTGCCTCTCCCGCCTCCCATACCCCCACCGCTGGCCGTCCCTCTCGTCGCGCGTCGCCCGCCACTGCCTCCTCCCCCCAATCCTCCTCCTGATCTCCCAGTTCCTCCCCTCCCTCCCCGTGCTGCCCCTCCTCCTCTTCCCCCTCGCCTCCCACCCCCGCCTCCCCCCCGCGGCTGCTCCACCTCGAACTCCACGCCCATGTCGCTCATCTCCTGCAGGTCGGACAGCACCTCCGCCAGCTCCTGGGGTTAAAACAAAGGTAAGGGGGGGGGGAGTAAAAGGTAAGTGCAGCAACGGAGTCCTAATCTGGGGGAATGAGGGTGGGGGGGGGTGTGCTTAGCTCCTAAGAAGAGGGGATGGATGCTCCACACTGGGCTGGAAATGCGGATAGGATATTTTGGATAGCGTGGGTGTGAGGGCTAATGCATACAGGACTGTTCGCAATGGTCTGGATGAGTAGTAGGCTAGTAGCTTACAAGGTGCAGGGGATGGGTGATAGAGAAATGCGGGCAACGGAACACAGTTGGCATATGGCACGATGTACATGTCGAAGGTGCAGGGGTAGGTGGCCGGCCCAAGCCCCAAGGCCCCCCGCCCGCCTCACCTCGAGAGTGCCTAGAGACTGCGTGCGGGAAGAAAAAGGGGGTGGGGGGAAGTAGGGGATAGAATTGGAGGTTGTAAGAGCGCAATCAATAATTGTATGATTAAGGCAAGAACACTGAGGCTGTTGTGCCAGCCAGCAGTGTTGCGGTATCAGGTCGTTTAATGACCCGGGAGTTACTACGACACGTCGCAGGCAAGCAAGGCCAGCCGGCCGGATACTACACACATCCCTTGTACCCAATCCTCTCCGACCAGTCAGTGTTCCGCGGCTCAGTTTCGTGCCAACCCCCTTACATCTCCCCCCCTCCCCAGTACCTCTAATCGGGGTCCGAACACGTGCCGCATCAGCGTGCGTGCGTCGCCGGGCAGCTGCGACAGCAGCACATCCTGCAAGCGTGTGGGGAGGGGGAGGGGTGACGGCACACACGATCCAACCAGATACGGCACCATGTCATGTGTGAAGGGGCCTGCGGACTGGCCGATATCACTGCATGCACATGAAGAAGCAGCTGCAGCACAACCTGCAGCAGCTGCTGCACGCGGGGGCTCTGCGAGGCCCTGACGTTTCTGCCCCGACGCATGCGTAAGGCACTGCGCGGGGAGTGGGGAGCGACAAAGACCCGGACACGAACACGGAGCGAACCCCCGCCCTCCCCACCAGCCAGCTGCACGCAGCCAGGAATTCCTTCCCAGCTTCCCGTCCTAGTACTCCTAGCATTCCTTGATACCCGTCCCGCAGCCCTCTCCTGGCAATGCGGGCACATCCCGCACCCCAGTCGCACCTTCTCCTCAGGAGTCAGCCGCCGTCCGAAGGCTTGCTGCTGCTGCTGCTGTTGCGCCGCCGCCCGGCGCTGCTTGCGGCTGTTGGCCTGCCAGCTCGACTGAAAACTGCGGGGCGCGGGTTGGGGCCAGGCAGGCGGGCGGGCGGGTGGTGGGGGAGTTAGAGGGGGCTGGCGGAGTTAGCACGCAGCAGTGCTCATCACGAATGAGGCTACGGACTGTTTGGGTAAGGTGCCATGAGCTCATCCCCCAACCCCCCGCATGACAGCGACACAGCTTGGCCGTCCTAGCGCTGGACGCTGGCAGCGGAGCCAGGCAAGACCCCCCTCCCCCGAGAAGCACCGCGTCGCGTTGGGAAGCAGTACGGCCCCCCCGCCGGAGAGGAGAAGTACAACCCACGGCCCCAGCTGGCCCCAGCTGGCACATCCAGCCTCCCCGCCATCCGCATGGGACGAGCCCCCACCGCATACTGTATTGTTCCCTCAAGCATGCACCACATGCAGCACAGCGCAGCCAACCCGCCGCCCCTCCTCCTCCTTCTCCCACCCTCTCCCTCCCAACCCCACCCCAACCGGGATATGGGATATGTAGTTGGGACTCCAGTTGCTGCACTGTTTTTTTTATTTTTCACCCCAGACCCCACTCCAGACCCCACCTGGAAGTGAAGTTGTTTGCAGTGCCCGCCCAGGCCATGTACTCCAACTCGTCTAGCAGGCCGCCCTCGTCGTCATCCTCCTCGTCATCATCCTCCTCGTCCTCCTCCTCGTCATCATCATCATCGTCGCTGTCGTCGTCATCATCGTCCCCCATGTGGACCTCAAACAGGTCCTCCCAGGCCGCCGAGCCCCACATGAAGGGCTGTCCGCCCCTGAAACCCACACCGTCATCTCCGTCATCGTCATCATCATCGTCATCATCCAGCCCGCCCATTTGCACCACCACCACTCGTTGCCGGAAACCCGAGTTGTTGCTGCTGCTGCTGCTGCCGCCACGGCTGCTGGAACTGGCCCTGGCGCCTGACGCTCGTCGCCGCGCCTGAGGTCGTTGGGAAACCGTTCCCGGGTAGCAGCAAAACAAAAGCGTGGGGTCGTGTACTGTACAGAAGGGGTTCCGCATTAAGGGCTTTCGCACAGGGGCAGGAAGCGGAATCATGACAGCCGAGGGAGGGAGCTTCAGAAGCCAAGGCGATGTGCGGGTTAGCACTCGGTTGATCTGGTTTCAAGCGCCAGGAACATGTGGCTGAGTGGAAGCACGGCACGGTGCAGACAGGAACGGTGCGTCGTCCCAAACTCCGGATGCACCTCCTTGCTTGCCTTTTGGTCCCGCACTCCCCAAAAACAACACTTAAGGCCACCCTGACCCCCCACGTCAGTCGTCACCTCACATCCTTCCCCTCCGCCCACCCCGCTCTCCAACGCCACCCCTCACCCTTGCTAGGGCGGCATCGTACTCCGCGCGTTGTCGTGAATCCGTTAATGTGTCGTACGCCTGCCGGAGTTTTGGAATGTGCAGGGTTGCGGAAAGGCACGGTTGCAATGAGCTGGAGCACGTCAAACCGATTCACGGCCTGTGGCGGACATGCATCGGCGTTAGTCAACAACAGCAAACAACACCGCATCTATTCAGACATGGGAGGCGTGGGAATGAGCGCCCCTTCATTAGCATCTCGAGTTCCTGCGGTCCTTATGCTCCAGGCGTGGCCGGCCCTGGCTCCGGGTCGTTGGAATACGAATGCTAGTGACTAGCGGCGGCCCATGGGTCAGTTCGTCCTCATACCTCTTTCAGCCGAATGAACTCATCATCACTGTCCGCCTGGCAGGAGTTTGAGAGGAAGGGTCGCACACGGGGTGTGTTGGGAGACTTTGAGCGGTGGCTAGGGCTTAATTATGGGGTTACGTACTAGTGTCCATCCCAACCTCTCCCTGCAAGAAGCATTCCGGCTTGCAAGCGCTCTCATGATGAACTTCCGATTCAGGCAACCGCGTTTCAGTGCTCCACCGAAAGAATGGCAGCTTCTTTGTCCACGCTCAAATGGTGCAAGTAGCGACGGCTGCCATTCTTACCGACTTGGATACGTCCGGATGTACGAGTTTTACTTTTCGCCTAAACGCTGACTTTATGTCGTCAACTGAAGAAGTTGCGTCCACGCCGAGAACGTCGTAGTCTGCTTGCATGAGGTCGTGTTAGCATGTGCTTCGGCTATAGAGAATGCGCGAAGAAAGCGCTCTTACATGTGGCTCTGGGTATTGTTAATTTCCGTTGTATCAGTTGAGGGGCGCACGGAGCCCTGCTCCGATTGCAAGGTGGCTCGCCTCGCCTCGGCACTCCGGAGCGATGCCAGCTGGTATGCAATTGCCGCATCCACATAGCGATAGTATAATTGAAACTATGGAGCAATTATCAAGGCTCTCCGCTCACAAATTTAAACCAATGGCTGGAACCACATGTTGTGGTCAACTGCGTAATGGAAAGGTTTCACTAGATTACTACGGGTACAGTCCTCAGAACAAGCAACATCACAAGGCATAACACTCCGTGAATGCGCAGCTCATGTCTGCTGCTGTGACGTTGCTCGTACTCCACAGCACCCACCCACGTGCAAATTCCACACGGTCGACTTTCTCGGTCATCTGGATGAAGAAATCGCCCCGCACTTAACGGCCCCAGACAAAAAACGGGGACTTAGAATTCCTTTGAACATCTCGTCTGGTATGAGCGTCCGCAAGGCTTTACGGTGCCGGGAAGGGGCTCTGGTAGCTGCCACGCTCGCGGCAGAAGGTCGGGTCCTCCGGGTTAAAGCTGTTGCGCGGGCTGCGGTTGCCCAGCGCGGGGGGCCCGTTGCCGTACACCTTGGCTCCGTAGTACAGCAGTACGTCCTGCAAGTGCACAGCATCATCGTACAGAGGCGTACGAGTATGACAGCGGTGGCAAGGCACGCTGCCAGCAATACAACGCTTTTGTTTTGAAGCTAGGCAGTTGTTGCTGCTGGCTTTGCCAAGAAGCCTCCATCGCATCCTTCCAAACACCTTCGCCACGTCTGCTGTGTCAGTGTAGCACTGCATCTTCTTCCCACGTCTTCCCTATCCTCCTCACCCTATCCTCCCTTCCTCCTACACCCCCAAACCGCACCGCTCCCCGTCCAGTCGAGAGTTACCCCCCTCCCTCGCATCCCCCCTCCCTCGCATCCTACCTCCCTCGCACCCCACCTCCCTCGCACCTCCCTCGCACCCCCCTCCCTCGCAACACCCATCCACCCCCCTCGCAACCCCCTCCCTCGCATCCTACCTCCCTCGCACCCCCCCTCCCTCGCACCTCCCTCGCACCCCCCTCCCTCGCAACACCCACCCACCCCCCTCGCAACCCCCTCCCTCGCAACCCCCACCCACCTCCGGGTAGATTCCCTTGTCCTCCACTGCGCCGTACTTCCCCTTGGCCACCGCGTAACTCAGCGCCGTCCAGCCTCGAGGGGTGACCACATCGGGGTCCGCCCCGTAGTCCAGCAGCAACCGGATGAGCTCGGGGCCGCCGTCGATGGCCCAGAAGAGCACGCTGTCGCCTGCGGCGGGTGGTGATGGCAAAGGAAAGGGAAGGAGGGAAGCCGTGCTTGAGCGACAGTGGAAATGAGCCAATGACCCGTTGCCCTCCCGGGTAGTGGGCGGACGAATGTGTGGATGTGAAGGCAATCCAGTGACCCGCAGACCCGACACTGTAATACCAGTACAGATGTTGGTGCAGACGGTGGGTGCAGGCGGTAATAACACCAATGGGGGTTCATAAAGACCAATGAGGCGGCAGGGTGCCACAAGACAAGAGGAGGGTTAGGGTCGGGGGGAGGGGGCGTGCGGACAGGGGAGGCTGACAAGGCGGATAACAGCACGCACGCAGGCAGGCAGGCAGGCAGGCAGGGCGAAGACACAAGTGGTGGCGGATTGTGCATGCGGATCCGTTGGGGTCATGCATGCATGGGAGCGTCAGCATGCGGCACATGCAAGCCGGCAGTCGCCAACACGTCCGAGCAACATGTCGGTTCACCAACACTGTCAAGCCGCAGTACACGCCCATACGACCCGGCACCACATGCATGTACGGCACAGACCGGTACCCAAACAGGTTTCAACTCAGGATGCCTGCTGGTGCTGGTGCTGGTGCTGGTGCTGGTGCTGGTGCTGCTGCTGCTGCGAGCGCCGCCACCCGCTTACCTCCATTGTTGATGTAGTTGGGGTCAGCTCCCGCCCGCAGGAGCGCCCGGGCACACTCCAGCCGGCCCCGGTGCGCGGCGACCATGAGGGGCGTGTAGCCCTCGGGGCAGGAGTAGGCGGGGCTGCAGCAGGCGGGTAGGCAGGCACGGCTGAAGGTGAATGCGCGAAGGTCATGCAAGCATGCAAGCATGCAAGCATGCAAGCATGCAAGCATGCAAGCATGCAAGCATGCAAGCATGCAAGCATGCAAGCATGCAAGCATGCAAGCATGCATGCATGTCTGCGTACTGGGAAACGTGCCCCCAAAGCGCATACCGGTGGTTAGCGAATAGCAGGGTTGACCACAACCAATTCAATGCAACAGGGATACCGGTTGGACCCACCCAAACACGAAGTTGACGTCCGCGCCCTCTTCAATCTTGTCGTACACTTTATGTACGTCGTTCTTTACGATGGCGTTGTACAGCTCCTCGGTAGCTCGGCTGGCTTTGACCACGCCGGGGCCGGGGGGAACCTCCGGGTCGTAGTCTGCGGTGTTGGGGGTGGTGTGTTAAGAAAACTGGGGTGGTGTGTGTGGTGTGCGGGGGCAGTAGTGAGGGGCGTGAAAGGACGGGTGACTGCGAAGGAGGAGTGAAGGGGAAAGTGCTACGGTAACCAAGCAGAGGTAATAGGCGGCGCAAACCTCGGTGCCATTCCCCTGACAAACCCAGGCAGCAGGCGCACGTCATACAACATCCTGCTGATGCTTGTACAAGCTCGACAGGCCTGGCAGTTGCGGCATCAATCGTTGGAACACCCAAGACAGGGCCCTTCAGCCTGCTGCTCATGAGCTTTCGGTTTCCTAGTATATCTCCTGGCTATCTTATCGTCGCCTTCCGCGCCTGCTGCTGCTCCTTCTCCTGCTCCCACCGCGCCCTGCTTACCTGGGTGGTGCGAGCCCGCCCCGCCGGCCCACATGGCCTCATACGCCTCCTGCGCCTCGCGTTGCCGCTTGCGCATAATTTCTTCAATGGTGGAGCCCATGGCTGCTGCTGGCGACTACGGCCAGTCCGATGCTAGCTGGGTCGTCCCTCCTTTCCTGCCCCGCTGTCCTAGCGTGTGTGTTCGTTGCAGAGTTCGCTGGTGCTAATCGCGGCTATTCGGTAGGAGGGGAAGCGGGTGAAAAGATTAGGCGTGTGTTGCTATGTGATGCAATGGGGCGCTGCGGTATGGACGCGAAGTGATGGTTCGGACGTGCAGGTGCTCAGGTAGACAGTTTTCGGCCCAGCCCATTTCTCGGGCGGGCCGACGGACCGGTCCAAGGTCTGCTGTAATGCACAATACATGAAAGTGTCTTAATTTCAATGCCGTTCTTTGTTGTCTTAATGGCTACGGTGTAAGCTATACGCATATCTCCCTCACGAACAGTGAAGCAAGGCGTGTTTGGTTTTGCCGACCCGCTGACCCCGAATGCTCCCAAGCCCATATGCACCACAATTATAATAAGTTCTTGTAATTAATTATCAAGCGACCGAACGATTTGCAAGCCGTGCCGCTCTTGGCTCCTACTAACTGCCATGCGTCATTGGTTAACTGCCTTCAGTTGATCTTGTTGTTGCTACGACCGCCTTCGACGGTCCCTGAACTGAAGCAACTGTTGGCGGGTCATAGGTAGAGATCCACCTGTACTTGCAAAATTGCCATCGATCCTGAGCCCAGGCTTTTGATAAGTTGGCTGGCGTTTGCTGGCGTGGTTCGCTGCATTTTGCTGGGCATGTTCCTTTCCATGCTTGGCAGTTGCGCACGTGAGCGTGGGCGCAGCAGGGTCGCCGCAGCAGCTACCGTCATCTTACATTTTGTTGCACTAGGATCTACTAGGCGCAGGGTAAGTGGAGTCTTACAAAATCCACGGCTTGTACGGACAAAGCCAGACTAAGGGAACACACGGCATCAGGGAACCGGCAACATGCAACAGCAACAGCCGGCCGCCAACTCCCAACACAGCAACAGCAACACAAAGGCATTTCCCCAACAGCAGCAGCAACAACAGCCGGCTGCCAATTTCCAACAGTAACATCCGTCTGCCAGTCCACAACACAGCAACAGCAGCCTGCAGTCAAACTCCAACACCACAGCAGCATGCGGACACTCCTGCCTGCAGTCCATCCGCCCAAGACCTCACAAACAGCGCGAGCTTCAAACCTGCCGGAGCCTGCTAGGTAGCTAGCGCCCCCGCCCCGCCAATTCGACATGTAAGCTTCATAGAGCCCCCCCCCATTCAAATAACGTACTTTGAATAACCCACGCACATGAAACCCCTCACATACATCGCACTTTGGGACAAAACATGCCAAACCCCCATCCGGCGATCTGTATTTTTCACGAGTCGTGGGACATCACGGCTGTGCCTCCAATGGTAATACGACTGAGCATGTAGGAAGCAGCTTCGAGTATGCAAAGCATGACTGTGATGATGAGGCTTGATGATGACACGGTAATGATGATGATGATTGATACGATGATGATAGGCCGTCGCGTTGTATGTAATAAGCTGATCTGATCATAAGGTAATGCACAGCATCCTCAGCACGTAAGTCCAGGCGCACGTACGTTCAATGCGCAGTGCAAGCAAGGTTCCCTGCGCTGCTGCTGCTGACGCACAGCGCACGCCAGCAGCGGTGCATGCAGCATCCCCCACCCCCACATACGTACTTCACACGAGAAAAGATCACAAAGCCATTAGATAGAAACTCCAACCGTTTTCTGCCCCCACACGTCCGTGCCTTTCGTACATTGGTCTCGTCTGTTTTCGTCCATCAGGCGTCCGCCGTCTTAGCCGTGGCAACAGCAGCGGGCTCCTTCTCCTTATAAGCAAGGCCGGCGTCAGTCTGCATCAGTGTAAAGGCGGCAGTTTGTGAAATGTTGCTAGACTCCTAAGCGTTTTACCGGTTTATTGGTACTGCTAGTCATCAAGGGAAGGAAGCTCATCACAATCTTTCAAGGATTTAGAGTACGGCTTTAGGTTGCGAAGCAGTCCCACGCTAGCCCCGGCAGGAGCCTCCTGCACAACAACCATCCCGCAACAACAGCCCGCCGCATGCCTTGCCGCCAAGCCACCACGAAACAAATCACGTGCAGTCGTGCAGCCCCGACAGACAGGCAGCTATCCAGGCTGATATATACCTAGACGCATGAGGGGACCTGCAGCAGCCCGCAATGACATGCACGCGCTCGCTCACTCACCTGCTGCTGCGGGGCGGCGGAGATGCGGTCAACCACGCCACCCGCCACCATGAGAATGGTAACCGGGACGGCGGCCAGGCAGGCGAAGAAGTGGATGCTGGAGCCAAACTCCTGTGCGTGGGAAACGGACAGCGAGGTGGTGTTCGTGCGGCATGGACATATGGAATTAGTAATACAGCACCATACAGCAGGTGCAGCGGGATTCCTAGGTAAAGGTTACGTTAACAGGGCAAACGTAGATAGAGCGATCATTGCTTGTAATTGTATGAGCCTAGGCAACATGATCTGTAAGGACAACGGCGGACGGATTGCAATGGTCAGTGCCTCAGCGCTGACCCATGGGTCATTACATGCATTGGGCTGGGACTCATCCAGCAGCCGGTCAGATGCGCGCCATCGTACGTCGTACGTACCTCATTGATGAGGTGAATTCCGATAGCCACGTTGACCAGTCCCATCACAAAGATGGCGCGGCCCAGCCCGGTGTGCACCACCTCCCACACGCGGCGAGTGAGCGTCAGCGGAGCGGGCTTGGGCCGGATCCAGGGGTAGAGGACCTGTGAGGCAGCAGTTCATTGGCCCAATTGTATAACTTCAGCTTCCCCATGGTATACGGCAGCATGAGGCAAGTCAGTCTAAGTATGATGTGAGTTGCGCATGCCTGACACTCTACCGCGTAAGCTGCTGCTGCGGAACATCCAGCAGCCGGAGGACACGAGCAACGATTCCACTCTCAGAGCTCGTCACGATATAAGATGCGGGACAGTGCCAATGCGTAACAGTAGCATGTAGCGGCGGCGCTAACACCCCTGACCTACCGCCTCTATTTGCACAATAAGACTTAAGAACAGCCGCCACCCCACACATTCTGCACACCCACCCACCCACCTGCAGGAAGAACAGGGCCATGATGGCAATTCCAAAGCTGCCGTGGCTGTACGACACCTCGGCATACTCCAGGTCGCCCAAGCGCGCGAAGGGGATGGCGAAACCGGCGGCGGCGGCTGCCACGGCGGCGATCTGGAGTGCGGCATGCAAGGAAAGCCGCAGCGGCTAGGTTAGCGAGATTGCGATGCTTGGTGAAAACACATTAAAAAGAATGGCAAATAATGACAGAAAAGAATTGTTTGAAGCGTTCCTGTATAGAATCCGTAAGGATCCGGATCCAGTCTCGCCAGAACGACGTGTACGGTATGTATCCCCGCCCGCCCTGCTGCACCATAAACCTCCTGGCTCCTCCGCCCACCCGCCCTGCTCACGTTGCACAGGATGTGAGCGTAGAAGAGTGTCTGCACCAGCGCGGGGCTGCTGCCGGCGACCTGGGCGGCGTTCTTCAGCTTGATCATCAGGAAAGCCAGCGGCATCAGCAGGCAGAAGGCGATGGCCATCAGGATGCCGTGCTTGCGCAGGTGTGGGTACTCGGCACTCTCCTCGTCCTCCTCCACTTCAGCCACTTCTCCGGAGGAGGTGAGCTGCACCGTCGCCTTACCACGAGTGGAGCTGCGGAGGCAGAGGAGGAGCGAGGCGATGAGTGAAGGGGGATAACTGGATGGGCTCAGAGGCATGCCTTTGGTGCTTCTTATTATCAGGAAGCGCTCCGCTGCACTCCAATGCCGGGAATATCTGAGCAGTACGGCAGCTGCGGTTCGCAACCCCTTGCATGCATGCAACCCTTCCAGACAATAACACCACCCCAGCAGCACTGCCATCAGCAACAGCGGCAGCAGCAACAGCACGAGCAGCACCACCAGCGGCAGCGGCAGGAGCACCCCCAGCAGCAACACCACCCAGCAGCGCCGACCCACCCATGATACACCAGGTCGCTGCTGTCGGGGTTCCACGCGTAGATGAGGTTGTTGCTGCCGTCCTTGACAATGGGCCGGTCGCAGCGCAGGTCAGTGGCGGCCAGCGGGCGACGGAAGGTGACGGTGGTGGAGCCGGAGGTCTTCACAGCTGACACCAACTCAACGTTCTTGGTGCAGCCCTGCAGGTGGGGATGAAGGAAACCGACCATTATCAAAACCAGGTAGAGGCAGGCCACAGGCAGAGGCGAGCCGAGGGAGTGGTTGAGACCGGAAGCAAGCAAGAAAGCACGGCGTGAGTACCGCCGGTAGCAGCACGCACGATAACGCAACCCTCACGCATGAGAACACTCAGCTCGTCGCAACCAAGCACCCCACATCGCTCACCGGGGTACCTAGCCAACCCACCACGCCCCACACACCCCTCCCTTCCGACTCGCCACTCGCGGCCAGCTTTCTCAACACACACGCCCCTCTCAGCAATCTCACCAGGGAGGTGTCCGAGGTGGGCGCCGAGGAGCTGCTGGACCACATGTCATCGATGGTCGCGGAGCCGTCCGACAGCACGCGCACCAGCATGATGTCCGCGTTGATCATGCCGCTGCTGGCGTCCGCAGCCACACCCAGACCAACCCAACCCGTGCCCTGGACGGTGACCTGCAAGGGTGGGTTTGCGTGCGTGGGGTTGCGTGGTGGGGTTGCAGGAGAGTGGTAGATAGGAGTTGTGGTGGAGAGGGTGACACATACAGTGGGACCGCTGGGGCTAGGACTCGCCTTCCCGGCAGCAGGCAAATACAGCAGCCCTAATCCTCAGCAGATAGCACCAGGCCCCACCGTGAAGGTCGCCATCTCGGTGGTTTCAACCTCCTCAAACGCCCAGCTGAGAGTGTACTTGCCGCTTGCCAGGGACACCTGCGGGAGCGGGGCAGCGAGGTTGGGGACAGGCGGCGAGGCCGGGTGCAGAAAGGCGGAAGTTTGCTGATTCCGCAACTGAGGCTAGGCAGGTGAGTCAAGGGAAGGCGAGTAATACCGTACCTTCTGGCCGGCGGGTACGGTGGTGCTGTTGCTGGTGTTCGTGGACGCGGTGGGCCAGGGCTGGTCGGGGTTGACGTGCCAGATGTTCTGGGGCAGCACCGTGATGTTGGTGTTGCGCAGGATGATGTCGCGGAAGGCTGCGAGCAGGTAAGCAGGTTAGGCGTGAAAGCAAAATGTTGAGGTTTGTACCATGCCATTGGGATGTAGATAGATACGAGAGGGAGAAGTACGATGACCACCTACGATGTGCACGAAACAACGACGGCAGGAGGACGAACACTCGTGCAACGGGCGGCTATACCATGCCCATGCCGATCCCTGTCGTACACATAAGGTCACAAGCACGCGCGCACACTGTTTGCTTACTGGTTGCCTTGACGTTGGCGATCTCGTCCGCAGTGAACATGCCGTTTGCCGTGTTCTCAAAGTAGTACCTGAATGTACGAGAGTACGACACAACCAATGATGGTTAGACAAGCGTATGGCAGCGACATGGTTTGTAAGCATTTATGCCATGCATACATGCATGGATGGGTAACATGCATGCGACATAAACCCTTCCTGCAAACATGGCGAACGAACGAACGTGACGCTAGCTTGCATGGGAAGCTAGTAAATGAACAACCGTGCGCAAGCTATCTATCAGCGCACAAGTTGCCACGCAAGTATCGCGTTAACTGATTACTAACGACGCAGTACGACAACCACCCAAGCAACCCACCAGTCTCCGTCCCGCACACGCAGGTACTGGTCGCTCAGCGAGGCGTTAAACAGCGGTCCGAAGTGGCTGTCAGGCAGCTTCTTCTCAGCCAGACCGCACACGTAGGGGTCGCACTTGTCAGGAGTGCCGTACAGCGTCTTGAGAGCGGCCGCGATGTCACTGAGGCATGAGGCAGCCGGCCCGGCCCGGCACATGCATGCGAGGGACAGGCAGAGAAAGGGAGAGGAGTCACTGTGTTGCTTTGGGATAACTGGAGAGCTGGTTATTCGGCGATGCATGGGAAGGACACAAGAGGACAAGCAAGAAGTGTTAGGTTAGGAACTCAGGATCATCATCTTGACGGAGCGTGTCGTCCTCCAGAAGTTCCAGCCATGGCAGCAGATAACCAGCAGGTGACAAAGCCAGCAAGCCAGCAGGCAGACGCAGCCGCATGCACTTACGCATCGTCAGTGAGGTCATCGAAGCTGGTCACGCTGCTCAGACCGAAAGCCTTGCGGCAGGTGTTGTAGTCGGGGATGCCGTGGTCACGACCGCGCTGGATGTTGCGAGCGAACAGGTCGGTACCGTTGACGCCTGTGGGGTGCATGCGGGGCCGGTATCGGTGTTGGTGATGGTGTGGGAGTCAGCGGGTGTGTCGTCGTGTGTAGGCAGCGCGGACATCCAAGCATGCATGACATGCAGCAGCAGGTAGGTCGCAATGTATGCCGCTACCTCTGGCTGTTGCTCTCCAAGTACTGTACGTATGCAATCTGAGTGCTACAAGCAGGTAATGCAACAGCTAGTACATGCCCCGGCTGTATGTTCCGGCCACCATCGTCTGCCAGGCAAGCACCGAGAAGGCATGCACGCACCTGGCAGGCCGAAGAGGTAGTTCTGCACAGCCTGGCTGAAGCGAGGCTCAACAAAGCCCTGCACGTAAGTGGGAGCGAGGAGGAGCAGGTGAGAGGAACAAGGAATGAATGAAGCGGGTAACAATTCCTCAAGAGACGTGCCAGAAGCTGAAATCATCGCTTAACATCATCGGCACACATGCAAGGGCTTTACAACCCTCAACAGGATATGTCACCAGTTAATGGGGCCCAGCAGATTCCCAGGGGCAGAGCTTTTATTTGGGCATCTAATGACCCATGGGTCGGCGTACCTGGACGTGCGTGGTCATGCCGCGAATGAGAGGGTCAATTCCAGCGAACAGTCCAATGCTCGGGCTGCAACCAGGTACAGTAAGGTAGGACATAGTCAGTTTGTGGACAGGTCTCGCATGGGACAGGGTTGCAACAGGGTTGCAATCAGCATCTTAGTAGGGCGGGTACGGTTCCAGTAACATCGTCTGGGCCACGCAACTTCCACAAACTATAGCCGCAACAGCAACAGTGCCAAGCAACAGCCACCAGCGTTCCTCAGCAGCAACAGCGGCAACGTCAGCAGTCACCGCAAGAATAAGAAAACACACAACACATCCTGATAACGCCCCTCACTTGAAGAAGGCGGTGTGCAGCGGCAGGTGGCCCTCGGGGATCTCGTTGCCCGCGTCGTCGATGCGCAGCAGCACGTCATTCACCTCCGAGTGGCCGTAGCGGTAGGCCACTGTGCTGAAGAACACATCCACCCCGGGGTTCACGGACGCGCGGTAGCCGCTGTAGCCCGGCAGGATCATTCCCAGAGCGGGCACGTACTCGTAGAAACACACGCGCTGCGGGGGGAGGCGGGCAGGGAACAGGTGGGCAGACAGCGGAGCAGGCGGGAGGGCAGGCGCGCGGGCAGAGGAGTGGGAACGGGCGGATGATGCGAGCGAGAGGTGCAAAAGTAAGGTGACCGACAGCAGCATGCAAGGTACCGTGGGTGTACACAGGGTATGCATGTTACATATCTTGCATACACGGTGCGTGGAGGAGGCTGGTAGGTAGGCAGGCAGAGGAGCAGTAGTCAGTAGCGACAGGGCGGGCGAGCGCAGCATGCAGGACGGCAGGTACCGTAGTAGTAAGCACAAGGAGCAAGTAGGTAATGGACGCAGGAGTCAAGTCCAAGCGCTATCCCATGTGCCCCACCCAGACTCATCAAACTCGCCCCGCCCTCCGCCCCTCACCTGCAGGTAGGCAATGTTCCACTTGCGTGCCTCCTGAAACAGCGTCTCATCGTTCCAGTCCGGGTGCGCCTTGGCCAGCTCGTCCGCAAGACGGTTGTGTTCGCGCACCCACAGCGTCTGCAGACTGGTGATGGGCGGGTTGACGTTGGCGCGCATGTCGCCTGCAGCCTTGATGGCGGTGCCGGGCATGCGACCGGCGTCGTTAGCCCTGCGCAAGGAGAAAGATAGGGGAAGCAAGGCATAAGAGCAACATAAAAGTTTGATAAGCTGAAGTGAATCTCCTATCATATCGCTACCCCGCACATAACATCCTTCACTACTGAAAATACTCTCTTTTAACCCCCGATGCGGCGGGTCCACGACCTCCGCCCTTCGCTCCCTGACTCCCTTCCTCCCTCCACTTCCGCTCTCCCCCATCCATCCATCCAGTTCTTTACCCCAACACTAACGTGCGTTACCCGCCCCTGCTGCTGCTGCAGCTGCAGCTGGCACACCCACGCACGCACGCACATGTAGCCCGTCAGGTTGGCCTTCTCCACGGTGGGCAGCATGTCACCCTTGTCGGAGGCCACAGTGGTCATCTTGCCGCCCTTGAAGGACCGCAGCTTGGCTGCCACGTCGGCCGAACTGCCGTACACCAGGGAGCCGTCGATGAAGGAGGTGATGGTGTTGATGGTTTGGCGGTAGGGCGAGGTGGAGGTGGTGTTGTAGGCGGACCTGGGGGGTGAGGCGGGATGGGGGAGGCGGGGCGGGGAGGGATGAGTGCGAGTACGTGACGCCGCCTTGCGTGGAACGCACGCCGCCGGGGAACGTGGCGTGATGGTGGGGACTGATGGAAGCAAGCTAGGGGCGGTAAGCCACGCATGCACCTGGTGAAGGGCAGGGTGACGTTGCCGAGGCCCTTGGGGTCGAAGAAGGGGTCGCCCTTGGGCACGGGGATGGGGGCGGTGTCGGTTCCATCGCCGTCCTTGGTCTTGTCGAGGTCGTGGTCAAAGAACTGACCTGCGAAGGGGCGGGCGGGCAGGCAACGTCGAAGGGGATCAGGCAACAGAGTGGGGGAAGCAGTGCAGGACACGGGCGTGAGAGTAACCGGCAGCAGAGTGGGGGACAGAGGTTCGGAAGGGAGGTTGAGGATTGACAAGGTGCTCTATGCGCCGGTATGTTGGGCATGAGTAGTATAGGGAATGGTGGCAGAGGGGGCATACATTGTAACTATGCATCTGTTGTCCTTGCGAGCGAAGGCGTACTACTAGGTAGGTTTCGGAGGCAGCTTACCGATGTAGGTAACCAAGTCTGATGTAGATGGAGAAGTTATTATGACGTTGGCGGACGGAGCGGAGCAGAGAGGCAAGTGGAAAAGGTGGGGAGGAGCAAGGGCAACGGTGGGTAATGGGGTTAGCGTGCCGAGAAACCAAAAAGCAGTTTGCTTGCTTCGGTCTTACCCGAGGTGTACTTTTCCAGGTAACGTTTCTTCATGGGGAAATTGGTCTGCATGAGGGTCAAGCTGATCTGGCGGGCGCTCGGACGGTCAGCACCCTGCAAGTCGGGATGAAAACTGGGTCGAGCGAAAATAAAAGCGTCTAATGACGCACTTAATGGTGTCATAAAGCTATGTCTAATCATCCTGTCTGAGCGTTAATTTGGTAATATAATTATTGTTGATTGGAACTCACTGCGAGCTCCGAGGCAGGAGTGATGTAGCCAACTTGCGGGACCTGGAAACGAAGAAACTCGGTATAGGCCGCCCTGCGTATCATATATGATGCAGCGGGTTCGGTGTCACCAAACACTCCTTCCATCCTCCATGCATGCATATGATTGCTGTAAGGTCAAGTAAGTACATTCCCGAGGAACCTTCCAGCCAAGCAAGCATATGCGTCTTTAATCCTTGGGCATTAAAGTTGCGTTTATGGATTACGCTTACTTACCCCCATTCCGGATTTTCCAGGGAATTGCCTCGACCATCGAGCGAGCGATACGCTGGCCTCGCGGCGGCAACCAGTGCAATTGAGCTGGCTAGGAAGGCCAACAAGCTCAGGGCCGTCGCCGAGCCCATTGCGAACTACAAGGGAGTTGGAGCGGCAACCCGTTGAGACCGCCGGTGCAATCGGCTCTGTGTGCATGCCAGCAAGGAACAGGCGCTGAGGGCCCATTTACTTTGTAACAAAAGCTCGTGTCTTACCACTGTCCAGGGACTGTCGACCCAAGCCGCTTATGTGCTTCGTGTGTGAACGTCGACTTGAAAACGTGCACAGTATATAGACAAACACTACTGACTTCAGTGAATTAAGCCAATACGATTGTCCTTAAGAACTGTGTCAGTATGTCGGACTCGAGGTATTCCCGATATCGCGATATGGTTACGACCGAGGCAGCGGTTAGTAAACCGTCATACATAGCTTGCGGCAAAACGCTTCCTGCCGCCAATAGGAGGCCATGTCAGGGATCATGGAATAAGGTTCCTAAACTAATGCTGCTTCGCCTGGGAACAAGACCAGATAATGCTGTGCAAGCTTTACGCCGTACTATACGAAAAGGTCGCATTAGTGGAATGCGACAATGTCAGAACGTAACATTAGATCACAAACAATAGGCTGTGACAAACAACCTGATTATCCGGGCAGCGTTTCAGATTGTAGAAGTTCGGCATGTGAACGACAAACTCGTCACCTTGTACCTGAGCTGCGGGGGATACAATCTATCTAGGGGAACATAAAAATGGTTATTATGGAGCACATCTACGGAGTAAACATGAAAGCGCTGGAGACATGTCTGACATGCAGCAGCACCACCTGCGTAACCCGAGTTAACCATTCACAGTGGGCATAACGTGAACGCTAGTATGATATGTAGTTATCAACCGCCTCGATTCGTAACTGTTCTTTCTTTGGCAATACTTTACAGTTGGAAGATTCTTGGCTGTCAAACAGTGCAAACTCCTTAGTCCGCAATCGAGGGTGGCTTACATGGGTAATACTAGAGCTACTTCTGTAGAAAAGGTAAAGCTGTGTTCCGGTCTGCAGGATTCAAGTTAGCTAGGCCTTGTTAGGACCGGTAGTTGCCAGTAACAACCATGCGCCCTGCGCTATGAAGCTCCGGTGGCGATTTGCCGAAGGATTGCAACCTCAGTCTTTCACTTAACAAATGCATTTTACTAGAAACCTCAGTTCTGAGTAGGTTCCAGGGTGTTATCTTACAGCATCGAAACCTGTTTATAGGGTTGCGACCCTTGGGTCGTTCCTAAACCAACAGTGTCCCCGGCATGTCGTAAGCAGACAGCACAACTATATCGCCCGGCAACCCATCCCACTCAGGACACATATTCCTCCTTAACCGGCCGCTGACAACATCTTGCGCTTGTATGCAAGCAGCCTTCACTTATGTTCTTGTCGTACTGTATATTCAGCCACAGCAACTTCCCTCCAAAAGCATGTACACAGTCGTCGGGCCATTCACAATTCCCAACCACAAAACGCAACTTCTGAGCCCGCCTATGGATTTCGTAACCCTCACAAAACTGAATAATAAAGCCTTCAACAGTTCTCAACACGTCAACATGATCATGAGGTGCATGATGGTGACATACGTAATAACTGCATCTCTCGCCAGCTCCCGCAGTCAAAACCCAAGAAAACATTCATAACAGCAGCATGTCGACTTTGGGCCTCATGCATTCAGTTGCTTATTCCACTATGCCTTTTTATAACCACATGTGCACGACAAGCAAGTCGGACAGCTAAACCCACGCTGGCATAGCGGGCAAGAATACGCTTTCCCAACAGGGCCCTTCCCCAGGATGGGATACCTATCACCCCACCGTAAAACAGACCATGCGTACCGCAAACCTTGCTTTGGCGCCTTGCCTATTCGGGTATGCCTCTTGCTATTTCCAAAGAACAAACAAGTCCACACGCGGGCGTGGCAGCTAAAATCTTACTCGTAAGGCTACGGTACCTTCTCCAACCCGCAAACACACATCCCTGCGTGCGTGTAGTACATGTGCACCGCAGGACTCGTACGGCAAACCTAAACAGCTCTATCCATCCATGGCCCCGTTCTTGGAGTGCGATGGCAGGCTCTCGCTCTCGGCGGCCTCGTCAGCGATTGAACTCCGCTTCTTCGCCTGCATGCAGGATAGTTGTGGGGGCCAGGGTCCGGGGCCAGGTGACAAGGGCCATCAGGATCAGCGTCACCGCAGAGCTTGAGCAGCAATGCATGCACATCACGGGGGGTGTAGTGTTTCTGGGCGGTCGGTATAAGAACCTTGGTGTTTATCCAATGCGAAAGCCTGCGACAAAACCCCCGAACACCCTCGCCACCCCAGCGACCCCGCCCCGCCCCGCCCCGCCGCAGACCCACCATCTGCCAGTTGGCTCGGTCCACCGCCGTCCCGATGATGGTGAGGGTCGCCACCGGCACCGCTGCCAGCAACACGAAGAAGGGCGCACTGCCACCAAAGTACTGCAGCCATGCATGCATGCATGCAGGGGGGGCGGGGAGGGTAAAGAGGAAACAACTAACTGACCGTGTTATAAGTCTTGTTGAAAAGGGGGGATCCAGGAGGCGCGTCAGCAGGGATGTAGAGAAGGCGCCATGAACGGCGTTTGCTAGCGATGTTTAATCACCGTGTACGCCTGTGCAGTACACGGTGGATTGCGCAGCAGTTTGCAGTAGCTACTATACTCTTGGAAGCCGCACGCAGGCATGCTAAACAATGTAACAGCATGCACGGACGGACGGACAGGACAACGAGGTACGGCAGCCGTACGTGGCATAGATGTGCGGCAGCCCATCACCCGTGTTACCTTCCTCGGAAGCACTGTAACGGTTTTTCGATTCGCCATTCATTCAGTTAGCCATGAAGAAGTACGGAAGGCCATGCATCGCTAGCCTGCTGGGCGCTGCAAGGTGCAAGGGGCTTAACACGTACCGTTGTAATCAGGTGTATCCCGATAGCCACGTTGACCAGTCCCAACACAAAGATGGAGCGGCCCAGCCCGGTGTGCACCACCTCCCACACGCGGCGAGTGAGCGTCAGCGGAGCGGGCTTGGGCCGCATCCAGGGGTACAGGACCTGCGTGCAAAAGAATGCGGATTATAATAGCATGAGTGCGGAGCAGGGGAGTAGGGTGGGTAGGGTGGAGTTCTGAGGACTATAAAACGCATGCTTAACAAGGCGTGCAACATGCAACGTGCAGCTTTGATAACTCCGGCTTCTTCTTTTCCTCACCTTACCTTACCTCCACCGCCCCGCCGACTGCCCGCCCCCACGCACCTTCCTTGTCCCACTCACTGCCATGAGAATGGTATTCAACCGCTTCACTTAACTACTTTTCATTACCCACCTGCACTCTACCACTTTCCTACTTTCCTACCCGCCTTCACTCTACCACCACCGCCACATCCGCTGTTACCCACCTGCACGAACAGCAACGTCACGACGGCCACCCCCAGGGTTCCGTGGCTGATGGGGACTTGTCGGTAGTCCAGACCCTTGAGGCGGGAGAAGTTGAGGCCCAACGCCGCAGCCGCCAGCACCACTGCAGTGGCCTGTGGAGCGGGGCGTTGGTTGGGGAGGGAGGGTGCGAGGGCGGGCGGCCGGGGTGAGGCGGGACGGGGATTGGGCGGGTGTTGGGTGACGAGGACGTCGCGACGGAGAAGTGCAATAGGGCCAAAAGAAAGGAACCCAGGGAGCCCCGTTGTGGTACGGCTAGGAGGAGGAGGAGGAGGAGGAGGGCAAGGGACCGCCGGGCAAAAGCCGCTGCCGGCAACGAATATCCATGCTAACGGCAAGGGTCGAGCCACGAAGGCCGCTGTCGGCAGCAGTACCAGCGCTAAAGTGCAGGAGGCTGAGGAGCCACCCGCCATGCTCACGTTGCACAGGATGTGAGCGTAGAAGAGTGTCTGCACCAGCGCGGGGCTGCTGCCGGCGACCTGGGCGGCGTTCTTCAGCTTGATCATCAGGAACGCCAGCGGCAGCAGCAGGCAGAAGGCGGTGGCCATCAGGATACCGTGGGTGCGCATGGTGCGGTAGCTGCTGGAGGCGCCGCTGGACACCACCTCGGCAGCAGCAGCGGGGACAGCGGGGCCGCTAGCGCCGGAAGAGGAGAGCGTGAGGGTCGTGGCGCCGCGGTTGCTGGAACTGCAAGTGTGTGAAGGCAAAGTGAGGGACGTATGTGCAACGTTGCGAGTTGCGGGTAGCTAGCATGGTGGTAGCATGGTGGTGGCGCAGCGGACGGTGGGGCAAATCGCGGTGGACCGAGACCCATGGGTCACTTTTGTGACCCATTTGTGCACGCACTTGCGCACTACCGGTACATCAAGGAGGAAGGAGGAGGTATGGTCGGCGTACGGAGCAGAAACTACCCTACCCGTGATACTTCTTGATGTCATCGCTGTCGGGGTTGTATGCGTAGATCAGCACATTGCTGGCGTCCTTGACAATGGCCCGGTCGCAGCGCGGGTCAGTGGCGGCCAGCGGGCGGCGGAAGGTGACGGTGGTGGAGCCGCCAGAGGTCCGATTGGCAGACACCAGCTTCACGTCGTTGCTGCAGCCCTGCAGGTGGGGCGGAGGGGCGAAGACGCGGAGGTGCGGGGACAGGGGTGGTGGAACGGAGGACATGGGGATAGGGGTGGTGGTGAGGCGGAGGGGGCGGCGGTGAGGGAGTGGGCGTAGGCGGGGGTGGGGAGGAGTAAAGGGTCATAAGGGCAATTCGTGGGGCCAAGCGGGGGTAGGGGGGCGGTGGCGAGGAAGGGGAAGAGAATGCCAGACACCTCAAGGCCACACCCAAGGCCTACACCATGCCCTCTCCCACCCAAGGCCTCCCACATGCAAAGCCTCCCACATCCACCCACCCTCCCACACCCAAGGCCTCCCTCCCACTCCCCTCCACCCTCCACCCCCACCACCCACCAGCGCGGTGTCGGGTGTGGGCGGTGCGAAGGTGGTGGCCCACATGTCCTCCACCTGCATGCTGCCGTCCGGGCCCACCCGCGCCATGATGATGTCGGCATCGGTCATGAAGCTGCTGGGGGACGCGGCCACACCCAGACCCACCCAGCCGCTGCCCTTGACCGTCACCTGGGAGGGTGGGAGGTGGGAGGTGGTGGATGGGAGGAGGGGTGACGGGAAGCATCCTGGAGGCGCTAGACAGTGATGTGGCTTTCCCTTCCTCCACCATACCAGGAGACGTACCCCACGCCACCACATGCTACCCGCCCCACACAACGCCCCCTCCCTCCCCCCAGCCCGGGCTTGTCAGCTGCATGTACCACTATCACACCACACATTGGAATTTCTTTTCCCCCCAGCCCGCACCGTGAACTCCACCATCTCGTTGCCGCCCTCCGTCAGGAACCGCCAGCCCAGCCCGTACCTGCCTCCCGCCAGCGTCACCTGCAGGGGCGGCAGGGGGGTGAGGACACGTGGGGGCCACAGAGGACAGGGTTTCAAGCTATATGACAGGCTATATGAATGTTGCGAGTAGGAGAGATGTCAGGGCGGGGGAGCAAGGCCTAAAGCGAATGGTTCCCTAAAGGGCTTTGTCAAACCGGAGGTCCCCAGGTTCCCATGTCATGCTCAGACCAAACACAGCAAGGTTACATCCCTGCATCCCGCGCCCCCACTCGCACCATCTGGCCACCTGACGGCGGGCCGGAGGCGTTGGAGCCGGCCGCCGCTGCCGCTGCTGCGGGGGTGGGCCAAGGCTGGTCGGGGTTGACGTGCCAGATGTCTTGTGGCAGCACCTTGATGCCAGTGTTGCGCAGGATGATGTCGCGGAGGGCTGTGGGAAGGGGCAGGCAGGGGCAGGGGCAGGGGCAGGGCGTGAGGGATGGCAAGACATGTGGGAACACATTAGGGAGGGCGGCGCACGAAGGTGTGTGGCCATTAGGATGATGTCTCGGAGGGCTGTGGCAGGCAGGCAAGCAGGGCGCGGATGTAACATGGGTCGCAAGGAGGGAAGAGTGAGACACCTGCAGACACAAGCTAATACCGCTGGTAGCAGGAGGCAGGAGAGGGCATCAGGCTGCTCCTGTCTCTCTCCACCGATGTTTAAACGCTACCGGTACCCTCAGGCGGCCTTCCAATGCTACGCTACCAAAGAAGGCCTCACTCGCAGGTATCAAACGCGGCATTCCAACGCCATGCTATCAAGTTGGCAGCTTACATGTGGACTTGATCTTGGCGATCTCCGCATCCGTGAAGGCGCCGGTGGCGTTGTTCTCAAAGTAGTACCTGTACGGCATGCCGTACGACAAGACAGATTGGGAGGTGTCGTACACCCGTCTGTTCCCTGTCCTTTGGCAAAAAAGGCGGAGCCTCGATGCCCAAGAGCTATTTCAACATCGGTGGATTAGGATTGAGCTATGTAGCCACGCGGACAACAGAGCACGCACAAGCTTCCAGCCACGGATATAACACGTTTGCCGTACAGCTATACTGTGCCGTACAGCTATACTGTGCCGTACAGCTGTGCCGTACAGCTGTGCCGTACAGCTGTGCCGTACACGCATGCCGCAAGCCCCCAACCCACCAGTCTCCGTCCCGCACACGCAGGTACTGGTCGCTCAGCGAGGCGTTAAACAGCGGTCCGAAGTGGCTGGCCGGGAGTTTCTTCTCCGCCAGACCACAGACAAAGGCGTCGCACTTGTCAGGAGTGCCGTACAGCTTTGTCAGCGCCTCAGCAATGGACCTGCGTGCGAAACGCGATACGAGGAGGAGCGGACGAGGAGGAGAAGATGAGGAGAGCAGGAGAAGGAGTAGAGGGGAGAGTGACCTTGTAGGCAGCTTAACGGGCTTTTCAGCGCTGTGCACGACTTCCATACTGCCGTACAACGGTATATGCCATGCAAAGGTTTGAAGCTTGTCTTGCGAAAAGGAATGTTGTGGTACCGCGACTTACGTGTCGTTGGTAAGCTGGGTGAAGTTGGTGACGGGGGGCAGACCGAATGCCTTGCGGCAGGTGTTGTAGTCGGGGATGCCGTGGTCTCGGCCGCGCTGGATGTCACGAGCGAACAGGTCGGTACCGTTGACGCCTGGTGTGGGGGCCAGGTGTGGGGCGGAGTGTGTTTGCGCTTGTGTGAGAGTCAGGGGATCAAAGGGGCTATTATCGCGTCACGTTCGGCCTTTGGATACAAGACGCGAAACGCGGCCAGTCAGGTGGCCGACCTGAAGCAAGTTGCACAAATATGCAGGCATGCATGTTGGTGCTTGGCAAGCAAAGCACGAACCACGCACCCGGCAGACCGAACAGGAAGTTCTGCACACTTTGGCTGAAGCGAGGTTCCACAAGTCCCTGTAGGGAAGGCAAGCGGCAAGAAAAGTAGTAGGTTGCAAGGACATGTCAGGACGGCCATTGATGCGCAGTTGGAAGGAGAGCAAGCCCTGTAGAGTCGAACGCTGAGGAACATTTTAATGTCATTTGCAAAGTGTGTCAGGTACCCCCGGGGCGTGCGCATAAGCTTGCTGTTGCCAATCACCCACCTGCACACGCATTGACATGCCTCGCAGAAGAGGGTCGATTCCAGCATATAACCCGACGGAAGGACTGCAAAGCAAGAAACATGTGCGATTACCATGATGGTTCGGGCCGCAGGGCTACCACGGACACAGCATGCAAGCTTGCATCGGTGTCAGAATGAGTCGATGAACATAGTGTAGTTCGAGAATCAGCATTCGTGGTTGAGACGAGTTAACAAATTAACCATACATATCGTAGGAACTGTTACATGCGTACATGCGTAGATGGCTGGCTAGTGGCTACCTGGCTTCATTCAATGCAAACAATGACTTCGGAGCGCGACAGCTGCTGCAATAATAGCTCCAAAGTGGCTAAGTGGAGGCCAAGAGCCTTAGATCACACACAATTACAAAAATATACTTACTTGAAGTAGGCAGTATGAAGGAGCAGGTGGCCCTGCGGCACCTCATTGCCTTCGTCGTCAATACGCAGGAGGACGTCCGTCACCTCGGAGTGACCGTAGCGATAGGCAACTGTGCTAAAAAAGTTGTCAATTGAAGGGTTCACTGTTGCGTTGTAGCCCTTGTATTGCGGCAGCGCGATGCCAATCGCAGGAACATACTCGTAGAAGCACACACGCTGCAGGGAAGCGGAAGGGCAAAGGGATCACGACACCAGAACCTTTGCTGCTCAATCCTCCTCCCTACCGACAAGCACCCATCCAGTAGCGGCCTAGCCAGTAGAGGCGCTCTTCTCAACCATCCGCTTCGAGCGAGGATACCGCATCTAGAATGGTTTCATCACCTTTTACCCTAACCACTTAGTTACCTGCAGGTAGGCGATGTTCCACTTGCGCGCCTCCTGAAACAGCGTCTCATCGTTCCAGTCGGGATGCGCCTTGGCCAGCTCGTCCGCAAGACGGTTGTGTTCGCGCAACCACAGCGTCTGCAGACTGGTGACCAAGGGATTCACGTTGGCTCGCTTGTCGCCCGCAGCCTTGATGGCGGTTGCTGGCAGCTGCCCAGCATCGTTGGCCCTGCGCAAGGAGTTAAACGCACGACAGTAAACGGTGGCGCTATCTGGATGGCCATTAGGGAAGCCGAAAGCGCCCTTCAAACGCGGTCCTTACCGCATCAACAGCCTTGTCACTCGTTTACAGTTATGCATACCCGCAGCGTACGCAGCCTCCACCCCGGGCATCCCACGCTTGCTAGGTTTGCCAGCATATCCACACCTCCCATGCCGCACCTCTACCAACCTAGACAGGCTTCAGGGGCGTAACACGCTACAACCCGGGGGGGGGGGGTTCAAAGACCATTCCAAACCATAGGAGACCACAAGTCTCCTAAGTCGGGGGGGGGGGAGGTTCGCAGGTAACGCCTGCAGCCGCAGCTGCCGAAGCAAGTCCGGCCCGCACTCACATGTAAGTGGTAGACAGGTTCGTGGCGCCTACGTTCGGCAGCATGGGCCCCAGCGCCGGGTCGTCCGTCGTCTTCATCCTGCCGCCCTTGTAAGCCCGCAGTGTGGACAGTACGGCCTGCGAACTGCCGTACACCAGGGAGCCGTCCACGAAGGCCGTGACGATGTTGATGGTTTGGCGGTAGGGCGAGGTGGAGGTGGTGTTGTAGGCGGACCTGGGAGGTCAAAGACCATACCAAACGGCGGGGGAGGGGCAGGGCAAGAAAGATGGGGACGGAGGGGACAGGAGAGGGGGGCAAGCAAAAGGTGAGGAGGGCATTGCATGCAGAGCAACTGGGACACCAGCAGAGGGTGCATCGGATCGGGGGCAGCGGATTGGCTTCAGTTTGCCTCAGATTTGAGGGGTGACAGCGGCGGCAGAAGCGGAAGCAAGGGACGGCCATCCCCAAGCCACGCACGCACCTGGTGAAAGGCAGTGTGAGATTGCCGAGGCCCTTGGGGTCGAAGAAGGGGTCGCCCTTGGGCACGGGGATGGGGGCCGCCTCCGTGCCCTCATCATCGCGTCCGTCCAGTGTCTTGTCGAGTTCGTGGTCGTAGAAGTGACCTGAGAGTGGGGGTGAGGGCCAGGGTGCGGGTGCGGGTGCGGGTCAGGGTAGCGCTGCATTATACTGCAGCGGTATGAGAAGCCGGGAGGAGGCATGCTAGTGGCGGGAATTGCATGGGCGGCGGAGTCGTGAACATGTGAGACCGGAGGCGGCGGGCAGCGCAGTACGTACTTGCACGTCTGGCTCGCAAGGGTCGCGGCCCTGTGGACGGGCACTGCAGCCTTCCTTGAGTTCAACCTGAGCCCCACAGCCCCAACCCAGCTCACCAACATATGTCACGAAATCTGATGAGGCCGGATGCATGAGGGCGAGCGTCGGGCAGTTGGTGAGCGCCGCGAGGAAAGTGGCAAAGAGGAAGAAACGAATTGGAGTTAGGAAAGGGTTCACAGAGCTTGGGGTACTGGGAACCAGCAACAGCAGTCCCCAGACCCTGACCTACGGCCCCCATGCATGCAGCCCCCACCCAGCCGCCCCACCCGATGTGAGGGTGCCCATGAAGCGCTTCTTATCCGGGTAGTTGGTTTCCATGAGCGCCAGGCTGATGGCACGGGGGCTGGGGCGGTCGGCGCCCTGCATGCACGGGGGGAGCAGCGGGGGGAAGGGAGGAGGGACGGACATTCGAGATACCGTCCGTGAACCACTGTAACGATTAACCAATCGTACATTCAATCATAAAAGGCAGAAGACGCCAGAAGTGGGGAAACGATGATGGTGATGCATGGTGACGTTGGGGCAAGATTTGGTTAAGGCGTGGTAGATGGAGCAGATGGAGCGGCTGCGAGGGTCTGCCCCCTGGCTCGTCCTTCCACTCCGCATGGACACACGTCGAGCGGAGTCGGGCGGATAGCAGACCCGGGTGCTCTTTCTGGTATAGCTAGGCAACGGAGGGCACGCGCGGCAGCTGGCTTGCGGCATCGCAAGCAGCGTTCGGAAGTAGGTAAGCTCTGTCCGCCGCTACCGCTGCCGGTACTAGCAGTCGGCTGGCGCAACCGCTCGACGCCAGGAGTCCATTCACCCCTACCGTTATAAGGGACGAACGATTTGTGTAAGCAGCGGGCACCAGTCGGATGAACTCGGTATCTGCGGCCCTGCGTTTTGGGGCGGGGCGGCGTGTGCAGGAGAAGGGAGCAAGCGTTCAATCGGCGCTCAATTGCTTGTTTGCTTGCGGTTAGCTTCGTACTAGGTTCCTTCCCGACAAAAGCGATCCACCTCGCAAAGACCTGTTCCTTTTACAATTTGCAACATCGTGCAATTATCTGCAGCCTGCGAGATCTTTGGCGCTGTCGTCGTTGACAGCCTTCAACCGCTCGCTCGAAGGCTCGATCAGCAGCTTCTATTTGGGCGCAGCTGATGCGACTTACCCCCACTCCGGATGCTTAAGATTATTCCGCCTGCCATCAATTGACCGGTATTGAAGTCGCTGAGCTGCGGCTGGCCCTGACAGCAGCAGACCCACAAGCAACAACGCCACCGTTGTTACGACAAATTGAGAAGTCATAGCCGTAATTTAATTAGCTCAAGTGGTTGATTGCAAAAAGACATGTGTTAGTTGGACGCGCTGTTTGTTCCAAGTGAGGAAGTGCTGCAGCTGCGGAGTAGTGGTACGGTTACGGCAGGCGCGGCAACGTTGCCCCCCCGTCGTAACCTAGTCGCAAACGGTAACGTAATCAGACAGGCATCTAAGCTGTCAATTACCAATAGACGGATACGAACACACCCTTGTACGCACGATGTCAAAAGCCCGTCCAAAGGGTACTGCCTGAGCTGGCTAGGTGCGACGTAGACGAGCGAGATCGATGAGGTATATATAAGGAACTACGGTTCCATCTTGCATAACACACCATAACGTGCCAGATGTTCCTGTCATGGTGTACTGGGATGCTATTCCATAGCATCCTGCGCGCGATGGCCTCCTCCTCTGTTAGTAGCAAGCAGCGAAACACGGAGCCCAATTGCCCATATGCTGCTGTGGGAATAGGTGCTGCTAGTTGCCTCGCTTTGCATATTCATAGCTCTCTCACCTATACCAAGCAAGAAACCAAAACACGTGCAACACCGGTGAGCCCGCCGGAGTGCTGGCTCGCTTACTTCAGTTACTTGTACACACTAGGCCGAACGACCCGTGTGTCGGCGTGGGTTTGCATCGGGTTTGCATGGGTCACCTCGTGCGCAGTGGGCTTGGGCATGCGGTCAGCGTACAGGGTACACTGAACTAAACGACCCATGGGTCAGCGTGGGTCTGTCTGATCGTTTGCGATGGAGCCAGACAGACGTACATGCAGCACTCGCCTGTAGTGTGCCACCCAGTAACCGTTACCGTTATATTGCTTGCATGCAGGTGGCGGTGCCCGTGTCAAGCACGGAAGCAAAGTTGTTGTGCGGCTATCGGACAGTGCGGGTACCCGTAATGCCACCTGCCTTTGTACAGCCCCTGCACACAAGGGAATAGCACGACAAGAGCGGCAATCCAGTGCCCTAGTTACTGGGTCATCAACTGCTGTCACTGCTGCCCCGCAGGCTTCAGTCTATAAACACTCCCGTACACTCCACAACTGGCAGGCCCTTGCTGCCTGGACTGCCTGTGGCTGCTGCTGCCGAGAGAGCGTGTTGGCTGCTGTGGCGCTGCGCCCCGTCCGATTGCCTGATTGATGTGGCGGGAACATGACAGGAGCATGACAGGAGCATGGCGGGAGGAGAGGAGAGGTAGCCTGCTGGAAGCCCCGTAGTGACCGCAGCAGCAGCAGCAGAGCATCTTACAGGCAAGCAACATGGTGGTGGTGATGGCTCACCCGATGCTCCCTTTATACGAATTATACCGGTACCGGCATGCATGACGGGGCAGCACAACATGCGTGTCGCAGTGCTACCCTCCCTGCAGCCGTCCCGAATTGCAACAACAACCGGCCCAGCCAGCCGCAAAAAGAGCGACAGGGGTGTGGCGTAATAAGCAATAAGAGGTGTACTTTAGCACACACACATAGTCTTCTCCTCAAAAGTCTAATTCGTACACACACACGCAAGCACCGCTTAGTTTGAGCATGCAAGGCTCATACCGCACGTTGGGCCAACAATTACACCAAAAAGAATATAACCCGGGTACACACAACTCCAAAATTCCGCGGTTTCTCGCAGCGGCACAGTGCCAAAAAAGGCTCTCATGCCACGACGACACAACCAGCAACCAAATCCTCAACACAACCGCCCTCTACTACACTCCACGGCCGCCTCCATCCTCCCCATTCCTCTGCCAAGGCATCACCCCTCCTCCTCCTCCTGCTCCTTACCACAGGCCAATCACCTTCCACCAGGCACCTCCCACGCCCAGCCACACAGCCAGGTAAAACACCGACAGAATCGCACCCAGCTTCAGCCAGTCGCCCTGCGGCACGTAGCCGGCGCCAAAGTACGGCGGCGCGGATCCGATGCCGTACGTGGTGAGGCAGCCCATCAGGTTGGACAGCTGGCCCAGAGCAATGGCGGCCAGCATGGGCGGGGTGCCGCAGGCGGTGGCCACGGCCAGGAAGGCGGTGTACATGGCACCGATGTGGGCGGCACCCGAGGCGAAGAAGTAGTGGGAGTAGAAGTAGAGGGCGACCACAATGCCGAAGGCGCCCTGCCAGCCCAGACCCAGCCCGCCCACAACCTGGGGAGAGAGGGAGGGAGAGGGAGGGAGAGGGAAGGTGGTGGTAAGAATGAGTTCGGGTGGGATGACATGACATGACCTTATCTTGAGAGCACTGCGAGCAGCTAATGCAGGGAGCTTTATTAATCGCCTTGCCCCTCTTCTTCACCTCCCTTCACCATTCTTCAACACCGTGTTGGACGGTTAGGAACCTAAACTTAGGTTGCGAACATCTCAGACTGTTACCTCCCCTCACCCCACCCACACACACTCCCGGCCAGTTTTCTTACCACACACTCCCCTCCACCCAACCCCACCCCCACCCCTCAACCCCACCCCCACCTTGACCACGGTGTTGGACAGCCAGGGGATGAAGCCGTACTTGTTGAGCGCCGCCGCCATGGCGATCAGCGCCGCGAACCAGGTGAGCGTGTCCCAGGCCGCGTTGTTGTTGAGGCACTCCTTCCAGGTGGTCACGTTGGTCACCAGCAGGATGAACAGACCCACGATGGCAGCCGCCACCGCGTTGATGCCGAAGGAGCCGCCGAAGATCCACAGAGCCACGGTGATGGCGAAAGCGACTTTGGGGGGTGGTGGGTGGAGGGAAGGGTGATCAGGGTTGATGATGGTGAGGGAAAGGGGACGCTGAAGCGACTATGGGGCGCTGGAGCACTGTGCGCCCTTCCCCAAGCTGCCCTTCCCCCCTCCCCCACTCTTGTCTCTCCCCTTTTAACCCCATTCCTCTCCCATGGTGGAGCCTTGTCATACAGCTCTATTTGACCCATTCCACCCCCCTCCACCCACTCCGTTGATGCACTTCTCTATAATTTTCCACCCACCCGCAGTGATCTTCTCGTTGGTGCTCATGGGGCCCAGCTTGGCCAGCTCCTTGGCGGCAGCGGCGGGGGCGTCAGGGGTGTCCTTGACCTGCAGGGAGGGAACGGGGGAGAGAGGAAGACAGGGGTGAGAGGGGCAGACGCGCAATGCAGATTTGCCCAACGGAGCATGCGCTACACGATACGCGGAGCCGCTCAGCCCCGCCACCTTCCCTCCGCCTTCCAACCTCCGCTCCCTTTCCCGTGCGCCCCTCTCCCCCATCTGTGCCGCATCCTATTCCCATTGCTTTGCTCCAACCTGTGGTTTCCTGCGGTTCGGTATGCTCATTAACCCACCTTAATTCTCCTTTATTCCCCCCCACCATCCCACCCCCCTCCCCTGGAGAAGCCTCGCCATCCAGTTCGTCAGTTTTCCTTATTTTTACCCCCCTCACCTCCGGCGGGTAGAGCACGTAGAGGATGAGCGGCACTGCCACCAGGCATACCAGACCCGGCACCAGACCCGCAAGAGCCCAGGTGCCCCAGCTGATGTTGATGCCGGCGGCAGCGGCCAGGTTGACGGCCAGGGGGTTGGCAGCCATGGCGGTGATGAACATGGCGGAGGAGACGGTGGTGGTCTGAAGGGGGGGAGGAGGGGGAGGGGAGGGGGTTGGGGGAAGAGTTGGTTTGAAGTGTTCAAGGATTAGACCTGGTCAACTTCGCCAGTACCAAACACCCACCCCGCCGAGCAGCCCCTCCGCCGCCACCCCAGCCGCCAAGTATCAAGCCCAGTGCGGGATACACAACCCCAAACCCCTTCTCCTCCTCTTCTCTCCTAGCAACCCCTGCTCTCCTCCTCTCCTTTCCTAGCAACCCCTCCCTGCTCTCCTCTCCTTTCCCCCACCTGGAAGCAGGTCTTCATGACGTAGGCGCCCATCTTCTTCTGGGTGCCCTTCTCGGGGTCGGAGCCGCAAGCCAGGCACAGAGCCTTGGCCAGCGGGAAGAAGATGCCACCTAAAGGGGGAGAGAGGGAGGAGGGAGGGAGGGGGGTCAGGGATTGCGGGGCGGTAAGCAGGGCAGGGCGGTGATAGTGAGGTGGTGGATGCAGAAGAAGGTCCGCTTGATGGTTGAGGGGGGTTCACTTCTTGCTTGGAGGAATGAACAAACTGTGTGCTTAACTTCAAAAGGTGCGGATCAGTTTGATCCAATGCGGATCTAGGGCAGAAGCCTGAAGAGCCTCCTCAGCACTGCCTTTTCAGCGGGCATGACAACGTCTGCTGCCGCTGCCTCCAGGCCGCCTGCGCACCTCCCCAACTGCGTGCACGTCTGCGCCCCGGTGGCTACGAGGACACAGCCGCATGCGGGGTTGTGCAGCATGTGACATGCGATTCAGGCTGACTCCCAACAACAATAACCCGCTTTCCAAAGCCCTTTGTAGCATTTTCCTCCACCTCTTGACGGACTCAGTTTGCACGCCTCACGCACGCTACCGCACACCCTCCCTCCCAACTCCACTTCCGCGGGGAGGGTGCCGCACACAGCACGCAGCACGCATTCACACAGTTGCACCCACCAGCGCGGGCAGCCACGGAGGGGATGGCGGGCGACAGCAGCGCCTCAGCAAACACCAGCGCGTAGGTGAGACCCAGGGTGGTCTTGCCCAGGGCACCCACGATGGCGTAGGCAATGCGGTTGCCCAGACCCGACTTGATGAAGCCGCCAGCCAGGAAGTACGCAATGGCGATGAGCCAGCTGTGAGAGAGAAAGGAGGAAAAGGGAAAAGGACGGCGGTGGAAGGATGGTGAGACGCGAGATGCGGGAAAGGAAAGATTGGGTAACACAGCGTTAGGTGGATTGCTAAGCTAAGGAGCACCTGTTGAGGTAGGTTATGAACGCTTTTTGAGTGCAACAGCGTTAATTTTGTTTGTCATAACAAAACAAACAGGCGCTATTATACCGCGCTATCGCCACGCGTGCAAGCAAACGGAATGCCGGAGTTAGGACTCGCTAAGGTTGCATGACCCCGAAGGTATGGGCTATTTTGCTATGATAATTATGGAAACAGACCAAAGATTGCTTTTTACGCGGCCGAAGGCAAAACTACGCATCAAGCTTGCACAGGAAATAACCGACTTACGGAATCTCGGACGCGAAAGCGCTGAAGGCCTCGGCGAAGGTCAGGACCTTCGTCACCATCGCCGCACCCAGGCCGATAACAGCGACAGCACCCAGGGGCAGGGGCGTCGTGATGATGCCGACAATGGTGCCTGCGAGATAGTTACAAACATATTTCAGAGCATCACTTTCGTTGATGGTTTCAGTAAGCAAGGGATTGGGGCGGTTCCACCTATTCTGCTTGCAGACTCCTTTCCCGATCACTCACCGATGAAGACCGCCAGCAGGTGCCACGCCTTAGCAGTCACGCCAGCCGGGGGCGGCACAAACCAGAGGGCAGTGGCAATACCCACGCAGATAGCCAGGTCCTTCATGTTAGCACCCCACTTGAACGCGGGCTTCGCAGGGGCCGGGGCGGGCGAAGCAGGCTGAGCGGCCGAGGCCGTGACGGTCAGCGTGCGACGGCCCATAGCCGTAGCCTTCTGGGCAACACGGACAACTGGCAGAGCCGGCATGCGAAGAGTGGCGCGCAGAGCAGGAGCAGGCGCGGCCCGCATCACTGGCGCCGCAGGAGCAGGACGGCGCGTGGGCAGACCCACACGCATGCCCTGGGCCTTCATGATGGTGGCCATTGTCGTTTTACTCTGATCCCAAAGTCTGTTGATAGAGACGTAGGGTTCTGATTAACGACACCCGGAAAATGACCCTACAGCTACTGGCTACGCCAGTGCCCTATCACCTAGAGCTAAGTGCGCAGGACCTTCAACAAAGACCCTAGGGCAGTTATACTCTTGCTGGAAGGTCACTGAGATGCAGTCGTACAACACAAAAATCAACAAGCACTAACGAACCCTATACCAAGTGAAGGGTTTTCAGGAGACAAGTGTAAGTTAACTCTAACTAGCTGTGAACCAGATAAGCGACAGTATACAGTATACAACTTAAGGGCGTCGAAAACTGGAATTGCCGACTCCTGGGCCTTTGACGCACGCGCTGATGATCTTGTTTGCAAGAAACTACAGAATTTCGTTACTGTGTAATATTCAGGACGTTTATGATGTGACTTGAAGCATGCATGTATGTAAGCTTGACTGTGTGGGGCAGACCCAACGGTGTCATCCAACGGCCTTCCGAGCGTGCGGACTAGGGCATGCCGAATGTGCTGCAACTGAATAACACTGCTGAGGAGGGCCAATTGAGCGATTGGCTTGGACCGGCGGACACAGCACGGCAGAACTCAGCCCCGAGCAAAGCCAGCAGGGCCATGCTTGCACGTTGGGCCAGTAAGAAGACACGCTTAAACAACCTTCTGTGGTCTTTTATGGTAATCTTTACGTGGTGAATATCTGTTTGCATGTGTGCTTACGCTGTACAGCTAGGAGCATTCGTGTGACTCCACCCATGAGACACACTGTTTGCAACAGTAGGGCTGTGAAGGACTGGGATTGGTTAAAGCACACGTCGGTACCGTTTTGTCCAGGCGCAGTACATTAGCTACATGCCGTGCCTGAGTGGGTGACGACTTCCGCTGCTACTGCCAACACATGGCCACACATGTGGCCCGAGAAAATACGCCAATCGAAGCCAAAGTTCTTTGACAGTCAGCTGGTGACCAAAATCCTTTTTTTTGAATTCTAGGCTTACCATTGCAGGCCCGCTTGCGATGACAGATCGGCAGACCCTGCTGCCGTACATGGTTGCGTGAAAAGGCTTAACCGAGCTTTGGGAGCGAAGTGGAATTCGCCTGTTAACGGCTTGATCCTTGCTGCATAAAGTGCAACCATGCCGCCGCATTGCGTTATCGAGGACGTGACGGATGTATATGACCCTGCCGAAGGGGACAAGCTACTTGGCGACATGCTGATCAAGCATGAGGGAGACGCACAGAAGTTCCTAACAACAGTACTAGGCTTTCTGAAACGCAAGTCGAACTTCTTTAAGGGCGAGGACCCTAAGCGGAGACTTCTCGAAGCATACAAGGAGGTGCGCTTGCTACCGATTGCAAACATGGTCACTGCTGTATCACCAACTTGTTTGTAGCGGGGCATGGGCAGTGATCTGCTTTTTCTGGACTCAAGAAACAATGCCCTTTTGGCGCGAGCACAGGTTACCGGAGAGGCTACCGCACCCGCTGGCATTAAGGGTGGATTCCTCGCAGGGTCTAAACCGGAGGAAGCAACGGTAAATGCTTTCGTCCGATTTAACGCCATATTGCGGTAACACTGGTTGGCAGTCCATGTGGGCACCAGCAATTGGGCATTGGCAATCCTTTGCAGCACGGCACAGAAGAAAGCATATCCATTACATTGCGAGAAGGTGTCGCATGCTTAGTATCAACTTATTCTCTCCGGTTCCGTACTGTCCGCAGGCACCTGCGGCTGCTCCCGCTGAGCCCACAGCAGCAGCTCCAGGTGCGGGCTACCGCTACCGGTCCCTCACATGAAAATGCTCCCCTGATCACCTAATAGCAATCCTAGCTACCCTAGCAGTGCCCTGAACTCCTGGGATCTATGTACGCCCATGTACGGCCATGAACTCAGCGCCTGCTGCCTTGTCAAAAGCGGCAATGCATGGTTCTCATTGAATCCCTTCGCCATGCTATCCTGCAGAACCGGAAGCGGCAAGTGCCCCCTCGGCAGGAGGGGAGGAGGCAGCGGCGGCGGAGGGAGCAGCGGCAGCAGCGGCGCCTCAGGCGGCGGAGGCAGCGGAGACGCCAGCAGCAGCAGCAGCGACTGAGCAGCCGGCGGCCGCTGCGGAGGAGGCGGCAGCGCCAGCGGCAGCAGCAGCGGAGGCGGCAGCTTCTAAGGAGGAGGGGGAGAAGGAGGAGGGAGAGGAGGCGAGCAAGGGGCTGAGTGAGTCCGCTGGGAGCAGGGAGGGAGGGAGGGAGGGTAACATGTATGTGATGTACCCTCAATTGTGTTGGGGAAAAGGGGAAACAGCGAGCTGTGTGACGAGGCAGCAAGGGAGGGGCGGGCGGCAGGGGGGAAGATAGGCTGAGCCACGAGGTAACACGGGCCGTGACGGATGACGGCTTGGATGCAGGGGTCAGCGCTCCTTTCACTCTCATTCAACACGCGGGGTATTCTTCTCCTCCCCCACTTTCCCCCCTCTCCCTCTTCCCCCCTCAGAGCCCAATGCTGCCCGCGGAGCCGACCTGGATCGCTACAGCTGGGGTCAGACGCTGAGCGAGGTGACGGTTAGTATTCCCGTGCCGCCCGGCACCAAGGGGCGCATGCTGGATGTGTCCATCAGCCGCAACCGCCTGCGGGTGGGGCTGAAGGGGCAGCCGCCCATCTTGGAGGTGAGGGGGGAAGGAGAGGGAGGAAGGAGGGAGGGTGGGAGGGAGGGGTAATTTGGAAACAGAATCCGAATTAGGCTGGATATTTGGGTTAGCATATAATTGTAGTTGTTGTATAGTTAGTAGCATCAATCAATAACAAACCGTATTGTAAGCTCCATGGCGGCTGGGGTGATCTGAGATCACTCTGCATTGGCGAATAAAAGGCGGCTGCTACTGTGATAACTGGCTCCACTGCGCTAGACCTGATGTCTGTGCTGCAATGCTGTCAGCAGCATAACGTATGTAAGCTCCGCTGCTTAGCTGGGGCTGTCATGCGGCTGTGTGCACCAAAGCATCCCACCCTGCCCGACCCTCGCAAAGGAGGGAGGAGGGTGAACTCTAGCTGCCCATGTGGCAAGGTCGGGGAGGGAAGGAGAGGAGGCACGGAAGGGAGGGAGCGGGGTGGAGAGGGGAGGTGGGCACGGGTTGGAAAAACATAGATCGGGAAAGCACCCAAAGGAGGAGAGCGGGAGTATGGAGCGGAACCCTGCCACACCCCCATTGTCTTGCCCCAACCTGTGGTTTCCTATGGTTCGGCATGGTCTTTGCTCCCTGCCTCCCCCCACCCCCCCAGGGTGAGTTCCCCGAGCCGGTCAAGCCCGACGACAGCATGTGGGCGCTGGTGGACAGCTGCGTGGAGGTGACGCTGGCCAAGGCGGAGGGGCTGCACTGGTGGGGCGCGGTGCTGCGGGGGGAGCCGCTGATCGACACGCAAAAGGTGCGGGAGGGTAGGGGGGAGGGTAGGGGGGAACATAAATGAGAAGTTCAGCAAGGGGAGTGGGGACTGGAAGAGGAACTGGGTATAATCCGCAAAGGGGGAATGGATACGCTAGGAAGGGGGCGAGGTCATGGAGGATGTTATGAACGACGGGGAAGGGGTGGGGAAGGGAGCGGGTTAGGGAAAGATGGGGAGGGTGTTACTAAACACAGAGCCGGCGCCCCACCAGCTCCGACCCATGGGTCACCACGACCCGCCCCTCCGATCTCAGGTTATGTACCACAACCGTACTGGCTTATGCTCACGCGCGCATGTGGGGCGCATGTCTAGTCACACAACCCCTGCTGCCCCTCCCGCTGGCCCCTTCCTTCACTGCTTCCCCCCATGGTGTAGCCTCGTTATCCAGCTCATCAGTTTCAGCTCTTTTAACCCCCCATGCCCCCCCTTTCCGCCCCAGGTTGAACCCGAGAACAGCAAGCTGAGCGACCTGGACTCGGAGACTCGCAAGACGGTGGAGAAGATGATGGTGAGGGAGGGGGGGGGCGGGAGGGGGAAGAGGAAGACGAAAACCATGACTGGAATGATGTTGGTGTACGAGTGGGGATGGGAGAAAGAAATGAGAAGTGGGATGATGGAGGGGTAGGGTGGATATGTCAGAGAGATATAGAGAAAATATAGAGATGGTTGGTACAGCAGCGGTACTGTAAGTGCTTAAGGCCCTCCTTACTGTGCGGGGGGGGGGATCGAAGACCAGGTACTAAACCATAGGAGACCACAAGTTAGGGCAAAGCAATGGGGGTAGGAGTTGGGGGGGGGGGCGGTGGGCGGCCTACCTAACACCCCTTCCCTGTGGGAGCTCCCGTGCTGCTGCTCCTGTTCCCTCTTTCCTCGTCTCCCTCCGCCATCCGCCTCACCTCCTCTCAGGCCCTCCACTCCGAAGTCGGGATTGGGGATTGGGACTATACATGCTTCACTTCTATTCAGTTTCCCTCTCTTATCCTGTGGTCTTGGTATATCTCTTGCACCTCCCCTCCACCCCCTCATCTCTCCCTCCCCTCCCCCCAGTTCGACCAGCGTCAGAAGGCGCTGGGGCTGCCCACCAGCGAGGAGATGCAGAAGCAGGAGATGCTCAAGAAGTTCATGGCGGCGCACCCGGAGATGGACTTCTCCAAGGCAAAGATCATGTAGAGGCGGGGAAGGGGAGTGCCTCTACATGATGGGGTGGGGTGGGAGTGGGGGTAGGAGAGGTTACTAGGGTGGAGAGGCGGAAGACGGGAGTGACGAGAGGGAAGCAGTGGGAAGTGCAAGGAGGGAAGCACGGGGGGAGGAGTGCATGTGTGAGGGGGGGCGGCGGGATGGGAAGGGGTGTGGGCGTGCGGGGAGGGTGGGAGCCTTGGAGAAGTGGGTTGGGGAGCAGCCGGCAGGTCTGTACGGCAGCACAGGAAGCAAGGTGTTGATGAGGATGTGTCAGCTCCCGTTGCTGTATGTCTTGCATGGCTCGCAGCTGCGGTCAATGGTATTACCCCTTGATGGCCGTGAGAAGTTGCCAGCGGTGCGGCGGTTACGGCTGGAGGCATGTGGGGGGATGACAAACACTGAGGTGGCAATGTGCTGCTTCTGGTACGCTTCTGCGTATCTCCCTACACATCGTGCGCAGTACTTGTACAGCACTTGTACGATGCCATTCGGATCTTGAAACGGGTCAGCAAATCACCCAGCAGGGTGGCAATTCTATTCATCCTGTTAACGTTCGACATGTCGACAATGCAATCAACCTTATTACATCGTACGAAGTTTGTGCCGGTAGATATAAGTACAGTTGTACAGTACAGTACGGTAACTGGTAACCGGCAAACTCCCGCGTAGCCCCAACCGCGGTTTCCACTCCCAAACCGCGCTGTATACAACGTGCATGCAAACACCTATCACAACCGTATACTACAGCACTTCCGTCTATCTATCCAATTTCTTGCCTCTTATGCCAATACCCAATCAAAAGAGCACAATCCCAACCAGCAACACAAATTAACCACCCTCCCAACTTCAGACCCACGGCCTTCGCTTGCACCGGAAAGAAGCTCTCTCACCCTTCTCTCGGGTCCAGGCTAGCGCGGAATGCTCCCTGTACCTAATCTCTCTCCCCTGCAACAGCGTTCTCCTTCAGCTCAAGTCGCCGCAAGGCACTGCGGACGAGACAACCGACTACCGGTACCCGCCTCGCGCCTTGTTGCTTTGATATTGAGTATATATGTACATCCACACTACAACAGCCTACGTCAACCACCTACGTCAACAACAACCGCAGCCTTTTGTCCGCACAACCACCTCCTCCTCCCTTTCCTCCTCCTCCTCCTCCCCCCTCCCAACCACCCGCACCGCCACCTGCCGTACCTCCAGTCTCACCCGCTGCTGACCCATGGGTCCGTCGAAGCCCCTCAGGCGTACGCGGAGCCCCCCGCCGGGTCCCCAACCACACCCCCCCGGCCCCCCACCCCCGCACCCGCACCGAGTAGGGGGTCGGACAGCCCGGTGGTGCCCAGGCCGTTGCCCGTACCCGTGAAGGCGTCGGGGCGGGGACCTGCGGAGGAAGGGGGGTGGGAAGGGGGAGAAACAAAAGATCAACATGGACCAAGGCATAAATAGGAAAAGACGGATTAACGCAAAACAATGGGAGAATGATGCGGCATGGGCGGACGAGGGGGTGGAGGCGGTGGTTGGGGGTAAGGGCAAAGCACACACATGGTTCGAAGGTGCAAAGCAGATAAAGAAAACCCGCTACCCACTAAGATCAGGTCGCCGCAAAATCGCCTTCAATTGGTTATGCACATCCCTTGAGCCCCCCTTTCCCTTCCCCGCCCCCCGCACATTGGTATTCTTCTTTTCCCCCTCTCCCCCCCTCACCTCCCATGTACATTCCCAGTCCATGCACCGGCCACACCCACGCCACCGCCGCCCCCACCGCCGCCAGCTGCGCCGCCAGGTAGCTCCAGCCCCAGCTCACGTTGCAGCGGTAGACCAGCATGTTGGCGAGCACACGGGCAGGGTTGAGGGGGGAGCCACCGGTATAGTAGCCGCCTGGGGTGTGAGGGAGGTGGGGTTGAGGTGAAGGTGAGAGGAATGGAAGTTCTTCCTGATACGCGAAGCCCGGTCGCCTCCTCTTCCTAGCTATTTGTCTTGTCCCTCATGTAGCTCAGTTTACCTAATCCCTCATGTGTGCTTTGATGTGGTGGTTTTATCTGAACCTGATCTGAGCCCCATCCCGCTCTGACCCCCCCTGATGGGGTTTTTCCTGAACACCACCTGAGCCCCATCCCGCTCTGACCCCCCCCCCCCCGCCCGCACCCGTGGACAGAGCTGCCAGCAGCGCCAGCCCGGCTGCCAGGGGGCTCGCGGTGCCCTGACCGGGGGCCACGAACACAGCGCCGTACATCACTGCAAAGGGGGGGGAGGGGGTGGGGGGGGGGGGGGAGTTGTGGGTAAAGTGGGGGGTAAAGTGGGGGTTTGGAGGGCGAGGGAAAGGTGAAGGTGGCATAACCTGTGGTTTTTTTGGCACCCCTCCCCTCGCCCTACCCGCGATGAAGAAGAAGGTGAGCACGAACTCCCAGCCCCACAGCTGCGGTCCCGTCACGTGGCGCGGGGGCGAGAAGCAGCTCTCGCTGGGGTGACCGAAGCGGTTGTCGTATATCAGGCCCACCTGCACGGATGGAGGGTGTGTGTGCGTGTGTTAGGGAGGTGAATGAGAGTTGGGGTTTGGAGGGGGAAAAGGGGAGACTATGCAGCAAAAAAGCCAAACAACCCATACACATTACACCATTATCCTCAACACATTGGGAGTCCTTTTTGTTCCCTCCCACCTACCGGTACCTGCAGCACCGCCGTCAGCAGCGACCCGTCGTACAGCAGCCAACACACACACTGGACCAAAACACACACGAAAAACACACACGCCCCCCCCTCTTTCCCCCCCCCCACCTGCAGTGCCGCCCCGAGCAGTGCCCCCGCGATCTGCGCCACCGCGTACAGCAGCCCCCGCACCAGGTCGATGTGGCCGGTGCCCGCACCCGCCAGAGACACCGCGGGGTTCAGGTGGCCGCCGCTGAGGTGGGAGGTCAGGTACACTGCATGCAAAAGGGGGGTTGGGGGGGGAGGGGGTATTGTGTGTGGCCAACCGCCGGCAGGAATGCTGAGGATGCCGTATACGGTGTAACAGGTGAGTGACAACAAAGTGGACGGACACGCACGTGCAGCTCATCACTCCCCGTCTCCCCTCCGAGCCCCCCCCTCAAACCCAACTGAGCGCTGCGAACGACGCCGCCGTCTCAATGGGACCCGAGGACACGGCGCCGGTCAGCAGCTGCAGAAACATGGTGCCCAGCAGCTCGGCGATCAGGGCCTGGGGGGGAAGGTGGTGGAGAAAAGAAGAGGGAGGGTTTGGGAAGAGAAGGGAAGGAAAAGTCGGGAACCCAACAAGGAGGAGAACAGCAACCGGGGTTGTTGCGTTAGGAAATTGGTGATGTCGGGGAGCGGAACCGCTCTCCGATCACCTCGCTTTTAAGCCTACATCGTAAATCGTGCACGCAAGAAGAAAGCAACAAGGCGATCAAATAGAATTCTTTATTGTCATCGCTACTTGCTGTTAATTATCAGCAGCAGCAGCGGCACAGCAGGAGCCCTCTAGGTTGCGCAACGGTTGTTGCCAAAACAAGCTACCCTGATGTCATCACCGCGACAAAAGCAGCTGGTAGCGGTGGTCCTTACGAATCGCGGCAAATCCTGGAACGTAACTTAAGTCTCGTCTTCGATATGCAATCATAGCTATTGCTGGCTTGACGCCGCGTAAAAGGAGGGTTTTCGGGGCAATTGCAGGAGACTGACCCATGGGTCACCCGGGTCCCGGCACACCGCTGGCACGCTCCTTGCAGGTCGTTGCAAGCTCACCGGCGTCTGTCGCCTTCACGCCTTTACTCAAGACGACGACTCACGACACATGCTTTTGACGACTCCAAAACGCCGCCAAACGCAACAACAACAGCACCAACTTACCGTGATAATACGTGAGTCTCGGAGGGCATGGTGCAGGTGGGGATGCGGAATGGACGGAAGCCGAACCATCCTGTCCGCAGGTTGGCTGTCTTGGGCAGTGGTGGTGGTGTGGTGGTAGTAGTAGCGGTCGCTGGGTCGGGAGGAGGAAAAGGAGGTGGGTAAGCCAGTAGCAAGCGACGCGAAAAGGGGAAGCTAGAACCTCCAGAGCGCTTTGATTTACAGTGCGTGCGAAAGTGGTGCAGCAGCAGATGTGCCGTTGCGTTGCAGCTCTTAACTGACCTAGCTTATATTATAGTTCAATTCTCCAGGATGTTTTCTTGTTTGTTGGGGACACAGGGCTGTTTGTCGTTTTGAGAAGCACGACATCACAACACATCAAGAAAAGGAGAAAAGGAATCCTGGTACTTATACGACGAGGTGTCCTGATGACCCAAGCGGGCAGCATCTGAATTGCCTCACCCAGTCAGTCGGCACGTGATCGGCAACTACGGGGTTCTGCCACGTTTGCTTTTTGCGCGGCCAACGCATAAAGGGTATATATATCGTCGCATACAAAGCTTGAACAAAGAAAAAAGGTTTTGCTGCTTCTGCTTGTGGAAAGACGCAAGGTTACAGGTGTCATCACAGGTAACGACCACGTGGCGACAGCCAACAAAGCCAGCATATTCTCCAACAAAAAAGAGATAAACACACAGCCCTAATTGAATTTTTCTATTCCCCAGCAGCAGGGACAGCAGCGCTCAAAGAGCTGTTCTGTCATCACTACGCTGCACTTGACGCAAGCCTGTCGTCAGACCACGTTCGCTGACGTTACGCTCCTGCGGCTGCCGCACACGTCCCTGCCTCTCGCTAGTCGCTATTGACCCTTAAAACCTCGCGCGTCAAGCACACCTATGTAAAGCTGAACGGTAAATAAAACCGCATGAATGTGAAAATTTCACAGGGACCGCTATCGCCAGCAGGAAAGTATTCCTGCAATCCTCTCAAACGGGACAACTCCCCCTCGTCCGTTTCTCAGACCCGCACCCCAACCAACCAACATGCCGATGGTCCGGCAGCAGGTTGTACCTCCACCCCCCTCTCGCCCAGCCTGCCTCTAAATCTGCGTCTCACCCCTCTCACCCGCGCGCTGTCTGCCTCTCTGCCTCTCGAGGATGTAATCGAATGGGGCTTCTCTCTCACCACTTCTCTCGAGTTCGTGGACGCTCCCCTCTTGCACCTACTACCTAGCTTACTAGCTTGCATACCCCTCCACCTATCTCCGGCGCCGTCTCTGCCGCCTTTCGCAGCCGCTCGTCTCCCCTCACATCTCCTCCCAACACCAATCCTCATCGCAATGGCGGCAGCTCGCATATCCAACATGCCCCCACACCCAACACTACCCAACCCCCGCCCCCTCATCGCACCTCTGAACCCCCTACCTCCCCCTCGCTTACCCCTACTCCGCTTGTCTCCCCCGCCGCCTCCTCCTCCTGCCTCCTCACCTCCTGCATCACCTCCCCAAAGTGTCGTACCACCACTGCCGCCCCCGCCCCCGCCAGCACCCCCGCCTCCTGCCCCGTGCTCAGCCCCACCACCCGCACCCCCGCCGCCACCCCCGCAGCCACCCCCGAGGGGGAGTCCTCGAAGACCAGGCACTCGTCTGCGGGGAGGTGGGGGCGGGTGAAGGGAGGGGAGTTGGGGGAAAGAGGAAGACCTCGTCGGTAAAGACCGCGTCGGGCTGCTAACCCTCCCTTTGTTTTGTGGCTCCCTGCCGCCTCTTTCCCCCGTTGTTTTGCCTTAAATCGTGGTTTCCTATGGTTTGGTCTCTTTTGAACCCCCGTGTCTCGCATTCGGTAAGTCTCTGAGTTGCATGCCCCTAGAATGTTGTCTCCGTATGCGCTAACTGCATGAGTCGGGATATGGGATTGGGACTACCGTTGCTTCCCTTTACATTAAATGTTAGCCCCGCGTCTTTAGAGTATTTTGGGTTGATACGCTAACTGCATGAGTCGGCACATGGGACTCCAGTGCTCCACTTCTCCTTCTTCTTTTCCCTCCACACCCTCCACTCCCTCCACCCCCCCACCTGGTTTGAGCCCCAGCAATTGCAAGGCGGTGAGGTAGGGGTCGGGATGCGGCTTGGCACGAACACACTCCTCACCCAATACCAGGTGCTGTGGGGGGGCGGGGGGTAAGGAGGGGGTGGGGGAGGGAGGGGCATGGGAGGAGAGGGAGTAAAAGAATAGAAGGGGGGGCGGGGGGTAGGGGTTTACAGATGGAGTGGGTGCCTATGGAGTGGGTGCCATACACACACGTGTGTCATGCCGTACACACAAACACACGTGGCCAGTTTCCTTGACACACACACACACGCGTGTTCAGCCGCAGTTCCAGCCTATCTACCTACCTACTTTACTCGATATTGTCAGCTACTACATAATCTCAACTTACTACTACGGGCCTTCGGTCCGGTCGCTTTACGAGAGTGCTTCTTACGTCCTACTTACTCTCCGCACCAGTATTGGACTTCTATATGTACATACGCTACCCTATTCCTCGGCTCCTGCGGCGGTTCTGTGGGGACTTCATCTTCCGACATCCCAGTATGTTCCTACTCGCGGCCAGTTATTTTAACACACGCGGCCAGTTTTCTTAGCACATACAAACACACACACGGCTTCTTACGTCCTACTTATTCTCAGCACCAGTACTGGACTTCTATATCTACATACGCTACAATGTTCCTCGGCTCCTGCGGCGGTTCTGTGGGGACTTCATCTTCCGACAATCACAGTATGTTCCTCCTCGCGGCCAGTTTTCTTAACACACAGACACACACACCTGGAAGCCCCCCTTCCCCCCCCACACACACCTGGAAGCCCCCCTCCAGCCCGATTGCCCGTATCATCATCTCCGCGTTGGCCCTGTAAGGGCGGGAGGGAGGGGAAATATAAATGAAAAGTGGCGTTTAGCATTGGGTACCTGCGACTGCCGGCGAACGGTGAGGGGGCGGGTAATTTATGGTTAAGTGCCGCAACGGAGTCCCAAAATCTCAAATCCCGACTCATGCAGTGGGCGCATTCGGTGGGAGGAGGGTGGGGGGGGAGGGAGGACAAGTTAATGGTGAACAGCGACACGGAGAGAGAAGGCGGCCAGAGCTAGGTCAGGCTGAGAGCCGAGGGGGTCAGTGGCTGGCTGGCCGGCTAGGTGCGAGGAGAGGCTGAGGGCGGGGCGCTGATGGTCCGCGTCGATCGGAAATAGTCGCGTCTGCGCCCCCCCGGGAGGCCCAAGAGACGCAACAAAAGAGGCGAACAGCCTTTTGAAACCCTTTAACATTGCCGCCTCACATCCCCTTTGCCTTGCCCTCACCTGTGGTTTAGGTTTCCTTGTCGACCCCTGCACCCATATCACGCCCCCACCCCCCACCCCCACCTGGGTGCATTGGTGACCGCGGCGGTGGCCACCCCCCGGGCCCTCAGCCACCGCATGAACTCCCGGAGACCCTGGGAGGGGGAGGGGGAGGGCAGGGGGGAAGCAGGGGGAGCAGGAGGCAGGTGGAGGGAATTAGATGGAGAAGACCAAGGGGAGAAGCAGGGGGAGCGAGGCAAGGGGGAGCAGTGGAGTCCCTGCACCTGCGAGTACCCCGCCTCCAACCCGAGTCGGAATATGGGATTGGGACTATAGTTGCAACGGAGGTTTCCCCACCCTCCGTTCCCCCCTGGCCGTCCACACCTCTAGCGGCTCCAGTTCCCCCGCTGCCAACCGCCGGAAGCGCTCCTGAAGGGGGGGGAGGGGAGGGGGAAACACCAATTCATGGTAAAGGAAAACACTGGTTAGGCCAAAGCAATGGGGATAGGAAGCGATCCTCCTGGGAAGGGTGGGATACGGAGAAGGGATTCAGGAAGGTGTCTTTACATGATGCAGGCGGCTGAGGGCTCCCTCCTCTCGGCACGCCTCTAGCCCCAGCTGCTGCCCACCCGCCCCCCCCCCCGGGACCACCCCACACGCAGCGACAAACGCGTGTCGTACAAGCGGTCAGGGGTGGGGGGATAAGATGAACTAAGCCGCGGAAGGGGAGGCAGACCGTCACGCCTGCCATGCTGTCAATCCCCTGTTGCCGTACAACGCCCCCTGCAGTCCCGCGGCTCACTCCGCCCCTCTGCCGGTATGCCCCGGAATGGCTTGCCACCACCCCCCCGCCCTAACATGTGGCCGCCCATGGTTCGCTATTGTCTTTGACCCCCCTCTCCCCCCGCCAGCACCTCCTTGTCCTCATAGAACGCCACCCGCCTGCCCTCCTCCCACTCCGGGAACAGATCCGCAGCTATCTCCGGGTTGTGTCGGCCGCTTATGTGCGCGCGGAAGAAGGGAAGGTCGATGGGCCGACCGCCTTGGAATCCCAGCTCGACCAGGATTTCCTGGAAGCTGGAGAAGGGGAGGGAGAGGGGTGGACGTGAGGAGGTGCAGGCGGGGTGAGATGTGATGATGAGCTGAAGTAGAGGGACGACAGAGAGAGAGAAAGAGGAGGCATGGGCCAAACCACAGCCGAGTGCATTAAGCGTGAGGAGGGTTAGCAAGGAACAATTGCAAGTTTGCAACACATCCCCGCCGACACGAGCCCGCAACCCACAACCCTCCACTCCCTCCACCCCTGGTTTCACTCCACTTACGCTTTGAAGTGCAGCGGGTCGGATTCGACCAGGGTACCATCAACATCGAACAGCACCCCGCGCACGGACAGGAAGTCAATGGGCATGGCTGCTGTTGCTGCAGTTGGTTGGGTGCTGGGGATGGTGTTGTTGCTGTGGGTAGTAGCAATTGTGGGAGATGAAGCTGGGGTTGGAAAGGTGGCGACGCCGGGTGGGGTGGCGGAGGCTGTGGGGGCGCTGGGGGCTGGTCGCGAGGCCGGAATGGAGGATGGTGGGTGAGCCCCCATAGGGGCTGCAAGGGGCAGTTTAAGTGTTTAACAGTTAGGTTCGTCGTTAGGAACTGCGTGCTTTACACAAATTACAAGAGGGTAGCGTTATGTTCGACAGTCGTCTGCAAGCAAATGTATGCCGCCTAACCGCGGTGCGGATAAGGTCCATGGCCATGACTTTTCTTGCAGCTAACGTGCCGGCCGAGACATTCAGTAGGGAGTGCATATAAGCGCTAAGTGACTTAGTAGCGATTTGCTGCAGCGGAATGAGCGCAAAAAGAGGCCTAACTGTGATTCTACCTGCCATCGGGCGCGACGGGCTTGACCGTGTGGATACGCCGCCCCCCTTCGGACACGTAAGGCTGATATGCATTTGCAAAAATGTTAAAATTGAAGGCTGGCAAACGGTAGTGAACTCGCAGTAGCTACGATGACTGCAGCCCTAAACCAGTTATTAAAGGCGCTAGTGACAGAAGGTTACCAAGTGGTTTCTAAGAGCGCTAACATCAAATAAGCAAAACGTTACAAGGTTTGAGAAAGCCGTGGTGCTCTAAGCGTTCAAGGGCCTAACGTCGTAAGCTAACGCCTACTGGCCGCGGTAACAGTCGCTTCCAAACCTCCACCGCTGCAGTGGCCAAACGTCGCCTTTGATACATAGCCGCAATTTCGAAGCTATTCCCCTCTTGTTCATACCAGCCTCTTTCCCGGGAGGCCGGGACCGCAACTGCTTGCAAGCCCAACGACCATCGGCCGCTCCGATACCTGCCCCCGAGGCAGCCTCTGGACCATTGCGAAGCGCTCTTCATCTAGGGCCTTCTTCTGCAGTCCAGTCTGATTCACCCACAGGCAAATACACACGCAGATACAGGGTTCGCTGTTAATTTTGCGCCTAAGTTGGGCTAACACACATACGTACGCTGCAGCAGCTACTCCTGTCGTCGCCCCGCTACATGCTTGTGCGCACATCCCGGCACGGCAAGGGCCGTGTCCGCACTCCCTCCGCGGCTGCAGCTGCGGCTGCCAGCAACAGCAACGCCTCAGCCAACAACGGCTGCGAATCCAACAACGGTGTTGGGTGTGGTGATGCAGCCAGCGATGCGCGCCTAGCTGCCCCAGCCGGAAACACTGCTGCTGCAACAGCGAAAGCAACAGCAACAGCAGCAACAGGAGCTGCAACGGGATCCCCATCACCCAGCACCGGCTCGGCGCCGTCCGCTGGCTCCACCGGTCTGGAGCTGGTGGTCCGCCGCAGCAGGTGAGAAAGCCGCAATTCAGCAGCTGGGTGCACAAGTTGCAGATAGGGTGACAACTAGTCCTTTGAAGGACGGGAGTGACGGGGGCTGCAAGTGCCCCGTATATGTGTGTTGCAAAGCCACCACCTCAATTTAAAGGCTGCCCTTCCTGCTGCTCACCGCGGTGATACTTCACATCCTCTGCGTAACGTATGCCCTTTCTCACCCTGACCGACATCCTCTCGCCCTCCCTCTGCTGCTCTCCGCTTCCGCCACTCCCCCCCACCCGCCGCAGCCCCGAGCCCCCCCTGCCGCCACCCCGTTGGCCCCCCGGCTTGCGCACCCGCGACCTGCCCACATGCCGGCCCGCATGGCAGGACGGACGCAGTACGGCAAGGGCAGCGCTGTACGGCAATCATGCCGTACGAATGACTGGTGTGATTGACAAGCCGCAGCAGCTGGCGGAGGCGTTAATGGAGCATGTGGGTAGCGGGTAGTGGTGGTTTGGTGGTGCGACTCATCATCTGGGAGGGGGAACGAAGAGGAGGATCATGCCCCGGCGTGGAGGGGGGATAATTTCTGGGGTTAATTTCGTGCCCCTCGAAGGGTTATAACACGAAGGCCTTCGATTGCCTTCCGAAGGCCACTGAACAGTCCGCGCGCTTCACCTCAATGAGCAAGCATGCAGCACTCATGAGTGCATCGGCCTAATACCTGTGCCGTACCTCCAATCCCTCTCGCCCCGCTTGCAGGCCAAGGTGACCCACGGGTCACCCCGGGTCACCGCCGCCTGGCGCTCCCGCGTTGACGTGCACCGCTTCCTTTGTCACTCGGAGGAGAAGCAGGCGCTGCAGGTAGGCTTGATTAGGCACACTGGCTTCGCATTCTCTTCCCCTGCCTCGTCGCTCGCCTCCTCCCCTGCCCGCGCTTCGCTCGCCTGAAGCGGCGGGAATCTTACACCTCCCGCCCGTGCTGCCTGTACCCCAACCCGTAACCGTACGGTGCCCAACGTCCATTTTCCTCCCCCTCCTTCGAATGCTATCCTTACTACCTTTCGTACCGGTATCTGAACTTCCAAGAGGTATGAGACAAGCCCCATCCTGTCCCCCGACCCAACGTACCCCCCTACCCGACTTTCCCCCCTCCAGGGCCCCTACCGGCTGAGGTGCCCCGACACGGCCCAACTGCTGCTCCCGCCGGGCAGCAGTGAGGGCTGCTCCTCCTCCCCCTCCTCCTCCTCGGGGTGCTGGTGGGCTGCAGCTGGGGGCACGGAGCCAGGCGTTGGGACTTGTGGCAGCAGCAGCGGCGTCAGTAGTGGTGGTGGGAGCAGCAGCAGCAGCAGTGAGGGTGTGCGACCTACCCTAGCGGAGGCGCTGCATTGTGCGGAGAGCTGGCAGCAACACAGGGTGCTCGTGCAGGTGTGTGGTAGGAGAGAACCGGCCGCGAGTGGGAACGTTTTGTGTCGTGTTGTGTTTAAACACCGGTAAATCTGGCGCGTGTTTGCTGGGCATACGTGCCGTTTGAGTGGGATGGTGTAATCGAATGGGGTGTTGTGCTGCTGTATGTTGAGTTCGTACTTTATACGGTATTGTGGTATATTTCCCTCACAGCAACAAGTGTTGCCTCTCGCCCTGCCTTGCAGCTCGACTTGTGTGACATTACGGTGCTTCACCCGACCCCCTCCTCGGTGACAACTACTGGGCAATGCCAGGAAGGCCATCCCACTCAGCATGATCCCCACCCCCACCACCCCGGTTGCTGGGGGGTGGAGTTTGAGACCTGCTGCGGCGAGGGCAGCGGCTGGCATGCAGCCTGCCAGGTGGGTCGAGTGAAGCGAACGAGAGACATAGGGTCCCCGAGGGACACCGGCGTAGCACCTTAGTAGGGGTGGTGGTCGCTAACCTGCTGTTACAGTAATGGACAGGCTTGCAGGCACGCTTTGTAAGATTGTATCCTTAAGGCAGCTTAAGGAAGACAAAGGGATTACGGATAAGGCTATGGGTACCAACCACCCTCAAGACGCGCTTGCGACTCCTCACCGCTTCCCCTTGCCACCCTGCCCCCGCCCCTGCCTCCTCCTCAGGAGCTGCTATCCCCTGTCCTCAGTTGGGTGCGAAACGAGCTGCTGGGGGCCTTCTGGAGCCTGCCGCGCATGCCGCCGACCTCCGCATCATTATCAACGGCAACAGCGGCGGTGCCTTCCCCCGCCGTACCACCACCTCCTCCTCCTCCCACGGTCCTGCCATACTCCCTGCCGTACTCCGGGGGCCGTATCTCCCTGGAGTGGGGCTCCCATGGCGCCCTGCTGCCGCTGCGGTACCACCCGAGTGATGACCGGGTGCTGCTGCAGGTGGAAGGCGTGTTGAGAAAGCTGGCCGCGAGTGCAAACATGCTGTTCATGCATGCCCAGTAACACCATGTACGCAAGTATACTGCCACTCAACCCCCTACCCCCTCCCTGTAGGTCCGAGGTCGTCGCCGAGTGCTGCTGGTTCCCCCCAGCCGCACCACCCTGCCCTGCCTCGCCCCCTTCCCGCTGCTGCATCCGTACGACTGCTACAGCATGCCTGCAGTGGCGTGCACCCTGCTGGCGGAGACGCCGGGGGTTGACCCACGGATCGCTGCAGCGGTGGCGGCGGGCAACGGGCTGCCGGGCTGGCCGGCGCTGCGGCTCACGGTGGGTGCGTTGTGGTGGGGGGGGGGTGGAGGAGGGCCGGGGAAGGGCCGGTCCCCGTGTGTTGGGGGAGGGTCCTACGGTCCTTTGTGTGCACTCCTTGACCCCCGCCACCCACCCACCCGCCCGCCCGCCCCAGACCGAGGGCTTCACCTCCCTTCTCGCCCCGGGTGACGCCCTCTTCGTGCCCGCCGGCTGGTTCCTTCACTCCGAGCTGCTGCCTCCACCCCCGTCACCTCCACCTCCGTCACCACCTCCGCCTCCACCGCAACGGCAGCCCGGGCAGCAGCAGACACGGCAGAGCGCCCAGAGCCCATTGTCCGGTGGCGCAGCTCATGCAGCGGCGGCACATAACATTGCGCTGGTTATCTCCCTGGCACCTGCCTACCCGCCAGCCCCTTCCCCACCACCACCACCCGCCTCTTCCTCCTCCACCTCCTCCTCCACCACCTCCTCCACCGCCACCTCGCCCCAGCAAACACCGCCACCCCTGTCCTCCTCCTCCCCCTCCTCCTCCTCCTCCGCCTCCCTCCCCTGCCGGCCTGCCTCCCCCGGCGCCGCGCTGCTGCAGCTCAGCCGGCTGCTAGAGGGCTGGGCGCTGGCCTCCGAGGTGCCCCCCGGACCTGAGCTGCGGAGCACCCTGCTAGCGCTGGCGGAGTACCACCTGGCTCGGAGGGCGGTGGAGAGGGGGGTGGCGAGGCGGTTGGGGAGGGGGAAGAGGGCGGAGAGCGGAGGGGTGGCGGCGGTGGTGGGAAGCGTGCAGGGGATGGAGGTGGAGGAGGTGGCGGAGGAGAGGGCAGGGGCAAGGGTTCGTGAGCTGAGGGAGGAAGAGGAAGTCTGTGAGGGTTGCGGCGGACGCAGCTGCAGTCGAGAGGGCGAGGGTTACGGCGAGGGCGAGGGCGGCGTCAAGGGTGCTTCCAAGCACCCATGCGCCAGTGCTGCGGCCACACCACCACCTCCTCCGCCTCCGCCTCCACCGCCTCCACCCTCGCCGCCTCCATCTCCTCCCGCCCGCCAGCTGCCAGCCCAGCTACTCCGCCTGCACCTGCACCCGCTGTTCAACGGCTTCACTCCGCGGGGCCGAGTGATGTTGGAGCTGTACGACATGACGGTACGGCACGTGGCGCCCGTGGCGGGGAGGGTGATGACGGCGGGGGTGGGGGTGGCAGGGGGCAAGGGGGTGGGGGTTAAGGGGACGGCGGTGAAAGGGGCTGCGGCGGCGCAGGGCTCGTTATCGGCACTGAATGGAGGTGAAGGGCAAAGGGCGAAGATCTCTGCAGGGAGCAGCAGCAGCAGCAGCAGCAGTGCGGTGTCTGGGGCTGTCAAGGGCGGTGTCAGCGGTAGCAGGGGGCGCCATGAAGAGGAGGAAGAAGAGGAAGAGCTAGAGGATAGCGAGGAGGAGGAGGAGGAGGAGGAGGAGGACGGGCTGGCGGCGCTGATACGGCTGGTGTGTTCGGAGCGGCTGCTGGCCACGGACTGGGTGAACCAGGTGAGTGGAAATGGGAGATGAGCGGATGAGATGAGAGGGGCTGGGCGGTTGACAGCTTGAAAGCATGCACGCACAATTTAGGACATGTACATACAGGGATGAATACGGTCAAATTGTCAAATTCCTTACTAGGTTAAATCACCCACGCTCATACCCCCACTTTGAACCCCCACACGCGCACGCAGGTCTGTCGAGATCCCGAGCTGATCCGCGAGAGGCTGATGTGGTACGACGACCGCCGTACAGCCGAGGAGGCGCGCTTCCCCGAGTTGTTCCGACTGCAGGTCTGAGACATGCTCCTGTAGACAGCGACCTGTAGCTAGCTGTGCCCCTAAGATTTCGTGATGGCTGGACGGCTAGCTGGCCTGGGGACTTGGGCCTTATCCCACGCTGTGCCGCACGCCTGCCGCGGCGCTCCCTCCTTGCGTGCCGGACCCAGTCCTCAGCTATCCACCGGCTTAGCCTCTCCACGCACCCTGTCACATTCACATACGGTGCTAGAAATCCAGACCGTTACAAGTAAATTCCATAAACGCATACCCACCCATTCCTCGCCATATCCTCACACCCCCAAGGTCGCTGCCAAGGACGCCGAGGCCCGAATGACGTCGCTGCGGCCCGCAGCGCTGCCGTACCAACCACTCGTCGTACGACTGCCCTCCTCCACCCCCTTCCCCGCGGGGGCGGTGGCTCCTTCGGAACAACAACATGACCGGCTCAACGATACCGACGTGAAACCCGGCATGCTGCTATCGCCTCCGTAAACACCAAGTGGCTACCCAGTGGCGGACCTGCGCTCGGCAGCAGCTGTAGTAGACACGGGGAGGGCCTTGGGATACCGGTATCGGGCTTAGACGCCTGGATGTGTTTCGATACAGTTGGGGACATGTCGAGCTGGCCTCTGAATCTGGAATCCTGGCCCTGGGGTGTGGGACGTATGCCTGAATGCGTATAGCAGGCCATGCTAGAGGCCATTGAGGGAGAATCTGCAAGGCTTTAACTTTCAAGCGTTGGCCTGTACCTGTTTTAGGGATGAAGGTAGCTATGGCCCCTGCACGGCGACCGCCTGATACATGCGCGGCGTGTAAACCAGGAATGTGAAATCTTTTGTAAAGCGTTTATACACATGGCGGCTTATCCCACCGATGTGCCTTTCCCCTGAAGAAGGTCTTCAATCGCAAGCTCTGTGGATCAGGTTGTTATGACACAGCTTGGACTGTTACGGTACTTCCAGACCTTTTACACACATGCACCAACATGCGGCGAGGAGAAACGGGTACGACAACATGAGCAGTACTTTGCACAAAAGCTACTACTGGTAGCCTGGTTTGTAGCTACTAGCCAGGTTATAACACTGATTCACGCTATATACCAACCCAGGTTCACGCCACAATGCCGTGCGCTCTACCCCAACCAATAACCGCCTCTCACCTACAGAGGGGGCTCTCAGGGGAACCTACACATACATTACGCCGTTCCGTCACCCCTGCTTCTCCTCTCTTGCCCTTGATCAAACGGGCGATGTAGGGAACCGCACGACGGCACTACCGACGCGTTACGTTACACAAACACAAGCACACAAGATACGGTAACCTTAAATGAGCAACGTGAGACATAGAGATGCTATATAGCTCGACACACATGCGAATGCTAATACACATAGGATGCAACCCGCACGGTGTACGGCACAACGTTAGATGTACGGCACATGGAGCGAAATGGTGTACGGCACAATGCCGTACACATGCTTTGTTCGATAACACGCGCCTGTGTTGCAACGCGGAGGGGGCACTGCGTGCATGCTTCTTTAATCGACGCAATACCCCGGCTGCCACGCATATATCCCGGTGCGAATACGCAACACACAATAGCACAAAGAGGGGTATCATCAACACATGCCCGAACGATGGAACGCAGCAAGCCTCAGCCCCTCCGGGTACCAAAACCACACACTTGTTACACCTCTAGAGTGCACACTGCTAACAAGTTGGTCTACTTTGACCTAATTCAAGAGGAAAGGACCACGCAATAGGACCACGCAAGAAAGCCAACCCAAGCCTACTATCGCCACCACATCACTGCACGCAGGCGCAAAAGCTGCTGGACTCACTCGACCCACACGGCACTCGCCGCACCGCCCCACGTCCAGCTCCATCTCCGTTCCCACCCCCCTGTCGCAGGCATCATCCCCCTCCCAGCTCGCTTCCGCCTCTGCCCCGCCCTCCCACCCACACCTCCGTTTCCGCTCACTTTACCCAACCAACCCCCACCTCCGCGACTGCTTGCCACCATCTTGCTCTCACATCCTCTTCCGAACCCCGCTCCCCGCTACTGCGCCGCAAACCCGTGGTACCAGTATACCTTGTCCGGCCCCCCCGCATCAGGTGTCACAACGCAGCACTCCGCCAGGTCCTCCCAGAAGGCGCGGAACACGTTGCGGTGGTCGCGAGCATAGTAGTCACCAAGCACCTGAGACAGGGGGGAGAGGAGGGGGGAGGGGGAGTTGGCGGTTGGGACGACGACACGATGACACACATCGGGGTCGGGCTGGCCCACCTGTTGCAAACCCTGATGACGCCTTATCACACGGTCAGCTAGTTGTTCCCTCTTTATCCTTCCTCTCGCGTGTCCCCCCCCCCACACACACACCTTCTTAATCGCCTTCGTCGCCTCCTGCGCGTGGTAGTGCGGCATGTAGGAGAACAGGTGGTGAACCACGTGGGTGTCAGCAATGTGGTGAAACACAGTGTCGAGGATGCCGTACGACCGGTCAACCGTCGCCATGGCGCCCCGCAGCCAGTCCCACTCGCCCTCGCCGTAGTGCGGCAGCTTGGGGTGCGTGTGCTGCAGGAAGGTGATCATCACCTGGGGGGGGGTGGGGAGGAGGGCAGTTGGGGAGGAGGGCAGAGCTAGGGGAGAAGAAGAAGAAGAAGTGAAGCGCCTGAATTCCCAACGCCATTGCGGAAAGGGAGGAGGAGAGGGAAGGAAGAGAGGGAGGCGCAGCGGGTATTTGAAATGCTGTGCAGCAGACCCCAATCCCTTGCCATCCCCTCCCCCTCCCTCCCCCCCTTCCCCCTCCCCCCCTTCCCCCTCCCCCCCCTCCCTCCCCCCCTTCCCCCTCCCCCCCTCCCTCCCCCCCTCCCTCCCCCCCCCCTCGCCTCACCAGCCAGTGGTTCACGATGAGGTAGGGAATGCCGTACGTCTTCAACAGCCACACGAACCCGCACGCCCTGCCCAGCGCCACCAGCCCCGCTAGCACAGCCGCGAGGGCCACATCGCTGATGAACACCTCCACCCGCTCCTTCTTGGTGAAGAGCGGCGAGAAGGGGTCAAAGTGGTTGGCCCAGCTGGGGGGGGGGAAAGGGGAGGTGGAGGTGGGGAGGGTAAGGTCGACGTTTAGGCCATCCCGCTTCCCGCATACCGTTTCCTGCACCTTTCTTCCCCTAGCCTGACACCACCCCTTCCACCCGTAACAAACCCTCCTTCAATCAATCCTTTGCCCGCGCCACGTCCCTCGCAACCAGAATCACTCACTATTCAGCAACCCTCTAGGCCCAATCCCTCCCCCCCTCCCCTCCCTCACCCCTCCCCTCCCTCACCCCTCCCCACCCCTCCCTCACCCCCCCCCTCACCCCTCACCCCTCACCGCTCCTCCCCCCTCCCCCCTCCCCCCACCTCCCTCACCGCTCTGTGTGGTGTCCCGACACGTTGAAGGCGAGGTAGAGCGGCCACCCGAGCAGCTGCTGGAAGGCCAGGTGAGCCGCGCGGTACACGGCGCTGCGGAAGTACCAGGGGGCCTTTGTTCCGGGGGGGGGGAGGGGAGGGGAGGGGATGCAGGGTTTTAGTCGCCATGGGCTGGACTAGTCGTGTGCTTGTGTCTGGGCCTCGTCGTTCCATCACCCGCCACCCACCCACGCGCCAGCCCCTACTACCCCTCCCTCCCCCGCACACACGGCCTTGGGGCAGTTGGTTTTACTCTGGCCTTTCCCCCATGCGGCCCCTGCCCCCTCCCCTGCCCCCTCCCCCCACCTCGCTTCCCGCCGGCTTGACCGCGGGCACAAACACCTCATCCAGTTCCGTACTGCCCGTATGCTGGTGGTGCCGCCGGTGCGAGTGCTTCCTGTTGCCGGGGGGGAGAAGAACGGGAAGGGGGAAGGGAGGGGAGGGAGGAGAGGGGGGAGAGGGGGAGGGGGAGGAGAGGGGGAGGGGGAGCGGGGGCGGTATTGGTGTACGGGTAGATGGAGGTAGGGGGCAGCAGGTAGGGAGCAGCAGGTAGGGAGCAGCAGGTAGGGAGCAGCAGGTAGGGAGCAGCAGGTAGGGAGCAGCAGGTAGGGGGCAGCTAGGGTTCCTGCTAGCTGCGTAGCTGCCATCACCATCCGTCAGCAGCCCAACCAACTGCCCGCCACCACCATCACACCCTTTACCCATTTAACCCACCAGCTATAGTAGGGTACCAGCAGCAGTGAGTGGAAGATCAGGCCCACTGTGTCATTAAGTTGCTCGTAATCGGAAAATGCGCCATGGCCGCACTCATGCGCGATGACCCAGATGCCGGTAGCTACCGCGCCCTGCCAGAACCAGTAAAGCGGCCAGAGAACACAGTATGCCAGCCACCTGCGGAAAAGGCGGAAAGCCGAGTACGGGCGCAAAGCATGTGGACAAGGTGAAATCGAGGTGCGGTATGGAATGAGCCACAACCGTGATGACAAGATGAAAATGTTTGTTAGGTATTAAGACCAGGTCATAATTCTGGTGTCAGGGATGGGCAGGAGGCGCTCGAGCATCGAGCGGCTGTCACATCCCAGTGGAAAAACCCAAATCCGCTCGCCAAATCCACACAGCATAGGAAAGTGGAAAGCTCCCTCATCAACCTCTTTTGCCTCTTAGACCAACATTGTACCTGGGCACTGCTGGGTGGTCTATCCACGTTGACGCGTACCACAGAATCGCAACCAAAAGCACGTCCACAGCCTGTATGACGTCAGGGAGCCCGTCAACCAGTTACAATTGCATAAACGTGGTGCTAGGCATTATCCAGTGTCAGCGCACGCTGCGTAACGCGCACCGCCGACGGCTTACCAAATAGCTAAAGCTTCGCAGTGCTGACCTCTCAAAGCAGTGCGGCGGGATGGCTTTGCGAATGTCCCCTAGCGTGAAATCGGGTTTTGTAGCAGGGAATCTTTGCTTTGCTCCTGCCGTGTCCATCAACGGCGACCGATCAGCAGCGCCTTGAGCGCTGCGGCGCTTAGTAATTGTCATAAAGCGTCAACGAATAATGGACGACCGCGAAAAGCTAGGGCTTGTAACTGCTAGTCTGCAAACGCACAGGCCACCGGCTGATGCAGCAGTGCCACGCAACCCGTCTGGTGTGTAGGATTAGGTATAATGGTATGCTTATCGAGTAATAATTGGAATCTGAAAATGGTAACAGCCCAGTTGAGGCTACGACATAACACACTTGGAGCGGTACAATGGATGCCGTCCTCCTGCCGTCCAGTCTTTGTTGTCGACGACCCCCAAGGCCCATTTGGTGCGGCTGTGGCTGCCTTATGGCTTACGAAATGTATTCTTAACTGGATTACGCTCTATCTATGAAATGGCTTACGGACTGGCTTTGGTAATACCTCATTGCGGCAGCTTCCTTCAAGACAGGAAACAGCATAGTGTCCGTTCCAATGCCATTTTGTCCGAATGTTATACACGCTGACAAGCTGGTCGGAACAAACGTCTTGATACGATGTCGCGGTTTTACTGTTTTATCTATGCAAGAATTTCTTACACAATATGCGTCGTGGACGCACCACATGCAAGTATAGAACACGTCTTTTATGAATTTTCGCCAATGCCACCGCAGTGGCAAGGGCCCAACGATGCCCCAGGGGGACATGCATTAACCAGGGATCAAGCAGCACCGTTCAGTCAACGTCGCACACGAATGTTCTCCGGGACCACGCCTCTCGCGCGCACACACGGCACCAAAGCATCTTAAAGATGACCCAGCACGGCCCCAAACAAGGAACCGGCTACCCCGAACACTGCCATCTTCTGGCAGGGGGCATCTAGGATACTCCGGTGCGCAAACGAGAAGTGTCCAAGACATGGAACACGTCAACACAGCCTCCCATGTACACAAATGTCGAAAGCACAAAAAGTGCGCTGCTGCATGATAGCACACAGTGCCTGTCAAGCCCGCCAGTCAGGTAGTCAAAGAGTCAATGTGTCGCACAGGATCATCTAAAATGTCGGTCAACCCTCATGCGTTCATTCTAGAGCCACAGCACTATGGCAAAGTCATGTGCCCCCTCACACCGTCCTCACCCCCCTTGTCCTCACGTACATTCCCAAACCCACATCCCCTTCCCCAATCTCAAATTGCGACGCAACACGTTTTACAACACGCCTTCCACCGCCTCCTTCGCCTACTACCAGCTACGCACCTTATCCCCACTACCCGCCACCACGCCGCCCCCTGCCGCGGCCCCTCCCTCCACCGCCCCTACCGCCCCGCGACCCGCCGCTCCACTCCTCATCCTCATCGTCATCGCTATCGCTCGCAAGCAACACAGCCCAGTTCTGCCCTCCCTTTCCAGCACGCCTTCTCGACTGCCGGGTTGCGGCCTCCGCCCCACCATGCCCATCCACACCTCGCAACCCTTCTCTCGCGGCCCGCCGCTGGGGACGGCCCGACCTGCTCCTGCGCGCGCTCGCCGCCTCCTCATCCTCCTCCTCCCCCTCGTCCCAGTCCTCGTCATCGTCCTCCTCCACCGTAACCCGGCTGGCCCGCCGACCCCGACCCGCGCCGCGCCCCTCAGACTGCCGCTGTTGCTGCTGCTGCTGTTGCAGTTGTTGTTGATGCTGCTGCTGCAGTTGCTGCAGCGATTGAGCATGCTGCTGGTGTTGTAGCTGCTGTAGCAGCTGCTGTTGATGTTGCAGCTGAGCGGCATTGCCGTACTGGGCTGCCAAGGGAATGACGCCCAACATGTCCGGCAGTCGCTGCCCCTGCTGCTGAGCTGCCATGAGGGCACTCGCACTCAGGTTGGCTCCGAAACCCGCTAGGGACGAGGGGAACCCGGAAAGCCCCTGGAAGGCTGCAGGAAGGCCGCCCATGCCCCCGGCCGCTGCTGCGGCAAGTGCTGCTGCCTGGTTCTGACCCGCAGCGGCTCCGAGACCTGCGAACAGAGCTGCTGGCTGCTTCCCTTGTCCCGTGCCAGCACCCGCCGTCGGGGTGCCTGCCGCCGCCGCTGCCGCGGCGGCTGCCGCGGCGTTTGCAAGCGCCTGCGCCGTGGGAGCACCTGCCGCGAGCTGCTGCAGCGCAGTGGCTCGCGCACCGCCCATCAGGCTGGCGGCGGGGTTTTGGCCGTTGGCGGAGGCAGCTGCCGCGGCCGCTAGGAGGAAGGACGTGGCGGCGGCGGTTAGGGCGTTCCCGCCGCCACCGGTGCTGCCTGTCAGTCCGGGCATGCCCGTTAGGAACTGCATGGAGGCCATCGCGGAGGGCTGCGTGAGGACGGCGGCGGGGGCTGCAACCAGGGCGGGCGCGGAGGCGGAAGCGGCCGCTGCTGCCGCGATGGCTGCGGCAGTGGCTGCGGTTGGTGGTTGCTGCTGCTGTGACACCGCCGCCGCCGTTGTTGGCGTTGCGGATTGTGCAGCTGCGGGTGCTTGAGCGAGGCCCGCTAACTGAACGGCAAGGGTAGCCGCTGGTTGTCCGGGGGTAGACGCAGGGTTAGACGACGTCGGCATGCTGACAGCGGCGGCGGGTGGGTTTGATGGAGCAGGTGGCACCTCAGCAGGCCCTGCTGGGGCCGCCGCCGTCGCCGCTGCAGGTGCAGTTGTAGGAGCAGCAGCCTCAGCAGCAGCAGGAGGAGCAACGGGTGCGACTGCAGGGGCAGCCGTGGGTGCATCAACCTGCACCACCGCAGCTGTAGCCCTGGGAGCACTGGGGGAGGCTGCTGCCGGCGCTGTTGCTGTTGGAGCTGTTTGCCGGGGTGACGGTGGAACAGCAGCAGCAGCAGCAGGAAGAGCATCTGTGGATGGCGCGCCGGCAACCGGTGCGTTTCCGCGTACAGCAGCAGAATCAGCAGCAGGACCCGCAACGATAGGGGTCACCTGGATGGGCGCTGGCGCAGGTGGCTGCACCTGCGGCTGTTCCTGCGGCTGCTCCTGCTGCTGTTCCTGCTGTGGATTAGCCGGTATGGACGGCTGCTGCTGTTGCTGTGCCCGTGTCGTGTCCTGCGCCTCCTGCTCGGTTTGCCGAGCTTCTTGTGCTGCTTCAAACGACGACAAGGGTGGCTTTGCCTGCGACTGCGGCTGTTGAGCCGGCTGCACAGGAGGCTGCGGGGGCGCCATGGATGGCTCCACCACTGACGGCTGCGTTGCCGGAGCATTCGCTTGGGGCCGCAGCAGCTGAGTCTGCGCTTCAGCAGACTGGGCTTGTGGCGGTTGTTGTGGCGGTTGCTGGTCCGCGGAGGCTGCTGCGGTTGCCCCTTGCAGCTGTTGCACGCGTACGTGCCCCTGGTCTTGTCCCTGGTGCTGGGCTGCACCTGCGGGAGCAGCAGCTTGGGGCGGACCCTGGGGCTGCAACGGCTGCGCTGCTGCGACAGAGGGTGGACCATTACTGAGCCCAGAGCCCGCAGACTGCTGCTGCTGCTGCACGGGCTGCTGTGCGGCAGGCTGCGGCTGCTGCTGCTGGTGGCGTGGGGAGGGCTGCGGGACGTTTAGCTGCTGCGGGACCGGGACGGACCGAGGAGGCTGCATTGGCTGCCGCGCCTGCGCGGTTGAGGCCTGCGCCGCAGCAGCAGCTGCGTTCCGCTGCAGTTGCGGCCCGGGCGTGGCGGTGGGCGAAAGGTGCAGAACGGTAGGCGGGCCGGCGGCCGGTTGCTGCGATGGGGCCAGCGACTGCGGTGGCAGAGGAAGACCGGTGGGGGGCCCGGGCGCTGCAGGCGTGGGCGGCGTGGGGCCCGTCGCCGCCGCCATGGCACCCATGGGGTAGGGCTGGTACGGCGGATAGGGCGGGTAGTGATGATGATGGTAATGGCTGTGCGTGGCTGACAAGGGCGCGGAGGGGTCCATGTAGTCGGGCGGCGGAACCTCGGGCGGAATGAGCACCAGCTCGTCCTTGCCCTTGTAGCTATTGTTGTAGCGCGGCGTTTTGTTGCCGTACTTGGCCCGCTCCTTGGCTTGGCTGGCAGAGGGGGCTCCTCCGCCGGCTCCCTGAACCCCCTGCTGCCCCTGCTGCGCGGAGCTGTTGCTGCCCTGGCCTTTGTTGCGACGGCGTTGGCCCTCTGCGGATGGGAAAGGGGCAGTGCATGTGATGATATGATGATGAGGATATGAATCAGGGGTAGGAGGACGGCAACTAGAGCCTCCGGTACTCCGAAGGCACCCTTCTGCCACGCGGGGTCAAAAAGTTTGACCGAGCCCGTGAACAGGCTCTCCAGGAAATGTAATTAGGAAACGCTAACCCTCACACCGCGGCGGACATCACCCACAATTCGTCCTCACCTGCAACCACCGCAGCGTATCGCCGGTGCTCCTCCTCCTCCATAATCCGGTGCCGTGCCGCGTACGCCTCATCACTTGTATCCTCACTGCTGCTGCTGAAGCCATCGCCGTCGCCACAGCCGCTGTCGCTGCCGGCTCCGAAACCAACGCCCTCCTCGTCCGAAGCGCCTCCGAAACCACGGACGCCGCCCATGCCCATACCCAAGCCCATGTCGCCGTCGAACTCGAAGCCCATGTGCATGTTACAGGCCCGCCGCCGCCGCCGCTTTCGGAGTACCGCTTGGATCTCTGGCGGCACGTTGTCGAGCGCGGAGGGACCTGCAAAGCAACGTAAGTATGCAACAGCGCGGCGAGGAGATAAGGACGCTTCCTGGTCCCATGTCCTGCGTGACCTAACATCCATGTTATCACCATCAAGTCTGTGTAATCCTGCCCATGCAAGTAGTACGGTAACAGCTTTGCGGCACGTCAGGTATCCCAGTGCGTTGTATGCCCTGCAGGGTCCTGCAGGTGTTCATCTGTGCATCAGCTGGATGTACCGGAACCACCTCCCCACCCCTCACCTATGGTGTGGTAGTGCTGCGACCAGGTGGTGGCGGCGGCCAGGCGCGCGCGGAATTCGTCTGGTGGCAGCTCACGCACCGGCGGGATGACGATGGCGCTCGCGGACTGCAAGACCGACCAGGCAAACACATGGCCATGGCGGCGGGAGGTGGCGGGGTCAGAGGCAAATTAGGGGCAAGTTACGGCGGGGGAGGGGCGGAGCGGCAGCGTGATGAAGCTATGCATGGCAAAAATCTTTGCACGAAGTGTCCCGCTTTGGAAGGAACCCTTTCCCCAATCACAACTCCCGTGAGAATGGCCGTCTCCCTTCGCCAACCCTTCCTTCCCATGCCCAAACCCCTTCGCGACGCATTCCACATCGCCCACTTCGCGCTTACCGTGGTCCGGTCCATCGACGTCCTGCCGTACGACGCAAGCGGCGTGCCCGAATCCCCCGCCAGCAGCTCCACCTCACTGCGCTTGCGTTTGCCGCCCCCAGCCGCACTGCTGCTCTTGCCCCCAGCGGGGCCTCCCATGGAGTCGAACCGAGTCAGCACCGTCAAACTCCCCGGTCGGCGTCCATGGCCACTCGACTGCCGCTTCACGCTGCCGCCCTGCGACAACGAGGACTGCTGCAGCAACGGAGGCGCCCCCAAGCTGCTTGTTTGGCCCAGCAGTTGAGAGGAAAAGCCGGCAGCACCGTTGTACGGCGTCCCGCGTGCGCCGTACGGCCCGGGCGTGCGCCCCGACGCCGCCATGCGAGCGTGGTCAAACTTGTACGCGTCTTGAAGACGGCACCGGACGACCGACAGCCGCTGTTCCAGGAGCTCTAGAGAAGCAAAGATGGCTCCAGGAGGTAGCTTATCCGCCTCCGCTTCATCGCAAGGGGCCGGCTGGTGCGGCAGTAGCACTGCTGCCAATCCCGGATGTGGGTGCGGCGCCGTTGGCCGCCCTGGTCCCTGCGGCTGCTGCCCGGGGGCTGTGGCCTGGTGGTGATGCTGCTGCTGTCCCGGGTGGTGGTGGAGGGAGTGCAGCTGCAGAGGCGGCACCTGGCGCCGGGGATCCTGCGGTCGGCACTCTGCGCCGGGCTGAGCTGTCGCGGCGGCAGAGGGCTCGAGGGCAGGGGTAGACGGCAGCTGCACGGTTCCAAGCAAAGCAGGTATAGCTGAGTTTGGCTGGGCTGCCGCCTGTGCTTGTGCTGCATCCCGGCTAGCAGAGGCTAGTGAGCCGGAGGCCGCTGCCCCTCCCGTGGTGGCGGCTGCTCGCATGCGAAAGTACGGCGAATCCGCAATGCGACCAGCACTTGCAAAGCCCTGGACCGCCGCAATCAAGGCGTCCCGCTCAGCTGCGCAGGGCGCCGAGGCACGTGCTGCGGTGGCAGCCAACACCCTTGCTGCAGGCGCCGAGCTGCCCGCAGCAGCAGCCATGGCCTCCGCCTCCCCGCCTGCGTCTGCCCGCTGCTGCAACCAAGCGATTTGGGCTCGCAGCCGCTCCTGCTGGCTCCGCAGCTCACGCATGCGCAGCTCCAGCCAGCGCGCCTGCACCTCCACTGGACGCCGAGCTTGCTTCCATTCCCGGCTGAGTTCCTGGCTGGAAGCGTCTCCAGCAGGAGGATGGATGTAAGGAGGGGAGGTGCTGCTGGTCCCTGGCTGGCTTCGTCTGCTGGATTCTGTGTACGGCACACGAACGACGGTGGCTCGCAGGTGAACCAGCAGAGCGTCCAAGGGCAGCGACTGCGCGGGCCCCAGGCCTGGCAAGCTTCGACTTGCCGCAGCTGCAAGGGACGCCGCTGCTGCGTCTGTTCCGGCAACAAGCAATGGCTGGTCCTCTTCGTCCGAGATGTATCCCACGAGAGGGTCTCTTGGGACCCCTGGCAACAGGAAGGGAGGGAAGGTTGGTTGGGAGGCTGCCGCTGCGGTGGCAGCAGCAGGCCCGGTTGAGGCGGCCCCTCCGTCCGCTTTGAAAGCTGCTCCGTTCATGCCGCCGTCGGGCGAGGGTGGGCCGGAGCCGCCAGCCCGTGCGCAACCGTCGATGACCATTAGGTCTCCTCCGTTTTGCTCCCCAGTAACCACGACTGCTGCAGCGGACGCGCTCAGGTTCATTGAAGGGGACGGAGTAATGTCCGCGCGCCCATCGGCAGACGCCGGACCTGTTCCCGGCACCCCGGCAGCTGGCTGCGCTCCGAGCGGATGCAGGACAGCGAGAGCCTTACGAACTTCTAGCTCGTAGTTTGCGAGGATTTTGGTTCCATTTTTCTGAAGGTTAAGTGCCGCCCTATGTACAAGTGTTTTGTTGGAGTTGAACCGCCGAGCGTTTTCATGGATGAGGTTGAAATCATCCCGCAGCTGCCGCCATGTCTGGTAAGCGCCCATAGTAATCTTCTCCCGCATGTCGGAAAAGCACATAGGCTGCTTAATAATGCTGTAATAGTTGGGCGCCTCCTCCTCGCGAACGGGCCGCTGGAAGAAGCCTTCCTTGTCCAGCATCGCGATGCGGCTGAGGAAGGCCAGTAGATACTCGGTCGGCTGCCTGAAAGGATCAGGCATCGAGCCAGAGCCATCTGTGCTGCTCCCAGGGCGTTGCTGCATGGCTGCAGGCTGGAGCTTAAGGCGCAAAGCCCTCCGACCAAAGCAGCACCCTTACGCGCCTAAAAATGCTGGTAAGGCTTGCCCATGCATACGCCTATGCGAGCAAAGCTCAACTAGTCCTGCAGCGTCGTTGCTGCTGGCCACACGTCAGGTCATTGTTGCGGATCAGGACTGCTAGCAGCCACTCAGGAGCCGGCTGCAGTGTAGCCTATGCAGTACGGGTTAGAGTTGTTTACCATGTTTGGGCCCTGGCAGGATTTTTGGCGCTAATGTCTTTTGGCCGAAGCTTGACCGCGCTTCGTACGGGCGGAGGAGGCTACCACTGGCTCCACTGCGCTAACTCTCCAGCCAGGTTACAACCATCCTTGTGGATACGTAGACACTTGTTTCCTCTACTTCATTTACATTCCTTCTGGCGACATAATGCCGCTAGTCGTGCTTTCAGGACAGCCATGCAGCGGCAAGAGCGGCATAGCGTCGAAGTTGGCTGCGTTATTCGAACAGGCGGGGTTAACCGTAGAGTTGATAGATGAGCCGTCGCTGCATCTCGACAGGAACGCCGCATACTCCGGTGGGTACCATCGGGGCTTCGCTGTTGGACGCCGGCGTGGTTTACTTATCGCCAAACATTACTTTATGTCACCGGAAGACTCGAAAGCGTGGAACGCTGCGAGGGGTTTGCATGCTGATAGCGGGTATGGATGAACAGGCAGTTAAACCGCCCTGGCCCCACCGTCATCTTTTATTCTGCGCCTGCTTCGTTTAAATTTCCCACGATGGTGCGCTCGCATCCAAACCAAAGTATCCTGTAACGGCAAGTCACTGTTAATTGCTTTGCTCAATGCTGTACAACTTCGTGCCAAGCAGATGGGCCATGGCGGTTACCGCCTCCCTGCCTCGTCCAGCAGTCCAACCTCATTTCCGCCTTTTACCACCTACCCATGCCTTCAAGCACACACATCCCCAAGCACCCCACACAAAAACACACACACAGCCACGCAAACACCCCTCCAGGCATGCGCTTCCCCACCACGCCTCGCCTCGCCCAGCTGGGCCCCCCGTCAGCGCCCTCCACTCCCACAACCTGTCCCAGCACCACCACGATTAGCTGCTGCAACTCACCGCGCCTCCATGCCACGCCACCACCCCACGCCCACCACGCCTCGTCTCGCCTGGCCACCTAGGTTGCCACACTCATTCAATGCATGGGTCTCCTTACCCTCCACCCCACCCCTCCACGCCACCCCACGCCCACCATCCCACGCCATGATGCCGCCCTCTCATACGGTCAGTTAGTTGTTTCCTCATTACCCCACGCCCACCCCACCCCACACCCCTCCACCCCACGCCACGCAGGCACCGTCAACGAGAAGAACACACGCGCCAAGCTGAGGTCGGGAGTGGAGCGGGTGGTGGGGCGCAAGGGCGTCACGCTGCTGGACTCCATTAACAACATCAAGGTGGGTTGGGGACCCAGGAGCTGCTAGCTGCTACCCCTGAACTCCGCATTGCTTACCCGGCTTCATACTAGCTTTCTAAGCGACCTCGAGGTGTATGAGCAGGGCACGGGGACCCGCTGCAGCCCGCTCCCATTGCTGCTGCTTTCGGCCCATCTCCGTACTCCAACCCACATCCCAACCCACAACCCCGCCACACTGCGTTTCTTGCGCCTTACATACCGGTACACACATGCCCTCATGTCTCCCGGCCCCCAGGGCTACCGCTACGAGCTGTGGTGCGTGGCTCGAGCGGCGGGCACCCGGTACTGCATGGTGAGGCTGGCTTGGTTAGGGGATGGGAGGGGTGAGGGGGGGCTTGGTGGCGGTTGGGTTGGGTTGGGGGATTTAGTGTGAGGGGGGCGCCTTAATGGCGGTTGGGAGAAAGGGGTGACTGGTTGAGGCGGCTGGGTCAGGACGGCGTGGGGTGGGGTGGGGTGGGGGAAGGGGCTGGCAGGCGTGGATAGGGACATGCAGGGGGACCTCTTGGGAGAAGGTGACGAGGATGATGATGCAAGGGGAGATGTGTACGGGGCACCGGTGTATCCAATATTTAGGCGAAAGGAAACCTGCACTTCCTGCACTCTTGCGCCGCTCGACCCCATCCTTCACGGGAATGCCGCCCTTCCTGTCCCTCCCCGCAAAGGTCCACGTAGACACCGACCTAGCCACATGTAGGGCCTGGAACGAGGCGCGACCCGAGGGGGAGCGGTACCGGCGGGAAATGTGAGTGGCGGTGACGCGGGGGGGTTGCAGGGTTGCATGGGCCTTGCGTGCATGCAGCTAAGCCGCCGCGGTGCATAACTATCTAACACATCAACCTCCTGGTGCACGTACACGCTGGTAAGCTTGCGGGGGCTCAGTATAACTAGCCCCTCGCTGCTTACATGGTCACCCGGCCCCGCAGCTTCGACGACCTGGCTGGGCGTTTCGAGCGGCCGGACGCACGGAACCGCTGGGACGCGCCGCTGTTCACATTGCACCCCGCAGGTGGGGCGGGGGGATGGTGCGTGGGATTGGCCGGGCCGTGACAAGCAGCTACTCAGGAGGCGTGTAGGGGTGTCCCTGGCTTGAGTGCAGGTGGGGTGGGTTGATGAGCTAACGTGACCCATGCTTGTGTTTTCGTTACCTCATCGTGACCATGCATGTGTGTTAAGAACACCGGCCGCGAGGCGGAACGTATTGTGATTGCCGCGAGATGAAGTGTGTGCGTGTTAAGAAAACTGGCCGCGAGTAGGAACGTACTGGGATGTCTAGGTGTGTGTGTTTCACCCGCTGCTGCCCCGCTGCCTGCCCCGCCACAGCCGGCATGGGTCGCAGCAGCAACAGCGACTGCGAGGAGGGGGAGGCGGAGGTGCTGGCGGCGGTGGTGCGCGCCATGACGGACGAGCAACCCAACACGCAGGCCAGGGTGGGTGGATGCCGGCTGGGGGGGATTATAGAAGTGAAACAACGAATCCCAATCCCATATCCCGACTCATGCAGTGAGCGCATTCGGCCGGCTGGGGAGGGGGGCGGGGGAACACTGGCGCCTTTGTCGTGCCCTCACTTGTGGTTGGGTGCTTCCTTGACCCCCTCCCTCTTGCCATTACCATCCAACACACTGTGTGTCCTCCTTCTCCCCTCCCCCCCAGGTAGCAAGGGACCTGACCCCCACCATGGCCACCACCAACCCCGCACTGCTGGCCACGAACACACTGCACGAGATCGACCAGGCGGCGCAGGTGGGGACGGAGGGGGGGCGGCGCAGGGGGGGGTCGTGGACTTACGCCCACATACTATAACCCGAACATAGGAGATACATGCATACTGCTGGAATATGGACCCGGCATGGGGTGCGTACGACACGTCCCCTCTCTCTTCCCCTCCACATGCACATGCGCACCTGCAGGACGTGGTGAACGCCATCATGGAGGCCCAGGCGGCCGCAGCTGGGGGCGCCGCGGAGGTCGTACGCATCGCCTCCGCCCCGGGGCGAGGACCCCCCATGGAACTGGAGCTTCGACGTGCCGTACCGCTAGCCGAGCTGAGGCGCCACAAACGCTCCTTCCTGAAGGTCGCCACCAAGCTTACCTTTGCTCGGCTGCAGGATGCAGCGGCTGCGCGGCGCATGTTTGTGGATTACCTGCGGACGAATTTGGCGGCGGAGGGGGCTGGCGGCGGAGGAGCAGCAGCAGCGGAGGCGTTTGTTTGAGGGGGAGGAGGAGGATCGCTCGGGTGAATTTGCGAGTGTGCGTGTGTGTGGGTTTTTACGTGGTGTGCTGCGGGCCGTTGCAACGGCAACAGGCGGGGTGCGCTGGCCGCTAAGGCAATGCTGTGGCAGCAACCGCTGTGGCAGCAGCATCCGCTGGATGGGGCTATTGTGCGGGCAGCTCTCAGCCCGGAGGGGCCCACCCTGCAGGACCCTGCATGACCTACTGCTGCCCCTGCATGGACGCGGGCGGACGGACGCAACAGCCCGCACCGCACCACAAGAACGCAGCAATTGCCTGCTCTGCCTCCTCTCAAAGGCGCGCGCGTCAGCAGCAGCAGCTCACTTCAATGCCAACAGCAACAGCAACCGCTACCCTGGTCTGCTTCTGGTCGGGGCTAGAGGTGTTGGGCACTGCTGGTGTTGCGGTGGCCACCTGAAAGCGACTGCCTGGACGAGCAACAAGCAGCCATGGCAGCTGCCATGGCAGCTGCAGCAGCAGCGGCAGCGACCCTGGCGAGGCGCGGGTGGGCTGGTCATGCGGGGGGCTGTCGTTGTTGGGCCCAGCTGTTGTGTGGGTTGGGCCCAGTTGGGTTCCGGAGCTGGCTACCCGGCCGCAGGCCGCGCACCTCCTCCTCCTTCCGCACACCCGGCGGCGCCTGGCCACTGGCGCCTGCAAAGGGACCAGCCCGTGTTAACAGCCCGCATGCTGGGGCTTTGCATGCTGCGGCTTTGCATGCTGCGGCTTTGCATGCTGCGGTTTTGCATGCTGCGGCTTTGCATGCTGCGGCTTTGCATGCTGCGGCTTTGCATGCTGCGGCTTTGCATGCTGCGGCTTTGCATGCTCACATGCGGGGAACACTGGCGAGGACCTGAAGTAATCATCCTTTGCTTGCTTGTCGGGGTAGGGTGGGGGACGCAAGGGCGTTTCCTTAACTGCTTTGCTTGCGCTTACGCAGCAAGACACGTTAACCCCGGCTCAGCTAGGCGGCAGGAGATTTGTGAACGAGTCGTCGAAGGGGTCTCGACTTTGGCCTACATGCAGCGTTTGTTTGCCCTGTTAGCTGGGGATCCGCTGGTGTGGCATGGATTCACTGTTAGCATGTGGAGGATGACACCGGGTGGGGCGGGTGCTTTAAGACGAAGAATCTGCGGTGCAGTATGGGAGGAGTGTGTTGCCTGTCCCTTGGGGCCCAAGCAACACCAGGATCTCGGTGTGTGCCTTCTTTGGTGCATGAGCTGTTACAAGGCCGCGACATGCTTACGCGCATCCGCTGTGGTGGTGGCGGCACCTGTCACGGAGTACTGTCACGGAGATGTAACACTGGATGTAAGTTGGTGCCTTCCTCGCTATCTGCTGTATGGATGGGAGCGAAGGCGGGGGAAAGGATAGAATAGGAGATTGCGTCAAGGCTGCGCCTTCTAGCTCAATTGGCAGGTATTCAACATACGGTAGGCCCGTCCACGGATGCGTCGAGAGTGTACCGGAATTTACTGCCTGTCAAAGGGCTCGCAGAAATTGCTGTCTAGCTTTATGGAGGGGTATTCGTTTACTGTATTGCTTGACAATATGCCGATGCCTGCGTGTGTCACGTTGACGAGTACACGTATACAGCATGTCATCCTTGTCGTCACAGATAGCAGATAGAACTTCTACCACCTTTACGCAATAGGTGTGAGCATCGCCTACAGCATTAGGCACGGTTATAGGCGAGTGACCCTCTTCGTCAAAATGGGCCCAGATTCGGTGCCCAATGACGCTTGTCGTACAGGCTGGCCACCGACTGTGACGTTTAGTTGACGAGAACGTCTACGCTAGCAAAGTCCTTTTTCGCAAGTAGGCAGCCAAAATGAGTTCTCACTGCCCGGCTGGGGCTGACAATGTTAGCACTGCGGTGAAGAAATGTCCTTTCCTCCACAACATTGCTCAGACGCACGGAGAGAACTACGCTAGCAGCCTTGCTGGGAAGCCAGCTTGCCCTGTTGGCCACGGTGCCGGTAGTCCTGGGGCGCTTGTACAGGGCCACAGTGATGCGTTCCAGAGCACTCTCGCTTTGTTCCACGGCAAGCATGGTGTTCTGCCTCTGCCACACCTTTCCAAGCCATCACCAGAAGTGCTTTATCCGGTGGAGCTTCCAGTGGCTGCGGCACAGCAGGAGCCAGCTATTCCGAAGTGCCCGATGGCGTCCGGAACGGCTGTGACCGCGGCCTCTCATTTCAGGGAGCCTTTCTTTGCGGCAGCTCCTTTGGCTTCCATGTCCATGTCATGGGGCAGCAATTGGGTGAGCTTGGGGGTCACTCCGGTGATTCTGTTCAGGCGCCAGGTCTTTAATATTGTATTGGAAAGCCCCGACTAGTATACATAAATAAACATATACTTATACCTTACCCCCTTGCCCTGTATTCCTATTGGACAGTTCAACATTCATCACCTCTTCCAGCAGCACCTCCAGCAGCACCGCGCGCAGCAGAAAAAGCCACCCCAGCAGCCCAAACAACAACCAAATGGGGCGCATGGAGGGGTCTCAGGGCCCGGGCTGTCCGGCCCGGGCGCCTCAAGCGGTCATGGACTCTGCGGCCCCTCCGGCAATGCCGGGCAGTGCCCGCTCCGCAGGGCGCTGGGGCCGTTCGCTGGCGTGGTCTTCAACAAGAACGGACACCTGATGTGCCCGGAGCCCATCATCAAGATGCGCGCGGCGCTTGCAGCGACAAAGCCTGTGCGGGATTTGCGCCCCCAGGCTCTGCCCATCAAGCTTCTGGCGGTTGCATTCACCACAGCGGCCCTCAACGTGCCATGCGGTGGGTAGGGAGGGCTCTTGAAAGGAGGAGAGGAACTATCTAAAGTAGCCTTCGGGGGTTCAGGTAATGTAGGGGGAGGTAAACTTGGAGTGAGGCCCCTCAGCTTCCTATAGCCTTCGGGGTACTTCTCCAAAAGCGGCCAAGGTCCAATGCTCTGACCGCTCCTTTACCTCCCTGCCCTGTTCCCCATGCTTATCCCCCGCTGCAGGCATGTGGCGCGAGCACACGAAGAAGTTCTCGTCGCAGTGGTTCGTCGCAGTGCACGCGGTAAGCCAGCAATGGGTTATGTCTTTATGTGCTTCTGTCGCCCCAGCTGGGCAGGAGGAAACCTCTTTCAGTCATACGTTTAACGTTTTAGTACCAGCATCTTTCCCCTCGCCCAATTGTCGCAGCCTCTTCACCTCAAACCCGTCACCCGTTCTCCTAACCCAGCCGGCTCCATGCTCCCCGCCGCCAACCTACTGCCTCTTTCTCACATCCCTCTTCTCCCACCCTTCCCACCAACCCTTTCCCCTCCTCCAGACTATCCCCTTCATCGCCATGCTACGTAAGGCGGTCATCATGCCCAAGTACGCCATCCTCTTCACCATTTGCGCCGCAATCGCCGGCCAAACCATGGGCGCCAAGTACGAGCGCAGGCGCGTGCTGGCGCAGACCAAGGACGAACTTGCCGGTCTGGCACGGGCCAAACCCGTCGCAGTCGCCCTGCCGCGGCCCACATCCGGACCTGCGTCTTCCTCCTCCTCGGGACGCCAGGCGGCGCCGCTGCCGGTGGCTTCCATGCTGCTTTCTGCCCAGCCAACCGTTGTGGAGCGGGGTAACGCAGCTGCTTCTGCGGCGGCGGGTACGGCAGCGGCGCCCTCCAGCGGTACGGCAGCGTCCTGGGTGGTGCAGGAGGGCGGGCAGGAGCTGACGTGGAGCTCGTCGTCAGGAGCGACGGGGACGCGGTCCTCACCGTTGCGGGCAGCGCTGCCGAGGCCGCAGCACCTGCACTTCCGCGTGCGTGGTCGGAGTGTGAAGAGGAGCGTGAAGGCGGAGGAAGGGGTCGCGTTGCTTGGGCAGGGGGCGTGCGGTCGGGGCGCGGCTGGCCCGGTTATCGCGATGTTGCCGCAAGTGACTTGCTGATGCGTCTGTGGTGATCTGGGTTGTTGAGCCGCGGCAGGCCGCGGTTCAATTCTTTTTGCAGAATGGCGTTGGGACTGTTGGGAATGTTTGCTATTGCTAGCTGGTTGCTTGGTACGCGCTTAGTATGGCTTTGTTGTTATGGTATCTAGCGTATATTTGGTCTTGTGTTTACTCGTTAATTGCGCTTGCTCTTGGGTAAAGCTAGCTTGGTACTTACGCCCCAAAGCCGCGAAGGCGATTGTTGTGCCTTTGTGTAAGGTAAGGGCTTCAACGCAGCGTTGGTTCGCAGCAAAGGCTGATGTGGACTGTTTGCTGCTTTGCTCCAATTCTTATCTCCTGGCAGGTTTGTTCTCGACTTGAGCACGAATTTCTGCTTACTTGCTTTGCAGTCCTAGTGAGAGGACTGCATGCGCCTAGCTTTATCGGTCTGTAATTCGCGGCACTGGAACGAGTGTGTCTACTCGAGTGTCGAGGAAACTATAAGCACGCCGTGCGTGCATGGCTGATCGCCTGTAACACAACAGACAAAGAAATGTACCTACACAATTCCTCATTTCCAGGTATTCGCATTCTCATGGCAGGAGGCTGGACTGATAACTACAAGAATGCATGCGGCAGCATTCTCATGCCAAGAGGCAGTCTGATGTCTTCAAGGATGCATGCGGCAGCATTCAGCTCTACGGAATCAGCCCGTAAGTACTGTATGCAACTAACGTATTTCGGTTCAAGCCTTCACGCAATGAAAGCCAGAGGGGTAGTGTGGCGGCATTCTGGTATGACAAGGAATAGTGTGGCGGCATCCTTGTATGACAGGGGGGCTGCTTGGCTTACGAACTTTTTTTGCGAATGCGAGGAGGTGGCATGCAGTACACACGAAGACCGGATTCGCGCTTTAACCTCAACCTCAACTGGCAATAGTGTCCAGGGCGCGGGTCACATATGCTGTTATCAGGGTTTGTGTTGCTGCCATGCAGTGTCTCTGCTGGGTGGCTCGCTCAGCCGCGATTGTTTACGTGATGTTGTACAGCATGCGGGATTTGGGCAATTTCCATGCGACAGTGAGGATGGTGGCAGCTCGGCATCTAGTACACAAAATATACCGGTACATATGTTTTGTGTGGGTGTGTGCTTTGCGGCCTCACCCTACGATATATATGACATACTTACTGTATCATCATTCAGCCCACACTCCTTCATACACGCTTCATCGCATTCTTTCTTGCGCCTTGAATCTCTACACCAATTGACCGAGGGTGTTAGGTGCGCTTCTTGGCGGCCTACGCAACAGTCGCATACGGGAAAAGTCGTTGTGCGGCTTGGGAACTTGAGAAGCATGAGGGCATCGCCATTGCCGAACAACAAGCCTGGGCTTTTGGAGCTTCCAGCTGAGCTGCAGCTGGCCTGCCTCCAGCGAGTTACGGACATTGCCAGCCTGCGCAATGCTTATTCAGCCTGCGCAGCGCTGCGCCCACTTGAGCCCTTAGCCCTGAAGGAGTACTGCCGCCAACGTTGGCCAAACTACGCTGCTGTCATAAAATCGGTGGCAGCGGATGGTGCTGGAGTGGCCGCATGCTGGCGCCAAGCCATCCATGCCGCAATGCTTATGGACGCGGCAATCCAGGCAACACCAGACGCTGCCAAGGGGTTGGGAACGGTGCTCACCGCACAGCGACGCGCCATCCTTGTGGAGTGGTTGATTGAGGTGAGAAGCTGCTTTAGTAAGCGCGGCTGCAATTGATTCCAACTACACAGCGATATACATGTCGTAGCCCAGCAAGCTGCGCATTTTCGCCCTAACTTCATTACCTGTTGTCAACCCAAATCACCATAACGTTATCGTCGCAGTCGCCCTGCTTTGGCGTCCATGCTTCTCAAACATTTCGCCACTCCGAATGCTACGGCTTGTTACCGAGCACCATCGCCTCTAACTTGTCTGCAACAAAGAACATGTTTATTTGACCATAAGAATGGTTAAAAGTTCGCTAACGTCACTCCACCCAACCCGCACAGGTCTCCCACACTTGGAAACTAGATGGCACCGTGGTCTTTCTCGCGGTCCGGCTCTTCGACACCTTCGTGCAGCACGTATCGCTGCAAGCAGCCAACCTGTAGGTCGGGGCTGGGCAACATGACATATTGCGTCAGCTATACGATAGACTTGTTGCCCCCAGCAAGGGTGGGGTTGGTAGCTTGTGGGGGACAACTGCTCCTCTGTCCCTTTGCCTTAATGGTCTATACAGGTATGCTCGAACCGGCTCCGGGGAAATGCACCGGTACCAGCCCTCAGCAATCCTCTGCAACTCGCAATCCTTAACCCCGCAACCCCAATCCCCCCCTCTCTGGTTTGGTATGGTCTTTGACACCCCTCAGGCTGCAGCTGGCGGGCATCTGCTGCCTGCGTCTCGCCATGCAGCTCCACTCCCAACACCCCAATCACCACAGCACCCAACAGAAACCACCCCAACCACCTCAACCGCCACAACACTGCAACAAGAGCGCCACCCATGCGGCCCCCCGCCGCCCGCAGCCCCCCCACGCCCTTCCCACCACCACCAGCGTCACCACCACCGCCACCGCCACCGCGGCCATCTCGGCAACAGCAGCAGCAGCAGCAGCGGGACTCCACGACTGTGACATGAGCGCTGCCCCGCTGCTGCCCTGTCCGCCGCTGCTGGCTGAGCCCGCACCTGCACCCGCACCCGCACCCGCACCCGTGCCTTCAACCTCTGCTGCAGCGCATGCCGACAGCAGCACCGACAGCCCTGCCGAGAACAACGATCATGAAGACAGCCATGACCCACATGGCTCCGACCCACATGGCTCCGACCCAGATGGCTCCTGCAGCAACATGACGATGCTGTTCAGTGCGGATCGCTTCAGCGACATGTGCGCTGGGGCCTACACGCCAGCTGAGGTGGAGCGAATGAGCGCCTGCCTGGCCGCCAGCCTGCAGGCTAGCCCGCAGCAGCAGCAGCAGCAGGAGGAAGAGAAGCACCGAACCCACAAGGCACAGCAGCAAGAGCAGCCCAGCCAGAAGCAGCAGCCGGAGCGTCTTCGTGCAGCAACCGCAGCAGGGTATGCCCCCACCGCACGGCACTTCCTACGCGGCCTCTGGGCGGGTCTGACCGGACCCCCGCAACAGCCGCAACCAGTGCAACGGCTACAGTCAGCGACCTCATCCTCACCCCCATCCTCATCCGCTCTTTCAGACACCGACTGGGTCATCCCTCCCGCCCTGCGCACACCCCTGCTGCACCTCTCCAGCTTCCTGCTGCACCTGTCCCTGCTGTGCCCCGCTTGCAGCTCCGTGTCCCCCGCCCTCGTGGCCGCAGCGGCGCTGTCGCTGTCGCTGGAGGCGCTAGGGTTGCCGGGCTGGCCGCTTGCGGCGGTGCGGGTGCTGCCGCTGTGCTTGGAGGGTGAGATGCGGCGAGTGCGGGAGCGGCTGGCGGCGGCGCAAGAGGAACAGGCGGCGCCGCATCTGAGGGAGCTGTGGATGGGGCAGTTGGCTGAGGCTGGCTGCTGGGGTCAGAAGGAGGGTGGTGGTGAGGGGGGTGAGGTGGCTGGAGGTGGTGGAAGCAGGGAAGAGGGTGGTGGTGGTGACGGCGGTGAGGAGGGCCTGGTGGTTGAGGTGGCCCATGGGTCGGTTGTGGGGGTGGTTGGTGGTGGGGTATCGCTGCGGGAGCGGGTGGAGCGGGTAGTGAGGCAGGCGGGGCCGCTGCTGGCGGGAGCGTGAAGGGGTGTGTGACGTGAAGGCATGTATGGGTGTTTGGCGAGATGGGGGCAGCTAAGGTTATTAAATTCGTGTGCACGTGTGCAGAGGGTCACGCTGCGGGAAACACATACGCCCATCGTCCCAAGGAATTCGCAGCGGGTGGGGGAGCAACCCTTGGGGTGCGCAGGAGGCATGCATGTTGGGCTTCCCTGCTTCCCTGCTGGGAGAAGGGCATTTAATACCGGGTATTAGAGTAGCATACCTGTAGTCGAATGCAGGCCCACTTCATTAGGAAGGCAGGGCCAGTTGCAGGCCCCCGTAACTGGTATTAGGATGTTAGCTAGAGCGAATGCATTGGTATGTTAAATATGGCTCTATGTCTGACGCACAGAAGAAGATTAGCTTATTATGTGGGACTTAATGGCGAATACCGCGAAGCACAAGACATGAGCAGGGGGCATGCTGGCACGGAGTGAGGTGGATTGCCTGTACGTGTAGTTGTTAGTTGGGGCCTAACGGCCTAGCAGCGTATGTAACGTGTGGGATTTAACTTCTAGTGTCCCAGCAGGGTATGCCTTGACGGGAGTTGACGCCCTATCAAGATATGTAAGCTGTGGGATAGCTTGCGTCTGAGGCGCTTGCATGGCTACTGTATCATTACGTGGCCTACTTGGACGGTGGTGCATGTGGGAAGCGGTGCGTGTACATAGCGTTTACATATTTCCTTGCTATCGAGTGTAAAGCAAAAAAGGACAAGTCGCGGAGGCGCAGAGCAGGAGGTTTGTACGTTCCAACTTCCAAGCTGCAAGATGTTAGTCTTGGCTATTGCGCTGGGCCTGCCATTTATGCGCCAAGCAAGCCCCCGGCCCCCCGCGGGCGCACCTAGGCAATGCTTTTGCACAGGACGCCCCGTTGGTTGGGGCCTGTTGTGGATGGGCCAGGGTGTTGGAGAGAAGTTAATCAATGGGTTTTGACTGGCCAAATTGGGCGGCATATACAACAGAAGAGTTTTAACATTGAGAGGTTAGGGGACCTTCATGAGCGGGACCAGGACCTCGGCTGTTGTAAAACACCATCCATGGGAACCGTTTGGTATTCGGCATGAATCTTCTGTTGTTTGTCTCGGAAGGTCCATGCACGCCTTTCCTGCTACGCAGCCTTCTGCCACGTCGCGCTGCATTGGGGCAAAGTGCACTGCAATATTGGGGCGGCACGGGCAGCCCAGCATCGCGCACGGGCCCGAACGCTGTCTTTGCTGCTTGTTCCGTCGTCATGGCCCATGGCATCCACGCATACAGCAACCCTTTCTGTCTTTCTGGGGCTTCTTGCTATCCTCACCACCCGTCTTCAGGTTTTTAGTAAAGGATGACGAGCAGGCTAGCTAGATAGGCACTGGCTAGTATCAAAAAGACCTCTGCCCCAGCTATATCTTTAACATTTTACTCTTTCTACCCCAAGTATGTCCTCTGCCCGGTCTGCAAGGTAGGGCCTGGCCGTACGTGCAAGCGAGGTACCGGTACTGGATTCAACTCTCAACCGCACAGCGGAATAAGCTCGTTGTGTTACCGCGTAGTCTTCGGAATACCAGTGTGGCCACCTGAAAGGTATAATTGAAGTGCTTTCAGACTGCAGCTCCCTTTAGTACTTTTGTCCAAACGACGACCGCGTGAGGACAACGTAGCGCTAGGGTACCGTGAGGAGCAGACGTATCAATCGGTGCGTGGCATTACAGCTTGTTGGGCTGCACAACTTTGAGCACTTTTTCTTGCCCCCGGTTGGGGCGTTGGGCGTCTGGTTACCGCATAGTCCAAATACCTCGTTCTTTTGTAATTTTATTCATGCAATCTGCGTATCTGCACGAGACCTGCAGTTTCCGCAATCTGGCATCAATGTCCGACCCAGTCGGTGCCAAGATGGAGCTCTTTAGGACCAACAAGAGCAACCTCTATGACCTGGATGCCGTTCCTCCTTCAGAGATCAAGAAAGAGCGTCAGGTGCTAGCGCATTCGCAGGGTTACTTCCTTTTATTGCTTTGCCCGTTCAACCAGTGTGCCCGTCTCCGCAATAAGCTATGCCTCATCCTAATAACGGTGGACCGCAATTTCCGCCTCATCAAATGACGTTTCTTTTTCCTTGCGTTGTAACACGTCGCGCCCGTTCTTGGCCTCCCAGGCAAACTTCCTCGCCATGCAAGTCATGCGCGTCCGCGACACTTCAAGCAGCGGAACAACAGGAACCCCTGTTGGTAAAACATCTCAACCACAGCCGCCGGGATCGCCCGCTGTGCCCGGCTTGTCAACGACATCATCGGGGGCCCAGAAGCACCCAGCTCCACCCAAACGGGAGCTTATTTCAGTGTTAACGGAGCGTAGGCCTGCGCGGCACAGCGTCTCAGGGGTGCCTTTATCGCAACAATCACACAAGTTTCAACAGCCGTACCTTGCTGGCGCCTCCGGAGCCGCCTTTTCAAGCCGCGTTTATGGCACCAGCATTCATCAGCTTCCCGACCTTTCTGTAACGGGAGAGGGCTCAGAGCAGGTAAGATACCTCGTGCTGGGCTGGCGATTCAGAGCGGGAGCCTGGCAGACTGCAACACCGCGCCTCTCCTGCTCAACTCTTACAAGTGTTATAATACCGGTACACTCACCCACCCTCCTGCCGCCCCTCTTAACATCCTCCTGTGCAGCCACCACGCCAATCCACCTCCGGCCGGGCGCTCGTCCCTACCTTTCCCCGAGGCTCCTCCTTCGGCGCCCTTGCTCCCTCCGACACCCCCTCGCCACCCGCCGCACCACCGGCATCATCAGCCCTGAACACCTCCCCACCACCTCTCACCCCAACACCCGTCTGCAGCAGCGTCATTCCCAGCCGCATCGCACATCATTCCAGCCCCGGCTTCCAGTTCGAGGACAGCGCCACCCCCGCAACCACAGCTCCCCGCTCCGCCGCCGCTGCCGCAACAACAACACCCACCCGCCAGGCTCGCCGCTCCTCCGTCTGCACACCCTCCGGTAACAGCCCGGGCTTGCCAAACAACCTGGGCACCCCCGGTTGCTCCAACCTCATGGCGTCCACTGAGCCCCACAGCTCCGGATCCAACCTTCGTCGTACGCCGTCCCTCATGCACGGCATGAGTATGGGTGACGGCCGATGCTCTCAACAGAACCAGCAGCAGCAGCAACACCAGCAGCAGCACCAGCCTCTCGCCGTCTCCTCGCCCTCCCGAGCCTCCTCCTCCTGCCTGCCCCTCAGCGGCCCGCTACCGCAACCCCTCTTCCTAGCACAACCCCCCCAGCCTCATCCGCTGTCGCCCCGTAACGCACACAACTCGCAGCTGCATCAGCTAGGTCAGGAGTACGACCGCAGTGCAACCGCCATCTCCGCAACCGCAACCATCATAACGGCCGCAAGCGGCGGGCCCGGCGGCTCACCCGTACACCAGCAGCAACACCACCACCACCAACCACACCAGCACCAGCAGCAGGTGCCCTCTCGCGGCACAGCTCTCAGCGGGGGACCCAGTGGGCTGCTGCGTTCTTCCCGCTTCGGAAACACAGCTACTGGTATGGCCGGCGGAGGAGGCGTCAGCTCCCGACGCCTTTCCATGCTGGTCACCGACATGCCTCCCACCTCCACGGATTTCGCCACCGGTAGCCTTTCCGGACCCTTGCAGCGCCTGAATACCCTGGGTGAGGAGGGATTGCGGAGTGAGGTGTCGCATGCACCGCGTGGGTCGTACGGCGGCGGCGGCGGCGTCATGTACGGCAGCGGCGGCGGCACCGTCACGGCTCCCGTTACCGTTAGCGACGTTGACCGCCGGTTGACGGTTGATACGGCTGGTACGGGTTTGACGCACTGTGCTCCCGGAGGAGGGGGCGGTAGCGGAGGCGGAGGCGGAGGTTTGGAGCGGTTGGTGAGCTTGAGGCGGCAGAGCTCGGGAGGCGGCGAGAATCTGATTCTGTTGGGTGGCCCTCAGGTTTGGAACGCCTGGCGGACGGACAGCGCGGAGGGACCCCCCAACTATGTCAACAAGGAGTTCGCGGCGCCTGCTAGTGGCGGCGGCGGCGGCAGCCGAGTGCTTGGCAGCATGTGCTCGCCAGTGCGACGGCTGAGGTCGGGGCCCTTGCCGGACGACGATCACGCGCTCCTGACGCCGCCTCCGCCGCCTCGTAGCAGCAATAACCAGCCCCGCTTCACGCCGCCGCCGTACCCCCTCCTCAGCAGTCGCTCCAGCAGCCTTCGCGTCCCTAGCACCGCCGACTACAGCTCCCTCGGCAGCGCCTCGGAATGGTCGTCGTCGTACAACGGCGGCGGCGGCGCCGACGCTGACGTCACCCCCGCCGCCTCCGTCACCCAGTCGCAACGTTGCATCAGCGTCACCAGCGCCGTACGGAGCATGCGGACTAGGAGCGTCGGGACTATTGCCCTGACGCCGCGAAGCGGCGGCGGGGGCGGCTCCGCCGGCGCCACGGTTGCCGGCTCCGCCGGCGCCGACTGTCCCTCCGACGACGGCGACGGCGGCGGCGGTCCCGACAGCGGCGGTGTGGTGCTGCCTGACGGCGACGGCGATGGCAGCAGCTTGGCAGCGAATCTGTGTGACGTGGAGGAGCTGTTGGATCCAGTTCTGGACGAGCTGGATCCCGCAGGTCGGCAGGAGGCGCGGCGCATGATCCGGCGGGTTCGGGCGGCGGCGGTGGAGGGTGGTCGGCCGGCTGGGCGGCAGCGTATAGGTGAGATGAGCGGGATTGGGGTGTGGTGGAGAAAGAGGGGGAGAAATGCAGGAATGGTAGAGACTGAGAGAGGGCGGGGAGGAGGGACAGACGGGGTGAACACCGTGGTTATGTAAGGTCGTTAAGGTGTGGTTAAGGTGTGGTGTGGAGGTGTGCGAGACCGCGTGACTGCTGAGACAAGTGCTTCACGAGTGCTCTGATTCGGGTCTGACTCGATCCGTTTTCCTTTCGATGTGGAATGTTGGAAAGTATATCTCCATGATGCGGCACCGTACAGTACGGCAGGAGTCCTCTCTGCCACGCACTTCCCCGAGCCAACCCTCATCCCTCCCCCATGTGCTTCTTACCTTCCTTCCCTTTCACTCCCTCCCACTCCCTTTAACCAACCGCAAAAGTCGAGCAATGGGTTGAGGGGGCCGGCGCCGGCGCAGAGGCCGCACCCCATGACGATTCCGCTTCTGCCACCAATGGCGGCGGCGGCAATGGCGGTGGTGGTGGGAATGGCAGTGGCTCCGGCAATGGCGGCGGCACCGGTCCCTTCTCGCTGCTTGCTGCCCTCGCGGACCAGGCGTTGAAGCTGCCCTGTGTGGGTCTGGAGCGGCTGGGCGACCCCGAGAAGCGACACAAGGTGCTGATGCGGCTGAATGAGGCGGCCGCAGGTGGGTGGCGGGCGGGTGGGTGGGTGGGGATAACAGGGTTTCTGGGCGTGGCCTTGCACGTGCATGTGCGTTGGGTAGTGGTGTTAAGAGGGCAGCAACGTGCAATGTGCTGCAGCCTGTGTTGCAGCCTCCAGCTCTTGTCTTGTCCTGGTGCTCCTGACGTTCCTACGTCCTAGGCAGCTGCTGATCCGCCATTAGTACAGTCAGCACCCCAAGCACCCTCTCTCCCCTTTTCTCCTGGTCGCCCTTCCCTTCCCTCCCGCCCCTCACAGCCGGTCCCGCCGCCCTCGCGCGGGCTACCGCGACCACCAAGAGGAACCTGCCCGTCTTCAACCGCTGGAACTGGTGACACAGAGGAGCAGGGAGCGGGGCGCGACAGGGGGGGCAGCAGGGAACGCTGGGCCAGCAGCCGCGCATGCATGCAGGGCGGAGCGAGTCGAAGGGAGCTATGCAGTGAGGGTTGGTTGGAATTTACCGAGGGTTGGACATGACTACGGGGTACATACCGACAGCTGCGGTGGGCCCCGCTGCTACAGGCGGCCAAAGCCTTCAGTACGAGGCGCCACCACTGCCGCACACATCCCACATGCCGCTGTGTGTTGACCCGCGTGAGGTGTGTCTGGTTCCATGCAACCTGGGGGCTGTTTGCCTCCATGCAAGCATGCATGGGAGGGTAGCATGCATGCGGTAGAGGGAGAGGATGAGAAGAATGTGGGGTTACCATGCGCCAATGCGCGTAGTCTTTATTGCACGTATCTCAAGGCAAACGCAGAGTGCATTGCTGTTCGGGCGCTGCGGCATGCATTGGAAGATTCCATCATGCTGCCTATTGTGGCGTCTGTTTTTTCTTGTGGCGTATTGTGCTGTCGCTTGCATCAAAGAATACTGATTGATGCTACTTCCTTCATTTTGCTTGGGCCGGCTGGAGCTTTTACAGGAGCTTTTAGCTTTTTTTCCAGCCATTTCTACGGTGCAGGAGGGGGGCGCGGAAACACTGCAAAAATGTGTTTTTAGGCACTGAGTATGACATGCTAACATGGGGGTGAAGGGCTGCTGCAAACCTGAGAAGCGGATGATGTGTGATACCGTAATGTCGAAAGAAGGCACTGCAAGTTTATTTGGTTGGGCGGCGTTCAAAGTGCCCCGATTCCAGAGGGGAGATATTATACTGGCTGAGGCGGCAGAGTTCGAGCCCCTCGTAGATCTTAAATTGGCTGAGGCGGCAGAGTTGGAAACCCCGTGCATCGCGAGGGGGCTTTGGATTCGTCCTTCTCGTTCAAACGCTGTTGGCGAGCGCTTTGTGGTGAAGTGGTATTGCGTCAGGTGAGCATGATGAGACCAGGAGATTGGGGCTTCGGGGGTTTCGCACGTACGGAGCCTTTTGGAGTGTACTGGTGTGTTCTGCATCACACGCGTAACATACATCCTTACTATCTCAGCCTATTGATTCCCAACTATGCTGTGTACCGGAATTTGCTAAGTCCTTGTTAATCAAGGTGATTTGGAGGCCTTATGAAGGTTATGTCTTGCGCGCTCTTTCCAATGCCCCGTGTCAAAAAGTATGGACGCATGGCGCACGTGTGGCACAGAAAATTAGGCGGCGGCGGTGCCACTAATATGTTTGGCCGTGGGAAGCCTAAAGCTGCGCGAATCGCCGGATGCTGGGGCTTCGCAGCTTGGGGGCTTACCGGTACCGCACACACGTCCCTACTTGCTTGTTGTTTCAGAAGGATGTGATTCTAAGAGATGAGTGCTTGGCAATGGCTGCTTAAGTTTTTCCGACATATTTTTATTTATGAGGTTGTGGTCCTACTTGTCGCACGTCTACAGTACGTACGACATGCTTACAACGTACACGCCCCTACGACATGCTTGTTGCCCAGCGTACGACAAGTACGTCGTACAGGCACGGGGTAACTGCTTGTTGCCCACCTTGCTCTGGCGATAGCACGGCAAGCAGTGACCCCGCCCCCTAGTTGGACTTCATTCATCTAGGGAAATAACTCCTTTGGAAAATCCCTTTCTTGTTTGCTCTTGCAGTTGTTTGCCGTTGCGCTAATGATAGAGGGGGCTAGTGGGTCTGGATCTCTGGTAGTAAGTGCGTGCCGCTGATGTTAGACCCTCGAGTGGCAGTAGTTAGTAACACGTGGAAAGTGATACGGCGGTAGCACTTTTGGCTTCGCCGCGGCTGCGTTTTGTTGCAGTTCTAGCAAACAAGGCCCACCCTGATGCTGCACTGATGTGCCGTACGCCGTGCGGCCGTACTTCTAAAGGGATTGATGGGCTGATCCCTTGCAAGCTTGCATACATTCTTGTCCTTTACGCTTCTAAATGGGCCATCATACTAGGCGCTACACAGCTAGCCTTTATGCGCATGCGGTGCACCTTAATGTATAAGCGGCGCAACCTGTTCGTGTGGAGGGAAGGCCTCTTTGCCGGTTAGAAACGTGCACGTGAGACCGCAACCGGAGGTCTCGTGTCCGGGCGAGTAAAGCCCCGTGCGAGTACTTTTGTGATGTGCCAAGTAGCGTCACGCACTCTGTGGCTACGTGATAAAGGCCTGTGGCGATCTGCTGGCTTGCCCATGTGTTGCGTGCCCGTGTGTCGGCATGCATGCATTGGCTGGGCTGTGCCCTGTGCGTCACTCAGGCTGTTCCCTTGCTACCAAGCCTCGGCCTTGGGGAGCGCCTGAAAACAAGGGCATGCCAAAAAGCCGGTACCGTTTCAGATTTCATGCTTGGACAAGCAGGCGGGATTGCAGGTGGATGGTTGCAAGCCTCGCGCTTTCCTAGTTTCTTGTCTGCGGGTTGTTGAAGCCCAAAGGCATACGGTACATGGGGGTGTACCGGGGCAGTAGCATGCTTGTTGGGAATGCCGGCAGTCATTATTACTGTTGCCATTGCTGCAATGCAGGCGCGGTGTCAGGTATTAGACTGCTGTGTGTTGGTAGCTGTGCGAGTTGGGGCTGCTTGGGAGGGCGTGGCGGTGGTCGCGAGTTGGAGTACGGCACCTGCTGACTGGTGCCGTACCACCGGGCCCCTCTGACATGGGTTCGTTCCTGCTGAGCCCGCCTGCAGCCGGCAAACCAAGGCTGGTAGCAATGTAGGCACAGTGGGTTGCCGCTCAACCTCTTCATTTCATAATCTGCATGCTGGCATATTGTATCTTCCTAATGACCTTCTTTGGTATCGCGTGTTTGTCCTAAGTAGAACCAGGTTCACTGGATTACCCTGGCGACCACTGTAGACGTCTGCAGAGACCCAAACTGCTATGAACATTGGTACTGCTTAAGTCCAAACACGGGGTTGTGTATTGAAGCAAGTATGTATCCAAGAGCGTCCTTGTAACCGTTGCTGAGCCCAATTTTGGGTCGTCTTAAGAGGTCCCCACGCTTGGTGGAAGACGACGCCTGGCATCTGATAACGCCGGTTACCAGACTGGCGGAAACGAGAGCCGAATAAAGGAGGAAAGGGCAAGAAGGGCCCGTTGGCACAGGTAAGGCTGTTGACAGCATGCGCATACAGACCCGGGTGAATTAAACCGGCGTTCCCATGTCCATGGGTGGCGGAACTGCAAAGTTCGTTAGGCGTTTCGCCTTGCAAAGCGCCGGCTTCAACGAGGATTTATCCTGAGATTGGATGTGTCTGTTAGTCACTGTCCTAAGGACGGATGCATATAGGTAGCGCGTACTAGCGCGGGCTAGCGACATGTTGCCCATGTGGGCTCAGGCCTAATACCAAGACAGTTCCAGTAAACATTGTCGCAGTCCTATAGTTGTCCCTTTTCGCCATATAGGACAGTCTTTTTGGTGCCTCGAATCCAAGAGGGCTCCCCCGTTGTCAACTGGTGTACGGCTCTACAGGTTAACGCGATCATGGAGCTGAAGCTACTACAGTCAAGTCAACTTGTATACGCTCACAGACTCTCATACAAAGGGTAAACACGTTACTGACGTGTTATGACTATGGACTACCTCTGGACCTGACTGTCCTGACTCACCTTGCACAGTTAAGCAGTAATGTAAGCCAAAGTTGGTCTTTAAAACATGTACCAGCCAGGCCGAAGCGGGATTGCACCTGGCGTGTAGACGACCCTCGTTCTCCTACCTCCTCCTACCTGGGTGGAGGTCGTCAGAGCTGGACACCATAAGCATATATTTAAGGGTGTTTATTGACCAGAATAACTTCATTGCAAAGATTCGCTCAACTCCACTGTAGACCGACCAGGAGTCGCCTGCCTTGGAAAAAAAGGTGAAGCACACAAGTTACTTCCTGAAATGGTATTGCGTGCTTCGTCTTGTTAACCGTAGGCTGGCATCGAAGTAGTACTGTAGTGAGTACTTCCACGTTGATGACATGGTTTGAAGTCTTTTATTATCGCAGTTTCTTGAGACCTGGTTCCTGGTCACGTCACCGCTTATTGTCCCTTTGCCGCATATGACTCATTCATGTCGCCAGGCCTGGTCGGCTGCATCGAGCATCAACGGCATCGCTGACCTTCCTCCTTCGACTAAAATGGACGACGTTGTCCAGATACCCAGAACAGGCGGCGTCCTTCGGTTATCAAATTTTGGGGCGCTGGCGCTGGTGAGCTAGACTGGTCGGATGTACGCATGCGCTCGGGGTGCTCAATTAGGAAGCCGAGGAGCTGGTATCGTGTGCTCGGGGGGCTGGAGGGTAAGCAGGAAAAGCCCTTGGACAGATCCTTCACTTCCGTCTCCTCCCTTTTCCCTTTCACACCCCATTGCACTGCCTGCCTGTCTGTCCCACCTCGTCTCCATGTCCCCCCTTCACAGACTCGGTCAAGCAGCTCCATAGCGGCCTCCCTGCCGGGTAACCGAATACCCGCGGGTCTCGACACGCCCACCTGCCTGCTGCCCCAACCGGGAGCTGTACCCCAGGGGAAGGGCTACGCCTCAGCTCGTCCTGAATGCCTGACCGTCGTCGGCCTGCCCGGCGAAGACGCGGCTACCTTCATCCCACTTGACATCGAGCCGTACGAGCCGGCTATGGATGCCGTACAAGCTGCCGCCGTACAAGCCGCCGCAGCGAATGCAACGCCTCGAACAGACGCTCTACCTCTCGGATCCGATTCCCTTCCGCCCCAGCATTCGTCACAGCCTCCATCGCCTCCTTCCACGGCCGGCTCGCCCCATGCCACGGCCTCCTCGCCCCCTTACCTCGGGGTCGTGCCTAGACCACCCGCGGGCGCGGCTCCCGCCGCCCGCCGTTCCCTGGGGCGCCACCCCCTGCACCTCCTCGCCTCCCCGAGCAGCGGTACCGGTAGCGGCACCCACACCATATCCGCCGGGGTCCCGCCAACGCCTAAAACACCGCCGTCAGCGCTCACCTCCCCGCAAGCCTCAATCGGGCCGAGTACCCCCGCCGGTCTGGATGTCTTTGCTGCTGCTTCGCCTGCCACCATTGACACCCCCCACCTCAGTGGCACCGCCGCCTCCTCCTGCGCCTCCTCTTCCTCCTCCTCTGCAGCGGCGGCGGCGGCAGCGGCAGCGGCCGCCTATAATGCTGACTGCTGCAGCAGTAGCGGCAGCAGCAGCGGCGGGATCTCCAAGTCCACCCTAGCCTTCCTAGACCCCACCAAGCCGGCCTTGCGACGACGTCTTCCGCCGCTCTGGCGGGCGACCAACGCATTGTACGACAGCCCTGCGGGCGCTGACGTGTCGCCACCGTCGCTTGCCACCCTCACCGGCGGTGGTAGCGTTAGCGGCGGTATCGATGTCCCAGCCCTTGGTTACGGCGGGGCTGCAGCCGTCCCCTTGCCGTCCCCGTCTGCCCCCCCCGCCGGGGGGTGCAGTGCAGGCAGTGCATGCATGGGCGGCGGCTCTGTGCTAGGTAGCCGCCCCAGCGGCGGCGGCGCCTCCACAACCTCGTATGGTGGTGGTGGTGGTGGTGGTGGTGGTGGTGGTGGTGGTGGTGGTGGTGGTGGTGGCGGTGGTGGTGGTGGTGGTGGTGGTGGTGGCGGTGGCGGGGCGCTCAGTAGCACTGCCAGCGGCTCGAGCTGTATCAGTACCGCCAGCAGTCTCAGCAGTACAACCGCCAACGGTAGCAGCATATCGAACAGCAGCAGCGGCGGCAGCGGCAGCGGCGGCGGCGGCGGCGGGAGCACTTCGGCGCTGCTGCTGCTTACCGGTCCGCTGCTGTCTGCTGAGGAGCTTCTGAGCGAATCGCCCAGCGACCCGCTTCAACCCGTTGCTGCTGCTGCCCCAACTCCAAGAACAGCAAACACCGAGCAGCAGCAGCAGCAGCTGTCATCGCAGCAGTCTTACCCCCATCCGCCACCCTCACCGCCGCCCCCGCTGCTTCTATCGCCTCGCTCTTCCCCTGACGGCTTGCGCGGTCCCTCTCCCTCCTCCTCTCCCACCCCCTGCACCTTGTCACCTCCGCCGGCTCGCCGCTCGCTCACCCGACGAAGCAGCACCCTCAGACAAGGCCAGCCCGAACTGGGCACCCTAGTTTCGAGCCTGGAAGAGGTTGAGGGTGACGTCACGGTGCTGCCAAGCCCAAACAGCTTCATCGCGGGGGGCAGCTCCTGGCGTCGCGGGCAGATGCAAATGCTGGGCGGAGGGCCGACTGACGGCGGCTCGCCGGGCAGGCAGTTGGTGACGGGGGTTTCCGCCCTCAGCTGCGATGGCGGCAGGAGAGACATGGGCGGGGAGGTCGAGGGGGAGGGCGAGGGCGAGTGCATTCTGTTGGGCAGTGGGATGCTCTTGAGTCGTGCGGGGTCCCGTCGGGCGGTTACTTCTGTACATACTTCGGATGGGGGTGCGGCGGCGGGAACTAGCAGCGGCAGCAGCAGCGGTAGCAGTGGCGGCGGCATGGGCGGGAGGCAGGTGCTGCACTCGTCGAGCCTGTGTGGGCGGAGTTTCGTGTTGCCTGCTGCCAGCCGGGAGGCTGCTGGGGGGGCGGCTGCTGGTGGGGGTGTGAACGGTGGCGGCAGTATCAGCAGCGGCGGCGGCGGCGGTGGAGGTGGTTGGGGCGGCGGAGGTGAGTTGGGCCCTGATACATTGCGAGAGGGGTATGGTTTTGTATTCAGAGCTCCTGCCAAAAGCAACCTGCTGCCACCCAACCATCCCAGCCCGCTGCGAATAGTCCCCGCAACCCGCCATGAACGCTGCCACCATGCCTTGCAGAGCGGGTGCCCTCCGCCCGACCCGAGTTGACATCTCCAGGTGGAGGGGGAGGGGGCCTCACCAGTGCGCCCGGCCGCACGGGGGCTCCCCCGGCGGCACTGCCTCCCATCGGGGACCGACGACAGACATCCACTTGACGTCCCATTCATCGAGCTTCATTTCTCCGGCTTGTTGGTTTTGTTTTTGGGTTTCTAAAGGGGAAGTACAGGGAGTTACAGGGAGACGGGGTGCCTGGCTTGGGCCTGATGTGTTGCGGGCACATGCTGTTTGTCGTGTGCGTTTGTTACGTTTTTCGTTCGTTCAGTGTCCAGCTGCTGCTGCTGTCCTTCTGTCAACAGGTCACATACGTTTGTGTCAGCTGGGCAACGGGGTTTGTGCCGCGGTTGTGAGAGTGCGGCACTGCTACCGTCGTGATGGCTGGTGGGTGGTGGTTCCATGCACGCGTGTTGCATCATGCAACAACAGCAACAATGCTGCTCCTTGAGCGTCAGTGATCAGAGAACTTAATCCGAGTGGAGTGGAGTGGTGGGGGTGGTTTTGTCCGCGTTTAGGACTGGACGGGAGGGGATGGGGGGTTGCGAAACACACAACACAAGTATCATGTGGCTATCTATGTTGTGTGTCGCTGCAACCAGTAGTACAATGATGCATGCGTGTGTGGCTGGCGTGATTCATACGTGCCCCACGTGCCCATACGTGCCCCACGTGCCCCGCGTGACGTTACTTGGGGATTACGTTACGTTCTCCCTCGAGGGTAAAAGTCCTGAATCCTTCCTCTGATGCGGTTGTGTGCCCACGCATGCGAGAGGGGACAGGGCTTGTCGCATGCTGCTATTAATGCGGCCCTAACTTCTTGCGTGGTTTTGCTCGATAGCTGCCCGTGCGGGACAACCAAATGCGGTTATGGACGCTGTTAGTAATGTGTGGAACAGCGTCCGTGTCCGCGACATGCTTTGGAATACTGGAAAGCAGGAAACGCTGGTTGCTGCGGCAAAGTAGGTTTGGTTGGCCGTGGCCCGCCTCGCAAGGATGATGGCAGGAGTCCCCTGTGTCCATGGTTGCTGGTTGATTGTTGCTGGTTAAATGAAGAAATCCCAGTTGGGTTGAACTGTGTCGGGCAGCCGAGTGCCAGCGGTGGCGGAGGTGTGTTGTGGAAAGCCTTCGCTCCCGTCTGTCAACTCGACCCATGCAGGGTGTGTCGCATGTGGCGCGCGCATAAGGTAGAGGTCTGACGGGACCATGCATGGCCCTCTGACGGGGGGTTCGGGGCTGCGGACTGTGCACGATGCCCCTCCCTGGCTAGGTAAGGCTGCCGCATAGCCTTTCAGTCGCCTCGTGATGACTTCTGAGCCGAGGGGTTGCGCGCTTGTCCTCACGTGTGTAGTTGAGTAGGACACGAGCAAGCAATTGGGATAGCTTCGCATGTGAACCGCGAGTACAGGCAAAACAGAGGTGACCAAACCCGAAACGCATGTCCTCACGTGGGTAGTTGAGTCGAGGATGGCGGGGCCCCTCTCTTGCTGCGATTACTGGGAACGTGGTCACTGGTAACGTGATGCCTTTGGGAAATGGAACGTGGGTCATGAAGAGGTATTTATGGTGAGGTGGTTAGCTTGTTGCACTTGTTGTAGGATTGTGTTTGGACGCTGATTGCTTCGCCTGCTTGCTTGTGAGACGTTTTGAAGATTGCGGGGAGGGCTGCGGGCGTCTGTCATACGCGCTGTGAGCTCCTTTCGCCGCCTTCAATAGGCCATGAATGTGGTTTGGATGTGGCCTGTTAGACATGAATGTGGTTTCGGATGTGGCCTGTGAACACTGCTTTCAGTGGAATACTGAGAGAATGAGAATGATGGGGCCTTTTCTGGGGGTGGTGGGAGTCCGAATGGGAAACAAACAAAAGACGGTGAACGACGATGCGCTGGATGGGATAACGTTTTCGAGGCGATCGCATCCTTTAAGGAACGGTTTGGATGACAGGTCAGACGACGGCATGTGTGCATGCATGTATCCTACCCTTCTATCCCACCCTGCTTGCCTGCTACCCTTTTGTATATGTCCGCTTACCTGCGGCTGCCAAAAGAGGAGACGTAACTCTACTGACGCTTTCGTGCGTGGTTCAGGGAAGGGAAGGGCGCTCTCAGCCTTGGTGTATGACACCTAGTGCACACGCGAGCCTTAACGGCATGTTTCCTTTTGGACGTCCCGGGCAGGAGGAGAAGGAGCATGGCAGGTAGCAGCAGGGAATAAGACGGATCAGACTTTTCTGCGGACGGTTGGGTGCAGGGCTGTGCGAGTAGTACTGCCATTTGTGCATGCTTGTGATCTGGGTTTTCCTTCTTCTTGAAGAGAGAGAGAGAGTGAAAGAGAGCGCTTAAGGTTATTCGGTTGGGCAGTTGGCAGGAGGCATTGAAGGGAGAGGGCTGTGCGGGCAGCAGCTTGTTCTTCAGCAGCTGCTGGGGGTTTTCCCTCCAGCTTGCCAATATTCATTAGGGGATAAGAGGGGCGCGCACGCTGTGAACGGTGCGTATGCAAGTAAGTAGGGCATGTGTGGGAATAATAAATACACCAACTCCGCACATTCGGGGATGTCCTTTTCTAGCAATTAGCACGCATCTACTTCAATTTCAGCGGGGGAGGGTGTCTATGCGTGTTATGCCTCGTGTTGCGTTTCAGGGTAGTTGGTAAAGAATGTGGGCGGGCAGGGGAGGCAGGGGGCTGTCAATAAGTCAGGTTTAATGGAGCCGTTGTTGTGCTTAAGACATGAGGTTGCTGCTTGTTGCCGCTGTGGGAGCCCCCTTGTTGCTCCCGTTTACTTCCCTGTTGTTTGGCGTTGCCTGGTTTCACCCTACCGCATCTCTTAAATAAGTAATATTTGTACTGTGTTAATGAAGCGGCGAAGTTTGGATCGAGTTTGGATCAAGAGTTTGGAGTACGGTATCTTGGTCAATCATCTTTTTCTACCCTACTACCAACAGATACAACTTCCCTCCTGGGCAGTCCTTTTGAGGGCGCACAGGCACACACACACACACGCATAAGCACACACAGGGGTTTCATTCCTCCCTCTGCAAGCTCTGTGTGTGTGCCCGCCATACCTCAACGCATGGGGTGTTATCCGTACGTACTGCATTGCCATGTGTTTCGATGTTTAGCGGCTGCGGCGGCTGCAAAGGCCGGGAAAGAGCTCCGGAATTTGGTCAACGTCCATCACTTGGCTGGCTGCATAAGCCACACGGCCTTGCCTCGGCCTCAAAATGCTTCTGGGTCACCATTATTGTTTCAGGATGGAAAAGTAGCTTCTGTAACACTTAAAATGTTTTCCTTATTATACGCCCAGATGACTGGGAGGGATACGTCTGTGCCCCCCTCCAAATCGCATGTCCGGGCAACGTCCTTGGTCCCAACAGCCATGTGCGCCTGCCGGGCCCCATCCCGCTTTGGGAAGTGTTTTCAGCGTCAACTCCCCTAGCGGTGCTGTGGCTGCGGTTCCGGCCATCAGAGACTTCACACCCGTATTACAATTTTCCGGCAGGGCCACGAATGACTCACCCAGGGACGATTGCGGTCAGAGGCTCTTCCGACACGTTACACCGCACACGTGCAGTGTCCATTGTATCATTACGCGGCTGAGATGCTGTTTCAGAAGTGCGTGGATGGCTCAACACACACCATGCATGGGTTCAAGTGAATGCAGCTCTCAGTCCAGTTGATTGTTATCACACTCATGTGATGGGGCTCATAGCGACCCACGGGTCGGCCCGACAAGGGAGCATGTCTGCCTCGCTAGTCACTACACAGGCAACCATAACAAAGAAGACGTGGAGCATGGACATTCAATTTTGCATACCAGTACTTAAAAACATCTTACTTATCATCTGCCACCCTTCATTCTTCCCGTGCCGTTGCTAATGTTACATACATCGAACGGATGACTATTGCATCAACTATAGCACCAGCCAGCCAGCCAGCCAGCCGACCAGCCAGCCAGCCGACCAGCCAGCCAGCCAGCCAGCCAGCCATCCTTGCACCATTGCCGCATCCCGCAAGCGTCTCCCAATCATCCTCTCTTCTTCGCATCACCGCCTCACCACTCACGCATCCTCCTTTCCGTCACCCGCCCCATTTGCGCCGCCCCGTCTAAACGCCCCACGACACAATCGAAAGAGAACCGCATGCATGCACGCAAGCGCAAGTTCATTTTATTTCCCTCCCCAGCATCGCATTGCACTCCCTTCATTCCGCCACACCCCCTCCTCCGCTCCTCCTCCGCTCCTCCTCCGCTCCTCCTCCGCTCCTCCTGTCTGGCGCACACTCCACCCCGCCTCTGCTTTCCTCTCATCGCCCTTCCTGCGCTTCACACCTCCCCCCTCTCGCCCTCTTCCCTCTTCCGTCCCTCCCTACTGTTCCTGTCATCCTTCGGCTCTCCCGCCCGCCCTGACTAATGGTGGAGCATTAGTACGATTCGGCTGGTTCCCTCTCTCCTTCCCTCCCCCCTCCTGCCTAGCCCCCCCCCCTGTCTCCTAGTCCACCAATCGCACCTCCCGAAGGTCCTTGAACGTGTCCCGCACCGCCCCCTGCACACCCTTGCCAATGGCGGGGGGCCCGCGGTACCTACTAGGCAAGAGTCAGGGGGGGGGGGCAGATTCCAGCTTTGGCGGCAGGGGCGGATTAGGTTAAATGAGGTGAGGGCAGGAGTGGTGGGCTCCCTATAGCTTATAGGATATGGCCCTCCCTCCCTCCGCTGCACACCCGCGGCGAGCGAGCGAGTGACGGTGGGCGACCCAGGGAGGGAGCACTGCACTGCACTGCACCTACACAGCATGCGAACATACATGCAAGCACCCAAGCGTGGGTGTTTTTACACAAACCCCCTCTTCCCTCCCCGCCACCCCCGCCCCCCACCTCAGCGTGCACACGCCTCCCTCCACCCCCAGCACCTCCACGCTGCCCCCCAGGTTGCTGATGGCGCCCCGCAGCATGTTGAGCGCCGCATCCACCCGGTCGGGGGTGGCGCCGGAGGGCTCCGCGGCCCCCAGCTGCACGATGTCGCGGACCTGTTGGGGGAGGGCAGGGGAGGGGGGAAGGCGGGAGGGGGTTAAAAGGCAGGGCAGGAAAACCATGTGGCCAAGGTAGCACCATGTAATCAGGGGGAAGAGGGCTTCGCTGCATACATCAGTAACATGTCGCGGGCGGGGGGGGGAATTAAATAAGTGAAACAACGAGTCCCAATCCCATATCCCGACGCATGCAGTGAGCCACTGGAGGGGGCGAGAGCGAGGTGGGAGAAGGGTTAGACGGGGAAGCTGTGCAGTCAGCGCAACCCCCCAACATCGCTCACATTCATCCAGTCGGGACAACCACGCCCCTCGTCCCACTCGCCTCCTTCCTCTGATCCTCTCCCTGCTCTCCCCCCACCCATCCCACTCCCCCCACCCATCCCACTCCCCCCACTCATCCCACTCCCCCCACCCATCCCACCCACCCCCCAACCCCACCTGCCCCCCGAACGTCTGCATGATGACCCGCTCGATTCCTCCCTTCATGGTTGCACTCTGGCTGGGGCAGGTGCTGCAGGCGCCCTGCAGGCGCAGGTACACGGTCCCTTCGCGCACCTCCACCACCTCCACATCGCCCCCGTCGGCTAGCAAGTAGGGCCGGACCTGGGGGGAAGGGGGGGAAGGGGGGGAAGAGGGGTGGGACGTGGGAGGGATACATATTCCGCATGGAGGGCAAAGGGGGAGGGAACATGTAGGCTTCGCCATGGGGTTGGGTTGCAACATGGAAGGGGAGGTGGGGAGGGAGGGGACCACACATCTACAACACCTGCAGCATTACCACGAGTGCCGTACCACCACCACCCCACCCCACCCCCACCAACCCCCCACGTACTGGCTTGGCTAATTCGGGCTGGGCGGGTCGGGCTGGCTCACATGTTGCAATCCTTGCAAACCATGATGACGCCTTATCACACGGTCAGTTAGTTGTTTCCTCTTTACCCCACCAACCGGCGGTCGTACCCACCTCCTCGAGGGCCGTCTGCACCGCCTCAACCGTCAACAACGGCTGCTGCTGCTGCTGCTGCTGCCGCGCCGGCTTGCCTGCACTGCTGCTGCCGCTGCTGCCACCCGCAGCAGCAGCAGCAGCAGCGGAAGCCGCACCTCCGGCCTCAAAGGGCGATACGATGCCACTCTCGCCGCCTCCTGTGTTGCTGCTGCTGCCTGCCTCTCCCCCACTGCCGCCACTGCTGGCATTATCTTCACCTCCGCCACCACCGCCTCCGGACGCTGCTCCCTCCGTCTCTCCACTACTACCGCCCGCTGCTGCTGCTGCCGCTGCTCCCAGCGCCTCCTGTGTTTGCGCGTGTATGACGGCGGACCAGTCACCTCGGTCCATGGCCCGCATGAGCTTCAGCCTGGGGTGGGGGAAAGGAGGTAAGGGAGGTCGAAGACCGAATACCGAACCATAGGAAACCACAGGTTGGGGCAAAGCAATGGGGGTAGGAGGCAGCAGGGCGGTGCGGCAGGGGGCGAGCGCGGCCGGGCGGGGTCAACTGACGGCCAGTGACTTCGGCTTGTGCGCACATTGCGAGCAGGCGGGCGGGCGGGCGGGAGGGCGGGCGGGAGGGAAGTGCAGATGTGGGGAAAGAAGCACAGCTACCAGTACAGTGCGGCATGTGTGTTGGAGGTCGGCTGGGACCGGTACACGGAACCGGCACTACCTCACCTGCGAGTGGCTAGGTCATCTTCCTCCTCCTCCTGCTGCTGCTGCTGTTCCGGCTGAGGTGCACTGCTGCCACTGCCTCCCGGGACCTCCGCCAGCTTCTCACCCATAGCCTGATTAGGAGAGGGAGGGCGGGAGATGAGATGGAGGGGACACACAGACGAGCCCTGAGCTCCTCAGCTCCTCAGCTCCTAAGTCAGCACGTATCGCGGCTCAGTCCTCCTAATCCCCTCCCTCTCCCTCCCACCCTGGTCCTCCCCCCCATGTTGCAAACCATGATGACGCCCTATCACCCGGTCAGTTAGTGGTTGCCTCTTTCACCCCTCCAAACCTTCCGCAGCTTCAGCCGCTTCTCCTCGTACGCCGCTAACTCCCCCGCCGACATCAGCCGCCGGTCCAACACCGCAGGACCCGCCAGCGAGGGGGAAACACCCCCCTCTGGCCCCACTCCTCCCTCCGCCCCCTCCGCACCCGCACCCCCCTCGCTGCTGACCCCCTCCCATGCCGCCCGCAGCTGAGGCTGGGTGTTGCCCGGAGGGGCCACCCCGCCCATCAGCTCCGAAACCCAGTTCGCCACGCCGCGCTCCAGATTGGCACGTGAGGCCATGGCACGGTTGCCGTACACCATGACACGCACATGGGCACACAGATCGGGGCCCACTCGGGCTAGGTGGCCCTGGGGGTGTTGGTGGTTGGGGCGGTGGTTGAGATGGTGGTTACGCGCGTGTTGAATTGACGGAGCAGCGAAACTGACAATGACCGCCTTCAGTGGTCGTGCGTGTGTTAAGAAAACTGGCCGCGACTCGGAACGTACTGTGTGTTAAGAAAATTGTGTGTTAAGAAAACTGCCGCAAGTGTGGAGTGCCACCCGCGTCCTTTGGAGCGCCTAACCCGCGCCCCCCCTATAGCCTTTGTCGTACCTTGATCGCCAGCACCATGTTGCGAGAGTAGCCGATGTACTGCGGAGCGAGATCCTTGTCGTACAAGCAGTACACGCCGAGTGGTTTCTCGCCGTCCCGCGACTCCAGGTAGGCGGGCACGGGCACCAGCAGGCCGCCCTCGTCCTCCTCCTGGGGGGGGGAATGGGGGATTAATTGATTGTCCACGGTGTTATTGTAATGTGGGCGCACGATGCTGAAAGGTACCCTTCCGCTTGCGGTCCTAGTAACCGGAGTGGACGTTATAAATCAGTTGGCGGTGGTGTGTGGTGGTCATGAGGGCGTGATCCTACTACAGGAGCGGTTGGATCTGGGATGGATTCTGCTGGGGGGAGTTTGGAAGATTCACGCTGTGCTTACCTTGCGGACGGTGTACGACTTTCCCTGGTCGTGCTCCTCGGCGCCTCCTTCGCCGTACAGAAAGCCGTGTAGACCCTTATGCGCCTCCGGAACGGAGTTGTTGTCGACCACAGATACCGCAAAAACGGCAGCTTGCTTGCTGATCGCAGCTAGTGTTACATTCCGCACAGGCAGGAAAGCCGTGAAGCGCAAGCGCTTGGTGGCAGCGCTTGTAAATGCTGTGGGAGTGCACGAGTCGACGATTCGCGGGCTTAGTGTCCGATTCATAGTAAGAAGTAGTATAGTGCACAGGTTTGTAAGGTAGTGCGTTGCATTTAGAGACAGCCAAGCCAATGCCGGTGCGTATCAAAGGTCGATCATCTGTAGTACATTCGGGCGGTCTGCATGATGACGAAGCATGCCTTTCACAACGCACTCGTTTAAAGTATTGACTTTACTGACTATGCCGTGATTAATTTAATGCACTTTAGCACGCGAGAGGCCTGAGGCAACGTGTACTTAGCTTCGGAAGTTCAACTGTTGTGACAGATACTTAAAATAGAACAAGTTGCATATTTCCCCAGTGATATTTCTTGCGATGACAATGAGCTTGTATCCATTGCACGCTTTCTCCCGGCTGTCGATTACCGCGAGGCCGGGTCCCTTCATGTCACGCAGTCAAGCCTAGTAACTAAGCAAGGGCCATATTTAAGTTTCTGTTGATTATAGCCTTACTGAGTCAAACAAGTACTAAAAAATTGTCACCATGGGCGCAATCATCAATAGCGCCAACGTCAAGGCGCTCCTGTACGGTCTAATGAATGTGGTGTCTGCTTCAGGTAGGGAACGTATGTTGCTGGCCTGGGCGTTCTTTGGGAGTTGCAGGGCTTTTTGGCAACCAACAGTGCGCGTTACACCCTATGCTAACAATCCAAGCTGATACACCCCTCCTACCTCCTTCCCCACTCTCCTTAACCCTCCATACCGCTATCCTGCACATACCGCCCCTTCACCCGGTCTGCCTCGAACCGTTCACCCAACCTTCCTCACGTCTTTTTCAACACAACCACTCCATACCCAACAACCGTAAACCTCCCCCACACCCCCACTGCATGAGTCGGGATATGTGATTGGGACTCGTTGTTTCACTTATATAATTCTTTTCCCAAGTGCCCCCAACTAAGGCATCCCCCATGACAGTCACGACAGCTCACTTATTCATTTTTCCCCACACCCCCACACCCACACCCACCCCACCCCCGTCTCCGCCCCTCCCTCGCCCAGGCATTGTCTTCGCCAACAAGGCCGTTTTCAAAACGTACGACTTTCACTTCACGTACGCGCTCACCTGGATCCACACGCTCTTCACGCTGCTGGGCATGCGACTGTTTGCGGCGGGCGGCATGTTCGCAGTTAAGTCCATTCCGCAGCGCCGGCTGGCGCCCCTGGCGGCTGCCTACGTGGCGTACATCGTGCTGTGCAACCTGAGCCTCAAAGTCAACACAGTGGGGTTCTACCAGGTGGGTGGGAAGGGGTGAGGGGAGGAGGGGTGGGAAGGGGTGAGGGGAGGAGGGGTGGGAAGGGGTGAGGAATGGGGCGCGGAGCAAGGGTTGGATTGGGCTGAAGTTGGCAGGGAGACTTCCCGCTCCTACCAGGTGGGGGGTGTGGGGGTTGCGGAGGGATGAGAACTGGGGGGCGGAGCTGAGGGCCGAGCTGAGTGGGGGCTTCTCCCTGGCTCCATAACACTCCCAGCGCGGCCGTTCTCCCTCCTCCCTCACCCCACACCCTCACCCCCTTCCACCTCCCGCACCCCCTCCCTCCCAGGTCATGAAGATCGCGGTGGCCCCCACCGTCATCGCGCTGGAGCTGCTGCTGTTCCGCCGCATCCCGCCCGCCCGCATCGTGGCCAGCGTGCTGGTGGTGTGCGGCGGCATCGGGGTGGCGACGGCGGCAGACAGCCAGGTGGCGACCAACCTGCTGGGGATCGGGGTGGGGCTGGGGGCGACGGTGATGACGGCGCTGTACCAGATCTGGGCGGGCAGCAAGCAGAAGGAGCTGCGGGCGAGCAGCATGCAGCTGCTGCATGCGTACACGCCGCAGGTGGGAAGGGGTGGGGGGGGAGGAATGTAGGGTGTTGGGTTAGGCTGGAGGTTAGGGGAATGGCAGGGGTAGTTTACGAGGCTTGGGGGCGGGGGTTGGCATACCGCTGATGCTGTGTTCTTGTTTGTACATTCCATGACGTTTAACACTCGACGCAAACCTCCTACCTGCCGCCTCCCCACCACCACCACCACCGCAGGCCACTCTCATGCTCGGCCTGCTCATCCCCCTCTGCGAGCCCATGGGCTGGTCCCCCGTCTCCGCACCGCCCAGCGCCGCGGGCGTCCCCGCACCCGCCCCACAACGCCCGCTGGGCACCCTGCTGGCCTACCACTACACACCCGCGGCGGTTGCGGCCATCTTGCTTTCCGCGGTGCTGGGCCTGTTGGTCAGCCTGTCCACCTTCCTGGTTATCGGCGCCACCTCCAGCCTGACGTATAACGTGGTGGGGCACCTGAAGACGGTGATTATCTTAACCGGCGGGTGTTTGTTCTTCGGGGATACCATGCCGCTGAAGAAGTTTATTGGCGTGTGTATAGCCATGGCGGGGATTGTTTGGTACACTCAGCAGAAGCTGGTGTCGGCGAGTGGGGGTAGCGGCGGCGGGGGTGCTGGTGGTACGGCAGCGGCGGCGGCGGGAGCGGGGAGTACGGCAGGTGGTGGTAATTCGCCGCCGTTGCTGCCGCTGTCGTCGGCGCCGCCGATCTCCGTCAAGTCGGCGTTCACGGCGACGGTGGCGAGGAGCCGTACGGCAGCGGTGGCGGCAGCCGCCGCCGCTGCATCTGCGGGCGCGAGTGGGGGTAGTGGTGCGGGTGGGGGTGGGGGTTCGGGCGGCATGGGGGGGTCGGGAGCGGGTGGGGGTGGGGGTGGCGGGGGGGATGTGGCGTTGTCGATGAACGGCTACCCGCACCCGCACAAACGGTGAGGGACGCACTTGGTAGAGGACATGCGGGCAGCGGAGGGTGACATCGGCATCCAGGGTGACATCGGCATCCGCAGCCCGGCTCTCGGTGTAGCAGCCCTCCATAGAACTAGGGGTCCCCAAAGGCCACTCGAGATATCGTTAGGCGTTTTTACCCTTTAGACTCTTATACTGTTTTACTGTTTAACTGTAGCCTCGCTACAGCTGCCCAGTTCTCGCGGTGGCAGCCCAGGCTGGCATGCTTGGGTGCGGCTGTGGTGGTGGCGTTGTGTTGGGGTTGGTGTTATGGAGTTGCTAAGGCGGGGCGATGGGACAATGTGCTAAGGAAGGCGAGGGCCGGGTGCGTGGGACGGTAAGGGGGCCGCCGGTGGCCATCTTAATGTGAATGAAGGGGGCGTGCACGAAGGGGAGCTGTTGGGCTAGAGGCCGGGGGGCGCATTACTACAGAAGTCCGGATGTGTGACCTCCCACAGGTAGATGTTGCAAATCTTGACAAAGGGTGGGAACACACAGCCGTCTATGTGGCTGACGCTAAGAGCTCGAAGCGAACTTGCTGCGGACGCCCAGCCTTGCCCAGGTCTTGCGGGGGAACTGAAGGGATGTTGCGATGTTAAGACACATGATTGGCGCGGCAGATGGGGCAGGTAAGCAAGGCAGGAAGGCCATGCAATGGGAACGTTGGGGGCACACAGCTGTTCGGGTTTTTTTGTAAGAGCCGCATAGGACGTTGCTTGCGCACGGGGCAATGAATGCGCAATCCCTACTTGCCGTGTTACTGCAGCTGTCTTAGGAAGCGCGGATTACACTGGAGGACCAACCAGTCTTAGGCCCATCAATACGGGGTACGGCTTCATGAGACGCGTGTGCATGGCCGTACATATATAACATGCATAATGCAGATGTAAAGCAGCCAGTAGCTCAGTACACGTAGGATTAAGCTGCGCCGAAACAGCTCTCCTATAGACATGCCAGACTGCACATCCGGCGGCTTTTGGCGACGGGTTGTGAGTGAGAGACGCTGAGTACCGGTCAGTGCGCTGCTAGGGGACCAGAACACCAGGGTTGTCTTCAGCGGAGTTGATCGTAAGTGTGGAAGAGGGCATGCATGGCAGCGTGCTTTCCCAACCGGCGAAGTAAAAGGGGACTGTTTTTTGGTGCTACGGGGTGTTTTAATCCCCTCGGTCTTGTTGTAACCTGGTCTAGCTAGCTAGCTTGGCATTCGTACCTTCCGATGAATGATCAGCGATTATGCAGGGGAGACGTGCATACAGCTGCGTGCTCGGCCGGATGGTGAGCAAGAACTGAAGAACATAAGTTCATAGACGTCGTGCGTTGTCAACTGACAATTGTAAACCATACGCCCCGTTGCTCATCACCAAGCACACCCACAAGCGGTTCTGTATAATAATAAGGACAGAATATTATTAACGTTGGGCACTGCTGACAGTAGGGTTAACACGTTATTCGGGCACGAGCCCGCTTTCCTGACACCCAGCAACACTAATACTTTGACATCCCTACCCACTTCCTTCCCATACCGTGATCCTTTTCGATAATACTGTGAGCGGAATTTGTTTGTCAGAGATGGTGAATGAAGCAGTTGCGGTATCTTTGACGGCGGGCTGAGTTGGGGTCTGCTCCTATGGCCATGGAGTCCAGCAAGGGCAAAAACCGTAATGGAGCAAACGCGGTCAAAGCGAAGACGTTTTCGATAACTGATGGGCGGGAGGTGGTCGCAAAATTACGCACCCTCCAATTGGACGGTGTAAATCAGCAGGCGCTTGCGACCAGCATTGCTCTATTTAGTAAGCAGCTAAATAGCTATGAAAACTTGCTTGGCGTGCAAGCTTCTCTGGCGAATGGGCTCAGCAATGGCGAGGCTTTAGCAGACCGTCGCGCGGGTTCGTCCAGCGTACTGCTACCGGGAGCAGACCCCAAGCCTGCACATGACGTCAACACCCTCCCAGACGTATTCTCGGTAGCCGACCCCGCGTTGGACCCCGAGCATGTCCGAGCTTTAGCTTGGCATGCAAACTGCCCCCAGGAAGCAGTCCGAAAGGAGCTCCGTGCCTTTCAGAAGGCTTGCAGTGACCGCCTCTCCCTGGCTGCAAAGCGGATAAAGCTCAGCGAACAGGACTCGCCAGCGACTGGCGCCAAGCCCATGCCACGGGTCCCGAATGGCTTCACTCCATCAGCCATCCGGAGCGCCAGCAGCCCCGCTTCAATCCCCAGCGGCGGCAACACACAGCGCCACCACAACAACCAACAACATCAATATAAAAAGCAACAGGATCTGCCGCCTGCAGGGTGCACTGTCAGCCTGGACGCCGTCCATGGCGCGACAGATGACTATGCAGCCCGTACGGCCCAGCTAGCCAAGCTGGAAACCCTGCTGTCTCCCGAGACAGGTGGCATCAGGGGCACGCCGTTTAGCACGGTGAGCCGCTCTCATCGGAGTCAGCGCACTTGCCTCCCTGCTGCAGTTCGCTAATCCGCACTCTCTGTCTACCTACCTACCTCCTTTCCCAACCCCTTCCCTCTTCCTCCTTGCCCTCCCCTCCCCTCTTCTTCCTCTTCCTCTCCTTCCCTCCCTCCTCCCCGCCTCACGCAGGTGGGCATGTTCCAGCAGCTGCTGCTGGGCTGCTGCGGAGACTGGTCTGTACGGCAGGCGCTGCTGCGGGCGCTGTGCCGTACCGCCCCCGATGTGAGCTGGCGGCTGCTGCAGAGCTCCCGAGTGCTGGAGGCGCTGCAGGGATGGATGCAGGTGCGGCCGGGCGGGCGGGCTGGGTGCAGGGGGTGGGTGGGTGAGCTAGGTGTTAACGCAACTGGCCGCGGTCGCGTGTGGGGTGTGGGGTGGGTAGAAACCAAACCATGGGAAGCCACAGGTTAGGGCAGATGGGGGGGGGGACGATGGGTGTTGAGGAAGTTTAACCCCTCCTCCCTCCCACTTCTCACTTCACTTTGCCTGCTTCCTCCCTCCGTCTCCTCCCCTCCCCCCTCCTCTCCCCCCCCTGCCCAGGATGCCGTATCCGACCGTCAGGCCACCATGTTGCGACTGCTGCTGCACACGCTGGGGCGGCTGCCCATGCGGAGGGACCTGCTCAAGGTGGGTCTGAGGGGGAGGGGAGGAGAGGGCGGTGTTAGTGGGAGCGGTGTTGAGTGGGCGGGAGCGGTCTTGGAAGGGCGGGAGCGGGATCGGTGGTGGGGGTGGGGTTGGTGGCAGTGGGGTGCGCTGAAGTGTGTTTTACACATGGCGGGTTGGGTTCGCTCCTCCGCGCTCCCCTTCCTCTTCTCCTCCTCCTCTCATCTGAGGGTCCCACACGCACACGCACACGCACACGCACAGGGTTCCCGGCTGGAAGCGGCGTTGGAGGCCCTGGCTGGCAGCGGCGGGAGCGGTGGGAGCGGGAGTGGCCGGGGGCAGCGGACCACTGCAGGGGCGGGGGCAGCAGCAGGTGCAGCAGCAACAGCAGGTGGAGGTGCAGCAGCTGCAGGTTGTGATGGCGAGGCGTGTGCGGCTGACATGCGGCAGCGGTTCGGGAGTGCGGCTGCTGCGGTGCTGGAGGAGTGGCGGAGGGACCCGGATGCGGCTGCCATATTGAGGTAGGGAGGGAAGGGGGGGGGCCGGGGGGGGAGACAAAGGGACCGGAGGTGGGGGTCAAAAGAGGAAACAAACGACCTGTGTGACGAGGCTTCAGAGAGAGGGGGGTATAGAGTAGTAGGGGTTAAGAGAAAAGTATAGAGAGAGGGGGGTGCAGAGGGGTTGGTGGGGCTGCAACAGCCTGGATTACGGAACCACCCGCCCCCCACTACCGCCCCCCAACGTGTGTTGCATGCTTTTACTCTTCCCAACTCTTGTCATTCCCATCCGTCCCTCCTCCGCAGGCGGGCGGGCGGACTAGCTGCTGCTGCTGCTGCTGAGACGGCGGGAGCTCCCGTCCGCCCTACCACCAGCACCACCACCTTCTCCTCCAACGGCCCCACCTCCACCGCCCCCGCCAACAATACCGCCAGCTTCCCGGGTTCCCGGCTTCTGCTGGGTCCTAGGGCGGCAGCAGCAGCAGCCGGCGCTATGCGGCAGGAGGGAGGCAGTAGCAGTGGCAGCAGCAGCAGCCTTGCTCGAAAGCGGTTAGCGCCGTCATCGCTGCTGCTACAGCGGCAGCAGCAGCCGCAGCAGCAGCAGGACAGGGTTGGGGGGGCAACCGGCCGTGGAGTCGCCACTGACGGTGGCGGCAGTGAGAATGGGAGTGGAGGTGTACCTAGGCCGGCAGCGGTGCCAACAGCGGCGACAGCGGCAGCGGCGGTGGCTCCCGTTAGGGATATGACTGCTAAGCTGGGCGATAAAGGTGGGTCGGATGGGTCGCATGCAGGCACGCAAAAGGTGGGTCGGATGGGTCGCATGCAGGGCCGCAAAAGGTGGGTCGGATGGGTCGCATGCAGGGCCGCAAAAGGTGGGTCGGATGGGTCGCATGCAGGGCCGCAAAAGGTGCGCTGCGGGGATCGCGCTTATGTGCCTATGTGGGACACCTGGATTGCAGGAAATTGTGTAACTGGCTGGGCTGCTTGCGAGTTGGTATCACACAGGCACGGTTACACATGAAACCCGGCAGCCAGCCCCTCTCCTCGTCATTCCTGCCCCTCTCCTCTTCATTCCTGCCCCTCTCCTCTTCATTCCTGTCCCTCTCCTTTTCATTCCTGTCCCTCTCCTCTTCATTCCTGTCCCGCTCCTCTTCATTCCTGTCCCTCTCCTCTTCATTCCTGTCCCTCTCGTCCCCATGTCCCCACACTCCTGTGCCCGCATGCGTCATGCATGTGCCGCAGGAGGTCCCTCCAACACCCCCACGGATGTCGTGGTGGGGTTTCGGAGCCGCCTCGGAGATGGTTCCGTACGGCGGAGCCAGCTAATGGCCCCCGCGAGGACACCGGGTCGCATGCCACCCGCCAGCCCTCCGACTGCCTCCACCGCCACCGCCACCACCGCCGCTGCTGTCGCTGTCGGCGCATTTCCGCCCGCCAGCAGCACCCCTGGCGCCGCCAGCAGATCTGTAGACGCTGCCTCCGCCGGTGACGGCGCGATTCCTCCTCCTCCTCCCAGCAGCACCCCTGCCGCCAATGAGGTTGCCGAGCCGAGTGATGATCGTACGGCGCCTGGCTCGCCGCCGCCGCAACCGCAACAACCGTCACCGCAACCGCAAGTACAACGACCACAACAACTGCCGCCTAATCGCTTTGAGGACAGCCGCCCTAGAGGGACCGAGGGCGAAGCGGCGGCGGCATGTGTGGCGGATGCGGGTCTACCCACTCTTCCCACTGCGGTGAGGTCAACGTCGGCCTTCCCGCCGCCACCGCCACCGCCGCCACCGCCGGCGACCATTAACACCGCCGGCGGCACTGCTCCGACGTCATTTGCTGCGGCTGGAGAAGCAGCTGCCGCTGCTGGTCGTGCTGCGGCTGCGGAGGAGGAGCACGTGGATGCGGTTGCAGCTGCCGCCGCGGAACCTGACACGACGCCTGCGGCAGCGGAGGCAGCGCCGGCAGCGGAAGACGCGGAGACGGCGGAGGCCGACGTAACGGCTGCGGTGCCCTCAGCGGCAGTGGCAGAGGATTCTAGGGCGGCAGCAGCCTTACATGACGAGCGGCTGCGGGAACGGTGGGTGACTTGGGGTGATGTTTTGTGGTTGGATTGGATGTGGCGGAGGGGGGGTCATGACCTCAAGAACGTGGTGGGAGCGGCATGCGAGTGGTGTGTCGGGTTTGGCTGCCTCATGGTACGGCAGATGAGCAGTGTTGTGGGGTTCGTTTGCTGACATGTTGTTGTGACACACGGTGCCGCCGCAGGTGTCAGGAGACCCGTGGGTCGCTGCGGTTGCTTCTGGCGGAGGCGGGGAGGCTGCCGGAGGTGGCGAGGGCTGAGTTCCGCTTCAAACGGCGGCGGGAGGAGTATCGGGAGGTGAGGAGGGAGGGGTGATGCTTGCTTGCATGCATGGTGTTGGGGGCGATGCGAATGGTTGTGCGCGGAAATGAATGGTTGCGTTACAAGGATCCAGCTCCTTACCTTTACAAAGGATGCAACATGTATTGATATTCAAATTTTATAAGCTTCGTAAACTCGGGCGCGGTTTACGGTTTTGCTTCAACTCAGGCACGGATCAAGCAGCGGCTGCTTGAGGCGCAACGGCACCGGTCAGCAGCAGCCGAGGCAGCGGACGAGGGGTTGCGACCCAGCGTCCCATGGGTCACTCCTCCCTTGGATGTGCTGCTGCCTGCGGGCGACATCCTCCCTGCCGCTGGTGGGTGCGGTTGGGGCTGGGGGCAGAGACGGGCGAGGGGGGGGTTGCTGCTGCACGGAACAACGCCCTGCCCTGCTGCCGTACACATGTTGCATGTTATCGCATGTTGTCAACGTCATCCTGGTGGTGCCGCAGGCGAGGAGTCCACGGAGCGGGAAGAGCAGGAGCGAGCGAGGCGGGTGGTGCCCAAGGTACGGCACGACGGCTCTGTTGGAACGAGCAGGGTACGAGCAGGGTACGAGCATGGCACGAGCATGGCACGAGCATGCGCATCTCCGTCTTCTTGAGTCCTCTGTCGTAGCTGCGTGTACGTTGCGGTACGGGCTCGCGTGTACGGCCGGGCGGTCTTTGACCAGGAGCAAAGAGCAATGATGAGCGCAGCGGTGCACGAGCAACGGAAGCTTGCTTGCGTGCCTCGGCCCCGTACGACCAAGTGGTCCTTAGAACCCCTAAACGTATCACCCCTTCTATCTTCACACGCCATACGTCTCCCTCTCCCCCTTCCTTCTACTGCCGCTTTTCCACCGAACCACAGGTCCGCTATGCCCGCTCGGATCTGGTGCCGCACTCCCCCGCCGAGCCGCCCGAAGAGGAGGTGGAGGGGCAGCAGCAGCAACCGCATATCGCGGGTCAGCAACAACAGCAGCAGGACCAGTCGCAGCAGCCGAGTGGGTACCTGCAGCGCTCGCCTGCACCATCCGCATTACCTTTTTCTTCTTCTGCTGCTGCTGCTCCTTCTCCTCCTCCTGGTGCTGCTGCGGGCGGCACTCCGTCCATCCCCTGGGTTCCCTCGTTGGACGCGGAGGACGGGGCGCTGGACTGGTGGCGTCAGAACCTGGCGGCCTGGGAGGCGGGTGTGAGGTTGCCGGGTGAGGCTTTCCCGCCTGCTTCCGCCTGACAACTACTCACCCATGCTACCCATGCTAACTCCCTCTCTCGCCCCCTCTCCGCCACTGCCCCTCTCTGACCCCCTGCCCTCCCCCCCGCAGACTACGCGCTGCCCCCCGCGGTGCTCCACCGCCACCTGGGGCTGCCCCCCGCCCTCCTGCCGCCGCAGTACGACATCACGGCAGCAGCAGCGGCCAAGAGGACAGAGGCTTCCCAGCCGCCCCCGGCGCCACCGTCACGGGCATCTTGGCAGCAGCAACAGCAGCCGCAGCTGCAACAGCAAGAGCAGCAACAGCAGTCGTTACAGGAGCAGCAGCTGCAGGCAATGAAGGCGGCACCGGCTCCACCACCTTCACCGGCACCATGGGAGCAACAGCAGCAGCGGCCATCAAACCAGCCGACAACAGCAACAGCACCGCCTCGACAACGACAACAGCAGCAGCAAAATCCTCCGCCTACAGGAGCCCCCGTTGCTGCCACAGCAGCGGCAGCAGCGGCAGCCCCGCATCGGCAGCCCAGGCCTCCCTCACCGCCGCCGCCTCCGCAGCAAGAGCTCCCTACTCCGCAGCCATCTCCTTCGCACCACCACCACCACCACCACCACCACTATCATCACAACATGCAGGCCGCAATGCCGCCATCGTCCCTACATCCGCATCCTTCGCACCCTGCACCGCCGCCGCCGCCGTACCAACGACCCAAGAACGCCGTGACCTGCTGCCAACTGGCTAGCACCGGTACCCTCCTGCAGCCAGCCCCGGCCTCGGCTGATGACCCGCCCGGGCCTCCTGCGGCGGACTCGGACTACTACTACCATCAACCAACCCCCGCATTCCAACAACAACAACCGCAGCAGCAACAACAACCGTTGCCGTTGCCGTACAACATGCAAGAACCCATGTCGTATACTCCGGATTTGCCCCCACAGCCTCCGGCTGTAGCACCTTCATTCGCGTCGGAAAGCGGCGTTGTCACCGGAACGTATAACCACGATAGGAACTTCCAGTTGCCGCAAATGCCCCCGCAACCCCAGGCGTACGGAAATGCCGAGCCCTTCCCGCCTCCTCAGACACGTAACTGGCCCGTGCAAACTTTACAACAGAACAACCAGCAGCAGCAAAGCCAACAACACCAGCAGCAGGAGTATCAAATGTCCCAAGTCTCTCACACCTTGCAAGCAACGGAGGTCCCGCAACCCCCTGTTGAAGCACCGCATGGCGCAGTCATGTGGCCCCCGCCGGCTCCTGACCCGCCACAAACCCCCTCTCTGTTGCTCCCGGCCTCGCTGCCCCCGTATCCTCCGCCACCGGTGCAGCAGGGACCCCCGCAGCTGCAGCACCTGCAGCATCCAACCCCGCAACAGCCCCAGCCTTGTGCTTGCTTGTCTGGCTCCCAGCCTTGCAGCTACCATCACCCACCTCACTACCACCCGCCTCATCGCCACCACGAGCAGCAGCAACAAGGGCAGCAGCAGCAGGGGCTGCAGCAGCAAGGACAGCCGTACATCGGTGACCAGGGCGTGCCCAACGGCGTGGAACAAGCACCCGCGGAGTTCGGTCAGGGGCAGGAGCCGCATCGGCAACGGCAGCAGTCATACTATTATCCGCACCCGCAACAATACAGCGGCGTGCCTTCTTGTCCGCCGGCGGCCGAACAGCAGCAGCCGTACGGCTACGATGAGTACGGCAACCCAGCGCAACAGCCGCAGCCGTACAACATGCAGCAGCCAACTCACCACCAACAGCCACAGCCACCGTACGACAACGGCACCAACGGCTACTACCCGTACCAACAGCAGCAGCAACCGCCTACACACCAGCAGCAGCAAACGTATCCTCAGCAAGTGCAACAGCAGCAGCAACCTCAATTTGAGAGTGAACCGCAACAGTGGCTGTCCGGGGTACGAGAGGAGGCCATTCAACCGACGCCACCTTGGCGTGTCCCGCAGGAAAGCGGTCAGCAACATCAGTATTGTTACAGTCACAATAACGGCCATAACTGTTCAGCACCACAACAGCATGCGCCACAGACCCTTGGACCATGGCAGCCGGCGCTGCAGCAGGGGATGCAACAACAGCAGCATGACCACAGTCATCAGACTTTAGGCTGTCCGCAGCAGTCCTGGGCCTAATAAGGGACGTGATGAGGATGGGAGAGCTGGTTTGTTTGGCGCCAGGGCTTTTCTCTTCAATAGGATGTGGCGGGGGGGATGAAGTGTGGAGATGTGTTGGGGTAATGAACGAGGAGAGGTGCTTATGACGTCATAAGGAAACTGACGATGTATTATTTGCTTTACCGGTATTCCCGACACCCCTTGCTGGGAATTGCCTTGAACATGTACAGCAAAGCGAGCCATCAATGCAGACATGGCAAGGTGTACGATGTGTTCGTTTCAAAGAGGGGTAAGGTGCACGTCACCTTGTATTTATCGTTACGCGGACCGGGCGAAGGTGCCTGGGTAGGCTGCATGGGGTACCGCTAACCGGAAGAACCTGTTTTGATGGATTGTGGTATAGGACTGAGATCTCCAGAAGCCCACACGCCAGATGTCTTATAGGGCCAGGGATGGGGCGTTGTAAATGGAGACTACGGTGAGTGCCCTGCTTGTGTCTGTACCTTGTCTAATTGATTACGGAATGGGGATGCCATCTGGGAAACCATCACGGGTACCCCTGCAGTTGCGATTGCGAAGGAGCACCCAGGCCGCTGCTGGCTACCGGGGCTGCCGACCCGCAACCCCGCGCCCCTCACACAGCACCCAGAACATGCTGCAACCCATGTTGACGCCTTATCCCTCAGTCAGTTAGTTGTTTCCTCTTTACCCAACACAGCACATAGAACCGGTCCACACCGCAACGGCACACCTCGCGCGCGCGTTATCCTCCTAGTGTTGCCCGAACCCGCTTGCTCCATACCGCCCGTGTTCACCTCGTACTTGCTCACGATTGTGGCCAAGGGGCAAGCTGAGGAAACACTACGTGGGCGCCTGCTTTCGGGCGTGGCGGGGAGGTCAGGTAGCGGCCCCTTCACCAGCCCATACCGCCTCAACTACGTAAGCTCAGCGCACCCGAGCTAGGGATAACACGGCACCTCGGGCCTCCCAGGCTACGGGAGCTGCGGGAGCTCTGCAGGCATGCTGGCTGGCGGCAGGAAGGGCACCTTCAGGCGTCCAGGAATCCCTCCGATACGGTTGCGTACGACAGTACCTGAACACGGTAAAGGGACTCGTTTTGCAATGCAATTTTCGCACTATAGCATTTGATACTTACGCGCACTGACATCGTTTTTTTGCTCGGTACCTTTCAGAAATAAAGGATCCAGCGTTGCTGTAATCAGCAGATGCACTGTGACGGTTTGTAGGTGGGAAGCGATATTTCGAGGAAAACCCGTTCGTGGCAATGGATCGAACCAAAGATTTGATTGTCGCAGCTGAGCGCTTCTTGGACACGGCATCCCTTCCACCGGTGAGCCGTTTGTCACAATCCTTGGAACATTCGCAGCATTCAAGCTGTAGATAAATGTTAACACTTGATCAGTCTATGCTTAGGAGCAAACTCGCCAACTCCGGGAAGCGGTCTTGCTCGGGCGACGATCGCGTTCGCCGGGAAGCTTTGCCGTGGCTGCAAAGGGAGTAGTAAGTCATGCAATCGACAAACTCATCTCCGCAACTGCTAACGTTCGTGGGGGAATGCATTGCAGGAGGACAGCATAGGCACCCTATGGGGCAGCATTCGCAGCATGCAGCAAGAATACCTAAAGGACGCTGGTGAGACAGATGTTTAACCCCTTCGTCGGAATGCGACGATTTATATAATCAACAAGCCCCATAAAATGTACCACTTGCAGATGCCTTAGCGGAGCCAGACGCGACGAAGGATGCCAACGAAGCGCAGCTTGCCGCCGTCATAAAGCGGATAGGTGGCTACATTGATCGGCTCAAGCAAGCAGCGGCATCAGCGCAGAAGACCTATGGCAGCAGCGAACGTGTGAATGAGCACACGGCTGCCCACATGCATGGCGTGGTAAGCGGCGTGTGTCGTGCTTGCATGTTCTGTTGGGTGCGGGGTCGCAGGGGTGGCATTTTTCCTTGTCGCGTACTTGCTAGTCTATGTTGGAACGCTGCGTGGTTGCACCCTCGTAACCAACCGATACCGGTATCCCAACTGGGGATCCCAACTGTCAACTCCTAACCGCCGTCTCCCTGCCTCAGGTCCTCATCCTGGCTGAGCGGTTGCACCGGGCCGCCAGATCCTTCGACCGCCTGCGAGCTGGCAGGTACCAGGCACTCGTGCAGCAGCAGCCCCAGCAGCAGCGGCAGCGGGGGCCGCTGGGCACGGCAGTTGCCAAGGTGGGGATGAAGAGAGGGTGCACCTGGAAGGAGTTGCTGGGAATGTATGGCTACGCAACGACCTTGCTTAACGCCGCATTGCACACGCCGTCACTTCCACCTTCACCACAGCAGCAGCAACCCCCGCCGCCACCGCGACAGCAACGGCACAGCAGCAACCACCACCTCGCAGGCACCTTGCCTGGGAGGTGGTGGCAGTTGACTGCCTGCTGGCGGCGCTTGAATGCATGTCACCGCGATCCCTTTTTAATACCGCGATCCCTTTTTAAACTCCCCAAAGCAGGGCGCGGGGCTGGGTGGCGGTGGTGGCTCCTCCGGCAGTGCCTCCGCCCTCGCCAGCTGGCCGCATGTGTTGGGTGTACGACATGCGGTGAGCAAGGGGTACGAGGAGCGAGCGGGCGCAGACGCAGACTTCGTCCCTGCTGCTGCTGCTGCTGCGGCTTCCTCGTCGGCAGCAGTGGGAAAAGGTGGAGGCGGCGGTGGCGGGCAGGGTGCGGAGTGGCCGGTGCAGGTGCAGGCGGTGGAGCAGGAGAACAGGGCGCTGCTGGTGCGGGCGGGGGAGGTGTATGGGGGAGGTGTGTGTGGGAAAATGCGGTGGACGTCCGTAAGAAATGCGCGGGAATGCGTGTGGAAGGTGTGTGGGAAGTCCGGTGGAGCTGTCAGGTGGGGGTGTACGTATGTGGGAAACGGTGCATGCGATTCTTCCGATTAAGGAGTGCCGCCGTCTCCGGTGCCGTCTACTTACGCTTGTGTTTCCCGCTCCCGTTTCCCGTACCGTACGGTGCCCCGTACCGTACAGAAGCGCTTCTGCCATAACATTTCGCTCTTTCTCCGCGCCTGGTGCCTCGTGTATTTTATGCATGTGCGCTTTCCAAGACCCTTACCTCGTGTCGTGCCCTCGGTTATGCCTTTCAGGAACGTTTGACTGCCACTCGAAGTGCTGCGCTGTCGGTTGAGAAGGCGGTTCACGACGTGGCGGCACTCAACCAGATGTTCAGTACGGCAGTGCTAACGCAGGCGGAAACCATTGAGTCCATATATATGGCCGCTGTTGAGGCGACGCACAACATCACAGCCGGGAATAAGTCGTTGGAGAAGACGGTTGCTGTTAACCGTTCCACGAGTCGATACATCCTCGTGTTGTTGCTGGTGGCTACCGTTCTGTTGTTGTTCTTCGACTGGTTTAACAGCTAGGTTCCCCGCGTGGCTTCTTCATGGCGACTGGGATGTGGTTGTAACGGAGAGGATCGCATGTGGTGTACTGGATGCATTAAGTGCCTTGTTATCCTTTCGTGCTACGGACGACACCGAGACTGCCCATGGTCTAATAGCTTGAAGTTACGGGTACATGTTACAATGGCACACCCCGCGACGGAGGGCTTAAGTAAGTCCAATCATAAGATCGTAAGCTTATTGTTGAATGCGGCTGCGCGTTTCTTTATTCGGCATTCCGTCATGGCGTCTTGTAACCACTATTCCACTGCCCTGGCTCAGTTATTGTCCATCTACATGCATCGAACCACTAAAAGAGGGGAACATGCTACGTCCTAAGCTTAGGCTGCGTCCTAAGCCCACTCATGCACACAAATCTTCGCTTCCCAGACTCTGCCAGCATAAGCATGCACATCACAACCCGCCGCACGCCTTATTCGCTCCTGCGAAATTGCAAGAATTCGTCACTCAGCACGCACACTCCAACCTTATTCGTACTTCAGCGCCCCATTCGGCCATGTCAAGATGAACCCCCTCCAACCAAATACCCGTTACTATGATGCCCAGCGTCGACTTCAGACGGCGTCGCACACAGCCGTCGAAGCACCACCAGAAACGCCGGTCACCGCCGACGTTGCACGCAGCGCTTGCCCAAAGCTGATCCGCGACAGATGGAAGTTCGACATCTCCATCTCGCCCTCGCTCGACTCCTCCTTCAACGACGACCTGACCACCACCGCGGCAGGCTTCTGCCACGGCCCCGGGCTGTCCCACTGCTTCTGCACCTCCCGACTGTCGCTGCGGCGAGGGGTGACAACAGCCTCCTCCTCGTCGCCGCATGCAGCTGCTGCCACCGCAGCCGTCGGCTGGACACGACGGGGGCTGAAGATGCAGGCTGCTGAGCCGGTCACCGGGGCACCACCGCCCACGCTGGAGGTGCCCAGCGCACGCACGCGCTGCTGGGGCGCCATGGTAGGGTCCTCCGCTCGCGCACTTTCGCAGTTGCTGCTGTCGTAGCGCAGAGCCATCGACGCCTCCATGGTGGCTGCGCCCCAGGGTCCTCCAAGTGTTACAGACTGAGTCCGTCCAACGCCGGCGCCGGCACCGGCAGCAGCGTTGCCGCCGTCGAAAGCACGGCTGCTATTTGTCGGCGAGGTGACGGTGCTCTCACGGTTGGATTGGTCCTTCACGGCGCCACCTTGCTTTGCGAGCTTGGCCATGTGAGCAAGCAACCCGGCGAGGCCTTGCGCCGGGGGCGCCTCGGTGCGGAAGAAGGATGCACTGCCGGCACTGCTGGCGGCTGGCTCCGCAGCAACAGTGGCAGCTGCTGCCGTACTGTTGGCTGTAGCAGCCGTGGCGGCAGCGGCAGCGCTGCGTTGCGCCGCCTGCATCGCGCCCATGAGACCGCCGCCGACCTGAACGCCGCTGCCGCCGTCGCCTGCGGCAGCAGTCGGCAGCACAGCCGGCGCGGGCGCGACTACCGCCGCCACCACACCGCCAGTAGCAGACCGCGGCCCATCCTCGGCCGCCGCAGTCGCTACAGCCGCCTCGGCACCGCCTCCGCCGCCCATCATAACCACCGCGACAGGCATAGCGAGGCAGTCAATGCGGTACAGCAGCTCCTCGAATGAGGGCCGCGACTCGGGCTGCGCGGCCCAGCACTCCGCCGCCAGCTCCGCAAGCGGTTCCGGCAGGGCGCGGCTGGGGGTGGCGTCGGGCGGCAGCTGGGGCCGCTGTCCGCGCAGCACCACCGCCTGCACCACCTCACCGTGGCTCATGCCGCGGTAGGCCTTGGCACCCGTGCAGAGCTCCCACACTGTACGGCATATTATTAAATATATGCACACATGGAAAAGGAGCGGTTTGGTGAGAAGTCAGCGGTCTGGCGGGCTGCGACTTGATAGGAGCATATGACACGGTGCGTGGTCGCAGAGGTGCATGCATGCTTATATGACCTGACACAGCCTCGTGACACAGCCCAGGAGCACCAAGTAAGGCAGCACAACTGCACAATCCGCAACCGCCGTGCTGCAGCACCCTTACTCACGTAGCACTCCGAAGGCGTACACGTCCGCCTCCCTGCGCATCTCCCCGCGCATGAGGCACTCGGGGGCCATGTGTGACACGCTGCCGGCAGCGGCGGTGCGCAGGTGGGTGGCGCCGGCGGCCAGAGAGCGACTCAGACCGAAGTCACACACCTGGAGGTGGGGGGTTGGGGAGTGGCAGGGATGGCAGGGAAGGGCGCGCGGGTCATGATGATGATAGATGAAAGTAAATGCGAGAAGGGGGCAGACGATGTTGGTCCGACAGACCTCAGGATTAAGCGCAGTAACCTAGTAAGGCAGAATGAATCTACAGAGATGCATGGGCGCTATCGCTGCTCCCTACCTTCGCCACGTAACGGAAATTCTCCATGCCGCCCTCAGCAACGCAGGGTGCTCCATGAATGGAAGACGACCCAGTAGCATGGATGCTGCCGCTGTTCATTGCTGACCCATGGGCCTGTCCCGTTGCTGCTCCCATGGCTACCGAAACAGGCACGACGGGCAGGGGGACGCTGCTGCCGGTGCTCCCTGAGGGGGCCTTGGAGCCGATACGCCACCAGCTGCTACGCGTGGCGCCGATGGAGGTGGCGGAAGCGGCCAGCTGTTGCCGCGTGCAGAGCAGCACGTTCTCGGTCTTGAGGTCGCCGTGCACGATGCCCTTGCTGTGAAGGTAGGCCATGCCGCGGCAGATGTCTCGGGAAATCGCCAGCACTCCAGACTGTTGGGAGGAGGATCAAAAGATGCACACAAAGGCGACGATGTGCATGTCAGCAGCAGACAGCGATATTGACCGTACTGGTATGTATGCACGCCTCATGCAAACCCTTTCCATCTCTCCTCGCAAGTGGTTCATGACACGGTTCGCCTCCTCTGCTAGTCTGCTTCATCAGCAACTCACAAGGTCCAGTCTGCCGGCGCTGCCGCGCTTCCGGAACTCCCCGCGGCCCACCGCAGCCGCCAGCGACCCCCCATCGCACAGCTCCTGCACAATCCAGGTCTCCCGCGGCTCACAGAGCGTCTGCTGCTGCTGCTGCAGGGCCTCCTCCTCCTGCTGCATCTGCTGCTGGTGGCCCCAGCGGGCGCCTCCCGTGCGATGCCAGGTGACGGCGGCGGCGGAGGGCGGCAGAGGGGAGGCGAGCGAGGCGCCAAAGAGGGCGCGGCGGGGCGTGGCGCCGGGGGTGATGATGGTGTTTCCGGTGACTGTGGTGTTGCCGGCGTTGGCGCGGCTGTGGTAGATGTTGGAAGATGAGGACATGGGCGGGCGGGGCGTGCCGTGTCGAGCTGCGGGGGTTGCGTTGAGGGGGGAGGGCGGGGCCGCGGAGGGTGTAGTACCGGCATGTGCTGTCGTACAGTAGTGTGACACCCGGTGGCATGGTATGGCGGCGGGGCCGTTGCGAAGGCGGTGCCCGCGGCAACCATACGATGCCTGTGGCACACACTGCTGTTACGCAAACAGAGCACTACCATTGTAACGGTCAACTTTTAATCATTACTACTGCACTACAATCCTAGTATCCCGCACTTACTTCCGGGTCGCACGGCGATGAGTACGGACGAAGGCGCGGGGCTGAACGCCGGCACTGTCCCGTCAAACGTGTCCGCTTGGCTTCCCTCCTGCTCCTCCTCTTGGATCTCGGCCATCACCTCCGCCTCAATCCGCATCTCCGTGTTGCAGAATGCCGACGTCGTCGTTACGACGTTGCCTGTGCTCATGATCAGGTGATGCGGAGGGGGAGAGGAGGGGCAGATGCGAGCCATTTCAACATGGCCGGGAGGAGCAACGATGGTTGCGTTTGTGGCGGCGGTGGTAGCGGTGATGGCGTCTTGCGCGGCAGCAGTAGCATCCGCGAAGACATGGAAGGCAGGCCTGGAAGGCTCAGCGTCGGTGTTGTGGAAGGGCAGGGTTGGCGCATTGGAGGCGGCGGCGGAGAGGCTGATTGTGGTGAGGGAGGCGGCGGCTTCCTTGATTGGCGCGGAGGGGATGTTGGCGTCGGCAGGAGCGATGCTGAGAAGGGCGGGGACGGTGCGGGTGGGGGAGGATTGCACAGCCACCACAGCAGCAGCGGGGACTGCTTGCTTGCCTGGGAACAGACCCCGGAAGAGCGCTCCGATGGGGGAGGGCTTGCCGTCGGCTGCATGGCAAAGTAGGGGCAACGCGGGAAGAGGTCAGCCGTCAATCTCGTGTAGAAGGTCGTAGAATGGGAACGTCATGGCAGGGAGTACTTAATTAGGTGATCATCATGACGACATTGCATGGCGCATGGACGTACAACATTGACGTACAGTACGGTGCCGTACAGCAACTGATTCTCATAACCGTTAAACTCGAGCCACAATAGCTACAACTGCTACAACTGCTACAACGGCTACACAGTTACCATGGGGCTAACTGCCCGCAGACCTTAAGAGCCCCGAGCTTACCCGGTGACGTGGCAACTGAGGCGCCGTCATCAGGACGCGGGGTGCTGCTGCCGCTGCCGGCGGCATGCGAGGTGGCGAACGCGGACCCAGGGGTCACCAGGAACGACGACATGGGCTCAGGCGTGCCGGCATCCGACTTGCTGCCAGCGGAGGCGGAGGCGGAGGCCGCGGATTGGGCGACGGTGGCGGCGGGCATGGCTCCCGCTGCCGGCGTTACAGCTGCATGACTAGCAGCGGCGGCGGCGGCGGGGGAAGCATCAGCATCAGCATCAGCATCAGCATCAGCGGCGGTGGCAGCATGGGTTACGGAGGTTTCGGAGGTGCCTCGGAAGAGCGAGGGAAGCATGCCGGTGCGGCCGGTGGGCCCCAGTCGCACGGACTTGAGGGTGGCCACCACGTTGGGGTGGCTCAGGTCGGCGGCCAGGCGGGCCTCTCGCTGGACCTGTGGGGGTTTGCGAGGACAGGTGAGGACAGGAGAATGACAATGGCGCAAGGGCAATGCCGAATAATAGGAGAATCGTAAGGGCAGTGCGTAACAAGACTGTCAAGCTTCATGCGTTTGCGCGGAGCTAGGCGGCATGAAGTTGGGTGCACGGCGGTACACAGCGGCGCAGACACAGCACACGGTAGCGTACGGCAGCTCCCCCTCGCGTGGGCAGCACCCCGTAGCCCCGTCTCCCATGCATGGTCGCTCACCTTCTCCTCCTCCTGCTGGGTGGAGGTGGTAA